ATTGAAAATAACATTAAAAATGAGTATACTGGGGAAATTGTTTTGCAAAATCATGTATATTAGGCCAAGTTGTAAAAAAAAAAAAAAAAGGTGTAAATTAGTAGAAATTCTCACCAAAATGCTGGTGAAGATTTAGAAAGAATCTGTGAATTGATGTGGAATTTTGGAGAATTGAATTTAGGATTGGGGAAAACGAGAAACAGAGAAACTTAAAAGAACAGTTCCACCCATCCTTAGTGAATGTGTTTGTGTTGCTCGTTTTTGGAGAAGGTGGAGTCATATTTGAGGAGGCCAACTGAGTGAAGAAGCACATCCAAGTAGTTAGGTTGCCCCCACCCCATCCCAGGCCAGTTTTCCCCAGTTCAACACCACCACAGATTGCTGATCTCTATCGCCCTGGGAACTGGGCCAAGGGACAGGATCCCATTAAAGCCATGCAGCCAGAGAACCAACTCTGCCACTCCACCTCCCCGGGGGCAAAAAATGCCCTACAAAGGGAGACTCTGCAGCAAGGCTGCTTGCTTTGGCTATTAAAGACAATTATTTTAATTAAGGGACATGGACATGATGTAAGTAACGTCCTCTCCTCGTTCAGTGTCTTAATACCACTCCCTGTGCACCTCCTGCCTGGCTCTTTCAGTAACCAGTGCTGTTTTGAGCCCTAATATTACTACAGAGTCCTATTAGGGAGTCACATCAGTGCTGTGAATTTAGCAAAGAAGCTGAGAGCTGCCTGGGGCAGCTTGTTAAGGGGCTGGAATTTGAGGTTGCAGAGTTCTTTCAGGACCATTTTCCCAGAGTCTGGGTGGAGGCCTTTATCTTTCTCCTCTTCATTTTGGCTCTCTCCCACCCAACCCCACCAACCACTTACCAAACCACCAGTTGTACAGAATAGAGTCTGGATTCTACCAGTTCAGACTGCTGATTGCAGGGAGTCAATTTTTCAGCACAGCCTAATCCACAGCTTGAAAAGTTCATTTTAAAGCGAAAGAGTTATCTTTCAAGTCGACCCATACGGAACTGATTCCCATTCCTATTGGTTCCTTTACAAAAAAAAGAAGAAGCTAGTTTGGTTTATGTCCAATTCATGCTTCATCCAAATGATTCTCCGGGGGGGGGTCAAGTTTTCAGAGAGCTACAAGCTTCTATGGAAAAATATAAAATATACTTAAGAAGATTAAGAAAGAAGAAAAGCATTCTCTCTCTCTGTGATGCCTTTCCACCCAAAGATAGAGAAAGAGCTTTTTATTCAGACAGACCTTGGGCTTGTGATCTAATTCCATGCCTTTGCTTCCCATTCTTGAAAGGTTTTATCTGGCTGTAGTTTATTGGTTGATTTTCCTGCTCTTTTTATCTTCTCCTATCATAGTTTTTATTTTTATAGGACTGTACAGTGGTGCCTCGGTTTTCAAACATAATCCATTCCAGAAGACCGTTCGACTTCCGAAACGTTCAAAAACTGAAGCATTTACTTATGGAAAACTCAATATGGAAGCCATGTGGCACGTTCGACTTCCAAAAAGCGTTCAAAAACTAAAGCAGTTACTTCCGGTTTTTCGGCGTTTGGAAACCAAAACATTCAACTTCCAGGACATTCTAAAACCAAGGTGCCACTGTATTTATTTCCATTTATTACCTGCCATAGGAGCTGTGTGCGGAAACATGGGATAGAATTACATTGGAACAATAAACAAAGAAAATTGTTAGATCCATTGCCTCTTGTGAAGTCCACTATACAGACCTTACACAAATTACCTGAGGGGCAAGAATCGTATATCCCACTCACATACCTCTCAACTGTCCCACTTTAAGCAGGACATCCTAGAATTATAGACGCCATCTTGGCTTCTGAGTGGATGTATTGCTTTGGCTCCCGCAAGAGCGTAGCCCCAAAAGACCCCCGTTTCGGAGGGCCATGCTCTCTCACAAGTCACATGACTCCCGTGGTAGCTCGTCCTTGAAAGATGTGCATCCCAGTTTTCCTCTGTGGCATGTTAGAGGGTATGCACTTATTTTCTCCCACTTCTGCAAAGCAGGCCCAAGGTATCATATATCAGTCAGTTAACCCAGATAATTGAGCTGATGATCTTCCAATGCAGCTTTCTGCGTTAATTCCTTAAGCTGCAGTCACTATGGATAATAAGGGCAGCCCATAATCACACCCTAAAGAAGCATCCAGAAAGGCAGGCAGCTGTGTTGATCCTTTATATATAAGGATCATCCAATGGTAATAAAACAGTGAGCTGTCAAAGGGCGGTGTAAGGGTATTAGCGCTGTGCTGAAAACTTCTTGTTCGTTTCCTCACCCACCCATTCTCCATCAATGGCGGGGGCGGGGGGGATTGCACTCATAATCATCGAAGTTGAGAGGGAAAGATGGTGAAATTTTCAAGGGCAGAGTACAGGATTTTAAAAATTGTGCCTGCAGGTACTGCTATCCACCTGCTTGCTATCGGAAAATTCACTTATCCACACCCAAAGATTTATGCCCAACCCTGCCATATGCACCATGGATTCACTCATCCAAACAGCCCATTTCCTTACTTACTTCCTTGTTTGTTTGTTCTTTGTTTTGGCAGCAGCCATTTTGGGGGAAAACCATGGCGAGAGGGAGTGAGATTGGACACATCCGGGAGCAGTAGAGTCCATATAAATGAGCTTTCTACGTTGTCTAGCAAAGGGATTATATGTTCCATGCCAAACCTGTTTTCCAACCCCACCGTTTTTTCAAATTCTAGTAAGCTTCGCTCCAATAACAGGCACCCTTGCTGGTGTGGGAAAAAAGCACCAGAACTACTTGCCTCTATGTTACAGCTCGCTACACAACTGGCCGGGTGCTTATCGGTTTTGTGTGGCCTAGTTCAGGGCAATGAGTGCCAAGCAAATCGGCCAGAACTCTTCAGAAACACCAAGGTGAAAGGGAGGCAGAGCAGTCCCCATGTGTCGTCCTATCCTCCACGGAAATATGGAGCTTCAAATCCGGGAGTGCTGGACTGTGTTCATTTATACAATAGCATTTCCCTGTACAGTGGTACCTCTGGTTAAGTACTTAATTCGTTCCGGAGGTCCGTTCTTAACCTGAAACTGTTCTTAACCTGAAGCACCACTTTAGCTAATGGGACCTCCTGCTGCTGCTGCGCCACCGGAGCACGATGTCTGTTCTCATCCTGAAGCAAAGTTCTAAACCTGAAGCACTATTTCTGGGTTAGCGGACTCTGTAACCTGAAGCGTATGTAACCTGAAGCGTATGTAACCTGAGGTACCACTGTATCTTTGGAAGTCCCTTGGCTTTGATCTGAGCCAAAGTGTGCAAATGACTCTTATCATGCTTCCTCGTTGCGATGCAAAGGGAAGCCATCGCAAAGAGGTGGTGGTGAGCTTAATTACTAAATGCTTCTAAAGCAAGAAAATTGCAGCATCAATCAGAAAGCCTTGCTTTGTACAGGGCAGGGCACAGCGGCAGGACTGGCTGGCTGGCTGTGAAGCTAATTGCTGGACCCGGCTTACGCAATATATATATATATATTGACACCACCAACAGACTTCCTGCTTTGCTAGCAAGATGTGGTCCAGCCAGTTGCCATTCATCAACCCATCTAGGAGGCCAACCATTGAATGCAACCCAACTCTGCGCAGATTCCAGGGCTTCCCTCTCCCTCGGCCCCACCTGAAAAACAAGTGAGTCAGGGCATCTTCAAAAGGAAGGCGGGGCAAGGGAGATAAGGGAAGCAGCAGGCACGGGGACTACAAAAACAAAACAAAACAGGGAACACCCCCTGCAAAGGGGATATAAATGAACTGGAGGAAATGGACACATTGCAAGGAGAGGAATTAAGAACTGGAAGGGCACTTGGAGTCTGACAAAGGGACAATGTGCATGAACTGGAAAAATTAAATGCAGCTCCCTTCCATGATTGGTTGGAAGATATGTACAAACTCACTACACATGAACAAGTTGCATACAAATGTAGACTTGCCATGGACAAATTTAGTGATAGTTGGAATTCATTTTTATAAATACAGTAATAAGCTAAGGTCTGGTTAAATATAATGACAATTTTTTGAAAGGTATACAAGTTTTTGGTGCCTCCCCCATTCTGTTTTGTTTTTACATGTGTGTTGCTTCTTTCTTCTTTGCATATTATCTTACTGTGCACTGGTAATTATGTACTTTTTATCCTTCAATAAAATAATAATAATAATAGAAGAAGAAGAACTGGAAGGGTACTTGCTGTCAAACACCCGACTAAATTCCACAGTGATTTACTTTATTGCACTGCAATTATACCCACTGCTGAAGTCTGTGAAAATTATTTACTATCCAGTGCAGAAGTAATAAGGGTTGTGTGAAATGCCCTCCAATTTTGATATTAATCTCAAAATCAGCACATTCCACACAGCTGAACAAATGTCTAGAAATGAGGCCTCGGCAATCATCCACATTGTTTCAGTGATGCACAGCACTGCTTTGACCCCCTGGCAACGGTTTCTTCTGAGCACCATTTTGATTTCTCTTCTTTGCCCTTAACGCTCTTGGACTTACTTGCCTGCCCTGCTCTTCAGCCTGGTTGGCTAGCGATGATCCGTTCTATTATATTTGCAAGTGCTCACGTCGTCACTGTATTGGATGTAGCTTTGTAGATGGGATGCTGCTGGCAAAACTAGGAGGTTGCCACAGCCAATAAGATTAAACACCAGCAAAGGCCAACGAGGTTGGGGACCTTGAGAGTAAAGAAAGACAAATGGCACTGGGAACAGCATGGAAACGATTTAAGCGGGCTTATGAATGCCATAAATTGCTGAAAAAGAAAGGCAGTGTTCATTACAAAACAAGGCAAGTCGTTTAGATTTTACCCTTAGAGTAACCAGCAGTGGTGACATGCGAATTTTGGAGGGGGCTGTAGAGTGATGTAGAGAGTCATTGCTTCTGTGAGATGTGGCCTCTGTCACATCTGTGATGCAGCGAACTCGAAGCAAAGTCTGCCCTCTCAATGGGGGCGATTGTGGGTCCGTGGCTCAGTGGTACAGCATCAGCTTTGAGTGTTAAAGGTCCCAGGTTCTATCCCTAGGTCCAGAAATTGTGGCAAAACACTCCACCACCAGCAGTAACTGGGAGCCCATCAGAAATTGCCCAGTGGATTGCACCCCACCTCCTCTATATCATAGAGGCAGGAGTGGCCTGGTCTGTCTCTGCTCCCAAGGTGAAATGGGAACTGCCCCCAACTTGGCAGCCCTAAAGCTCTTTATGGCCCACCTTTTTAGGTTGAATAGTGAACTGAATGTCATTTCCTTCTTGCCAGTGCCCATCTCTCTGGTTGCTTAAAAACGAAAAAAGCTTGCTAGCACTGCATGCCAATTGAGCTTCATTAAGTACAAACCCCAAAATTTGGGAGACTGTGCCATTCAGGCAAATTTACGAAGCCCCTCCTAAACGCCTGTGTTAGTTAGAAGACTTTTATCTGTTATAAAAAAAACTCAATGCAAAGTACTTTAAAGAAAAAAACACTCCATATTTGAAACTATAGACTAGCAAGTTCTGTTTCTCGAAAGGACTGGGAGCGGCCGCAGAGACCACATAACACCGGTCTTGAAAGACCTACATTGGCTCCCAGTACGTTTCTGAGCACAATTCAAAGTGTTGGTGCTGACCTTTAAAGCCCTAAACGGCCTCAGCCCAGTATACATGAAGGAGCGTCTCCACCCCCATCGTTCTGCCCAGACACTGAGGTCCAGCACCGAGGGCCTTCTGGCGGTTCCCTCACTGCGAGAAGCCAAGTTACAGGGAACCAGGCAGAGGGCCTTCTCGGTAGTGGCGCCTTCCCTGTGGAACACCCTCCCACCAGATGTCAAAGAGAACAACAACTACCAGGCTTTTAGAAGACATCTGAAGGCAGCCCTGTTTCGGGAAGCTTTTAATGTTTGATGTATTATAGTATTTTAATATTCTTTTGGAAGCCGCCCAGAGTGGCCGGGGAAGCCCAGCCAGATGGGCGGGGTATAAATAATAAATTATTATTATTATTATTATTATTATTATTATTATTATTATTATTTACCAGGTTTGACGTGTTACTTATTGTGATTTTTATGGGGCAAGGCAAAACATTGGGTTTGTGCTCCAAAATGGTGCAAATGGAGTCAATCGATGCTGCCAACTACAGTGCCAGTAAGTAGGATCCCAGGTTTTAGTATCAATTCCTCATTTTTGGAGTGGGGTTTGTGGTGCAGAAGGGTTTGAAATTCTTGCAAAAGTTTGGGACCGGTTTGGAGTGAATTGGACAATACTGGGTTTGGCAGGGATACCTGTGGCCCCTAGCCTGAGTATCAGTTACTCAGTGGGGAGTGGTAAAAAACATGGGGTTTGCAGTACAAAACTATTGCAAAAGTTTGGCACCAGTTTGGAGTAAATCAGACAATGCTGCATTTGGGGGTGTTAACGACGAACCCCAGTTTGAGAAACAATTGCTCAGTTGGGGGGTGGTACAATACACAGGGTTCTCAGTACAAAACAGCACAAAATGAGTAAAATTATTTGGCACCAGTTGAGGACATCCCAAATTTTGGGGTTTATACTTAACAAAGCTCCTGAATGGGGTAAGGGGAGAGTCAAGTCTTTGAGAAACTGGTAATCAAATTTCTCTCAAAGAAGACCACACTGCAGTTCTAACTTCTGTAAAGAGTTTATCACACTATAGATGTTAATGAGCGAAGTCAGGATGTCTATGCTATCGTCTCCAGCAACTGTTTTATGAATGGCTGCTGTTAATAAGGCGATTATCACTGTCTGTGGTCTCTGCATTTCATTTTCCTCTGTCCTCACTGTTTACAATCCTCCCCTCCCTGGTAACATCTATATAACACATCATGCACATAACAACTTAGACTGTAGTATATGAAAGCTTATGCCACCATTAAGGATGAGCTAATCTGTCAATTTCACTTATATCAGTTATAAGTTAAGTTCTCCATGTTAGTTTGTGCATGTTTTCTATAAAGCCCTCAAGGAAAATTCATCAGTATCTTAGTGCAAATTTCTTCCCATGTACACATTTTTGTGTGCCATCTTCCACAATACAGTGGTACTTTGGTACACGAATGGCTTGGCTTCCAAACAAATCGGCTCCCGAACACTGCAAACCCGGAAGTGTTCTGGTTTGTGAACGTTTTCTGGAAGCCAAACATCCAATGCAGCTTCTGATTGAGTGCAGGAAGCTCCTACAGCCAATCAGAAACCGCCCTTTGGTTTTCGAACGGTTTCGGGAGTTGAACGGACTCCTGGAATGGATTAAGTTCAAGAACCAAGGTACCACTGTATGTGTATAGTGCATTTTTGCATGTTCTTTTCACCAATATATGCACATTCTAAACAGGTGCGTGCATTCTTGTATATGTTTCTTTGCTGCAGAACTGCATTGCTAAATTTGGAGAAGTGTGAATATCAAAGGATGGCTCTCTTTTAGTTTTCACATTGTTTCATAAAGGGATTGTGAACTGGATTGAATCTCTCACACAGCTCTCCCTACACACAGCTCTCTCTGTACCACATCCTTCAGCATCCACCACCTGAGGCAGCTGCCTCTTTCTGTTTAAGGGTAGCACCAGCCCTGCACCAGTCCCACAACTCCCCGATAAATGATGGCAGCCCCCAGACACAGATACTGTTTCCTGCTCCCACTAGGTAGGTTTATTGAGGGGTCTAACCAGAGGGCACTGTGCTGAGAAATAATCAATGCCTCATCATTGTAGCCTAGGATAATGCTAATGCTGGGCCTGGCAGCAAGGGATGTCAAATTTTAATAGCCCCTTACACCAAAAACTCCCTGCGTGTAGAAACTTAGCACATCTCGATTCCCCACAACCTTTCTCCTTGACATGCTAGCTTTCCACATGCAAGGCACTTCTGAGATAAGAGAAGCATTCAGAACAATTGCCAGCCGGCGTTGCTAAGTGGTGCTGTCCCAGGGCAACTGTGGTGTGTGTTTTTCCTTAATATTTGAATTGGCTTTCATGTGCTGCTGTCTGTAGCTGTTCTTTAGCCCTTGAACAGCAACCTGGAAAGGCCTGAACAGCACTCTGCACTGGTGAGTCATCTGCTGACAGCAGCAAAGTCAGCCCTAAACACAGGTTTGAGGACAAGGCAGATTCAGAGTTTGTCACAACAGATCTCAGAATGGGGAGCACATGGGAATCATGAACAGGACCTGTGAGCTCTCTCACACAGGATCAGAAAGAGCCCATAGACCACTTCTTTTCATTTCACTTTCCCTCCTTCCCCATTTCATTAAATATTAATTTTCTTTTTGTTTCTAGCTACATTTTTTTCAAAACAGCTTCTTTTCATTGAACTGAAGTGTGATTTTTTTGTTCTGTAATATTTTGTGATTTCTATGGTTTGCAAACTTTTCTGCCTGAGAGATGGAGATTTCCATTGTCTCAGCCACAAATATGGATTGTCTGGACCTCATATTTTTGTTTTACCCTTAGAACACGTAACATTGTGTTACAGAGGATCTTCCATTATTGTTGTGTTTTTTTAAAGAAGACCACAAATAAATATGAGATTTAGTGGGGTATATAAAATTCAGCATCAGACCCTTCCTGTGATCTTAGGCTGAAGTAATAATAAAAATAGGAGTAATACTGACAACAGAAAAAGAGCTCTTTTTTCTCCCACAATGCCTTTCCCAGCATGGTGTCCTCCAGATGTTTTGGACTCTTGATCCCATCAGCCCCAGTCAGCACAGCCAATGGTTAAGGATGATGGAAGTTGTAGTCCAACCATATCTGGGCTGCACAACCATGTTAGTGAAGGTTGGACGGGGACATTGTGTTGAGTGTGTTTGTGGAAATTGTGACCAGCACCCGCAAATGCTACATCTAGAGCATTAGGTAGGAGGAAATGTTCAGGAGCCATCGTTTTTCTGTAGTAATTTGCTGTTGTCTCTGAAGGAAGAGCAAAGGCAGAGCCAACACAATCTGGCATTTCACCACTTTAGATCGGACATCAATGCATTGTTCAGATATCTATACACTGCATAAATGCCTATTTTAAAAAGAACCCAGAATTTCCCAACAATTTTGAAAATTGCCTTATGCAATTCCAGTCTCAGCCACTGCTTCCCTTCCACCTTCTGCTTCCTGAGCTATCCCGTCAAAACACACACTTCCAAACAGAAGATTAATATCACAGAACCCTTTTATGGAATAACCTGGTAAAGTTAGAAGCAGTCCGGGGCACCATAGTCTGGTTCCTTTAATCCCCCGAGTCATGCTCCACAAGGATACCACAGTTGATGCTAGCGAAAGGCATTGAGAGTTGGGCGTGCCAACACAGCTTGCCCCCTCCCCTGGCATAGTTCCTTTGCCAGGGCCAACCAAAGCATTCTTGGTCCCGAAACTTGGCCTGGAACCAGTCTGAAATGGATCCAGATCATTAATTTCATTCAGAAGTGCCTCAACCTGTTCAGCTTATTTTCCTGGGAAAGCTTAATGTCTTGAGTAAGAAATGGAGCTTTGCTGATCACTTCTTATAATCTGAATGTATGGAAATTGCAGTCATCTCATATACCAGAAACAAGGAGCTAATGATGGATTGTCTACACTACCACTAGACAAAATCATGGAGCACAAGGCTACCAATGACGACTAGGCAAGGCAAGTACATGTAACTTGCAGGGTCAAATGCCTCAGAATTACCAGTTACTGGGGAACAGCAGTGAGAAAGGTGCTGTTGCTTGTGGGCTTCCCATAGGTATCTGGTTGGCCACTGTGGAAAACAGGATGCTGGGGCTTTTGTCTGATTAAGCAACACTCTTCTTAAATATCACTTGCTGGGGTAACATTTGGAGGAGGAAGGTTGCCACCTAATGGTCCAGTGATTTGTGGCACTTTCCCTAAGCGTGTTGCAGCTACAGTGGTACCTCGGGTTAAGTACTTAATTCATTCCAGATGTCCGTTCTTAACCTGAAACTGTTCTTAACCTGAAGCACCACTTTAGCTAATGGGGCCTCCTGCTGCCGGAGGTACTATTTCTGGGTTAGCGGAGTCTGTAACCTGAAGCGTATGTAACCTGAAGCGTATGTAACCCGAGGTACCACTGTACATGGTTAACAAATCTACAGTTCCCAGGATTTTTGAGGGGAAGCCATTGCTGATCGAGGTGGCATGACAACGCAGGTGGGACTTCTCTTTCACTTGCATCACCATCATCATCTATTCCACCTGGCTTTCAATTTTAATTTAGCCTGATCTTTTATTCCCCTTCCTTCCCTCCCCCTCCCCTTTTTATTAAGGTTACCCGCTCTGGGATCCCACAGCTAATTCTCCCCTGGCCTCCTCGCTGGCCCAAATAGGACTAATTTAGCCAGCTGGCCCTGGTGATCATCTAATGTTTATTGGATGGATTTACCCCTAAATTGATTTTTGAACTTTGAATTTGTTGTTCATGCTTTTATACTGTATTTTATGCTGTTTTTTTGTTGTATCACAATTAAGTGTTTTAAATTTGTTGTTAGCCGCCCTGAGCCCGGTTTTCTGAACCAGGAAGGGTGGGGTATAAATAAATTTATTATTATCATCATCATCATCATCATCATCATCATCATCATCTCTTCCTCCCCCTTCTCCCATTCCTTCCTTCCTTTTCTTTGGACAGCAACGTGGCTGTTTGAAGCACCCAAGCCCTACCGCTCTTGCTAATTTGCCTCTCCCTTCATTATCCCTCAACCTGTCCAGGCTCTCATCACCCCAAGTGGGCCTCCCTGCTCCTGCCAAGCCCTGCTCCCAGGGGGCCATTCTCACTTTGTCACAATATGCGAAGGTTGGTGCCCAGTGGCCAAACAGCACAAGTGACCCTCTCCTTCATGGATCAACCTTTTCAGAGTAAAGAGAGAGTTTCTGCCTCCACTATTACGCTACTTTAAACAGTAGTGTTTACTTTAAACACTATTACGCTACTTTAAACATGGGAGATATCAGTTGTTAAGCATGCTGAGAGTTGTTGTCGTTTAGTCGTGTCCGCCTCTTCGTGACCCCCTGGACCAGAGCACGCCAGGCACTCCTGTCTTCCACGGCCTCCCGCAGTTTGGTCAGACTCATGCTGGTAGCTTCAAGAACACTGTCCAACCATCTCGTCCTCTGTCGTCCGCTTCTCCTTGTGCCCTCAATCTTTCCCAAGAGTTGTTAGGAGACCTCTGTTCCTATCACAGAGCGACAATTCCCAATGAAGTTTAACAATCGATCCCTCTTTCTAGGGGGCTATGGGAATTATAGTTCTGTGTGGGGAACAGGGGTCTGCCAACAACTCCTAGCACCCTAACAAACTGCAGTTATCAGGATTATTTGGGGGTTAAAACTTAATGACTGTTAAAAGTGGCCTAAGAGTGCTTTAAATGTATGGTGATGATGTGCTCAAAGTCTCCAAAAAATCATCAAAAAATAGCTAACCTTTCCCAGCATCATGTGTGTGTGTGTGTGTGTGTGTGTGTGAGAGAGAGAGAGAGAGAGAGAGGTTTAAAAAACAAAACAGACAGCACATAAGATAGTGGTAGGGAGGAATCAGTACAGGCCACTAAAAATTAAAACATTCATTTATTAGAATATTTATGTAAAAAGACTCTCTTTACACTTTTTTTTTATACAATAGTTGATTTTTTCATTGCTTTATCAGCTCCTGCTGGAGAGAGAACATTTGTACATGAAAGCACATACAGGCTACTGCGGTCTACTGATCTCTGCTCAGCCTGAAGCAGAGCGCTATGGCAAGGCCCAGGTTAGGTCGAGAGTACACAGAGCCGTGTGGTGGGAGTGGGGGCGAGACGGATGAGCCCCCTTCTGCCGCTCTTCCCCCTCTTACCTGTGCCGCTTGCAGCTCTTCCCCTCTTGTGTGTTTGTTGTGGGGGGAGCATGCTGGAGGAAGGAGAGGGTGTTGCTATTTGGGTGGGAGAAAAGATGGACAGGTTTGCACAGAGAGCTATTAACAGGCCTAGTCTAGCCGTCCTGGCTGGAGCCAGGATGCACCAGACAGAGCGAGCGGCAAATCACAACACCATTTTTATTTTATTTTTGCGCAGGCAGACACTGTATGGCTAAAAAGGCACAGCACAGGGGGCAGAAAATTAAAATGCCCCCTTCAGGATGGGGTGGGATGGGGGTGAGGAACTAAGAACTACTGGAAGGGGGGGAACAGCAGGCACCAGCATGGCTCTGTAGAGGGCACACTTCTTGAAAGAAGCTTCGATAACAGAATTGCAATATCCAGAACTGGTGTCTAAAGTGCAGAAACTCATTCTACGCTCTACCTTAGTCTTATCACCAACACACCCATCCTCAGAAAAGGGGGGGGGATAAAACACAATCAGTTCAGACTGGGCAGATATAGATCACTTCAGTGAGGGAGGAACCTAACACACAGGATTGCCCCCACCCCCCAAACCTGGTGCCCTCCAGACATCCCACAAGCCCTGTGGGAGACGAAGACACAACTATCTGGAGGGAGCCAGAAAGGCTGCCCTCTTGTCCTCCAGATATTAGACTACAATTCCCATCATCCCAGGCTGTTGGGCATGTTGGCAGATGTTGATGGGAGCTGTAGTCAAGCAACCTGTGGAGGGCCATAGTGTCCCAAACCCCCTGGTATAGAGTGGAAAGCAACCTCACTGAGCAAGACAGTTCTATGCCCCTTTCTGAATTCCTTTCTTTTTCTTTGGGGGTAAGTGTCAGGGAACTGACATCGGAGCCTGAGGCGGAGGGAAGGCTCTCAAATGATGCTGGAGAAGGGCCAAGCAGGGAGAGAGGCAGTTCAGCAGAGGGGGAAGCAAATCAACGTTACACCAGGGATAAAGGGGGGCAGAATGGGGAATCGGCGAGAGGGCTCCAGGACTCTTCACTGGACACCAGCGGGGAGAGCACGGGTCCTCCGCTACCCACGCCTTCCCTGCGCAGAAGACTTCCACGCAGGGAGAGTAGGAGGAGACTGGGCGTCAAACAACTTTTATGTTGGAAGAGGTTTAAGAAACGCCCACTGACGGATTCTGCTAGCGACTGAGGCAGCCACGAATTGAAGGGCTGTCCAGACAGAAAGGTTTAACAAGGCAACATAGCCAGGAGAGGCGGCAACTTACGCACGAGCAACCCCATACTCATTATAGTAAGCAATGGGGAATCCCTGCAATGCCTTCACAGGAAAGCCATCTTTGGCTAAGGGCCAACTCTACAAAGTGAGCAGACCACTCTTTGATGAAGCTCATCATTTGAGAATGCAGGGCAGGGGTGCAGCTGAAAGACTCCCATATACCCACCTATCTATAAATACCCAGCATATTGGAAACAACCATCTCAGAGCAAAAATTATAACCCGCATTCAGATTTCCCCCCCCTCTCCTTCACATGTGAGAAGATTCAATCATGCCCCTTCCTCCACCTGCCGCTTTGAAGAGGCACCGTAGAATCATAGAATCATAGAGTTGGAAGAGACCACAAGGGCCATCGAGTCCAACCCCCTGCCAAGCAGGAAACACCATCAGAGCACTCCTGACATATGGTTGTCAAGCCTCTGCTTAAAGACCTCCAAAGAAGGAGACTCCACCACACTCCTTGGCAGCAAATTCCACTGTCAAACAGCTCTTACTGTCAGGAAGTTCTTCCTAATGTTTATCAGCCATGTGATTTGCTTGCTCTGTAGGCAACACTTTGTCTTCGTGAACCCCCATCAGGGGGATGGAGGGGATTTCCTGGAACTTCCAGACACGAAAGCCTTGCTATTATTTGCAAGGTTGGATTTATTCCCGGTTGTAGAATAGTTGTGGCGCTCCACCATAATACATAATTTGGTGGTCAGGGATGGAGACATGAGTTTTATAGGCTAGGATAATGAGGGGCTAGATTTTTGGAAACCAGAAGTAAGGTAACTGAAAGAGGCACTGGGAGCAGCTCTGGGGTAGCCAATGTGGGTGCCCTCCAAAATGGCGGACTCCAACTCCCATCGGCCCCAGCCAGCATGGCCAATGGTCAGGAGTGATAAAAGCTGTAGTCCAAAACATATGGAGGGCACCAAGTTGGGAACAACTGGCCTAGCACCATCTATCGGAGGAGGATGCCCACTGCAGAGTGAAGGCCGGAGGGAGAGCAGAGTCTAGCAAGCAGGTGAGGGAAAACAGAACTGATAGGAGCTCGTCAGAGGGCGATGGGTCATAAACCAGTTAAAGGATGCCCCTGTTGAGATAGTTCTCTCTGAAAGGAGAAGCAGCTGGCTCCTCTGCAGCTGATATTGCTAAAAGCTAACGCCCAAACCCAGCTACCTATTAGAGTTCATGCTCTCAAGTTTATAGGCAGAAAAAAAAGGCTATTAAAGCTTTTCACAGAAGCAGCCAATCTGATATCTTCCAGACATTTTGGACTATAATTCCCATCAGCTCCAGCCTGCATTGGTTGTGGCTGATGGGAAACTGCATACCCAAAGCATCTGCAAGGCACCAGGTTGGCAAAGGACAAGTGGAACAGCCCTCTGCGCAGGCACCCTAAGTGCCCTTTGTAGAATAATTTGACGCCTTTTAAAGAAACAAATACCCTGTGCCGTTGTTTTTTTAAGGTTAAAATAAACCAGCAATTATATATGTACAGCCATGTATTCATCTTTGGTCAACAAAATGCTCTTTGTGTGTGTGTTTTTAAAAGGTAATTTGGATTATAAGATGAGAAAGTGGGTAACTCCAGGAAAACAGGGGAAGGTATGCTGGAGAATTTTAGACAGGTGACGACATGTGATCAGTCCCTGGTGTCGGAGCACACTTACCGCTCAGGTTCTAGGAGCAAACAGCTTAGTTACACTTAACAGACTTGTGAAACAAAAAGAAACCAGGTGACTCTGAAATTTAGAACGTCCAAAAGGCTAGAATAATTTTCTTATGGCTTCATGAGATTTTAAAAGAAATCCACAAACTCTATATGATTGGAATGCTTTGTTAACCCAACCAACCACCTGGTGCAGAAAACTGGTGTCAGAAAAATGCCACGCTCCTTCCAAGCCAGCAGTGCTCTAAAATAAAATTTTAAAAATCATGCCTGGTTTAAAGCACGCCTGGCTCAGTGTTTTCTTTCAAGAGCCCTCTTTAGCGGAGAAGCTACTGCCAATGCCATCTCTAGAAGACGACAAGCAAAATATACAGAAAAAAATGAAGAGAAGTGCAGCTGGTGATTTAAAGCCATACTCGAATCCCACAGAGTTCCAGCTTCACCACTGGCCCACAGGAATGCCGGGGACCGGCTTGGGGTGACACAGCACGCCACCCCGCCCCAGACTGTGCTATACCTGATACAAGATGCACTTCCTCGTCTTCTCCAGTGTGTTTGGAAAGGAAAATCAGAGCAGCAACAAAGCAAGAAGGAGAAAAGAGAGGGCTCTCTAAAGTGCAAATGAACAAGAGGCTTCAGGTGTCTAAACGAAAGCAGTCTCTTGGCGCTAAGGGGAAAGATAGCAGTGGGGCAAAGCATGCCACCCTACCCATCCCAGAGGAAGGGATGCTCCTCTTAATGCGGAAAAGGGGATGAGCAGGGCTCTGGCATTTTTCAGGACAAGGGATTTTGGTCACCCACTATGCCTGCCGCTTTCCTTAGCAAAACAGCCAAGCTGGCATAAGATGTGCATTCCATTTGGGTTATTATTTCTCACCTCCTAGTAAAGCTTCCAAAATGAAGAGCACAAAGAGAGAGAGAGAGAGAGAGGGAGAGAGAGAGGAAGAGGAGAAAGCAACTGAGAAAAGCCCAAGGTATGTGTGTGTTTGCAGGAAGCTCCCCCTACTGGTCAGGTCTAGAAGTGCATGGGGAGGAGCTCACTGGCCTTTGGGGATGAAGGGTTCCCCCTCGTCAGGATCGGGCCTAGGCCCAGGGTCACTCAAGCATCGCATTATCCGCTGGTTACTGGGGCTGTCGCCAGTTCCAGGGGTGAAGACGTCATCTGTGCCTGGAGAGGAAGGTTCTTTGGCCCGCATTACCAGCCCCTGCTCATCCTCGTCTTCCTCTGGGGATGGTGGGAGGCGGCTCATTCCCTTCAGCGCCTCGTTCACCAAGTCAACAGATTCTGGAGACTGCGGGGACGCAGGGTCGATGGTGATGATAGGGAGGTTCTCGGAGTCCGGCTTGGGGTCATAAGCTAGAGGGTCTGGAGAGGGAAAGGAAAGATCACGTTGGAGGTCAACAGCAGGGATCATTCTGTTGTAACTTAAGGGTTAATTCTGTCGCCAAGAAGCCAGCTAACCAAGAGGGGCTGGAGCTGTTGCTTAGCATCCAATCAGAGTGGGATGGTCTTTGCTAAGGTAGCACTTATTGTGATTGGCTATGTAATTCTGAGGGAGTTTTCTCCCCTGTATATTTGATTGAATATCTAACCCTTCTATGTACCAGGAAAATTTGGAGGAACACTGAAAAAACTATTCAATATTTTGTCCTTTGGAAAAAAAGACTTTTTAATACAAGGTTTTACTCACTTAAAATGAGTAGTATGAATATGTTCATGTCCCCTTAATCAACAGCATTAGAGAACAATAATTCATATGTACACTATAAACATATACAACACTCAAATCCTAGATAAATTTCTGCATCTAGGAGCACCTTCGTTGCTTGTGAATTGCTGCTTGGTTTCTTCCGGCGACCTGTTTTAAGCTTAGATATTCTAGAAGCAAGTATCCCAAATCTGCTGTCCTTTTGACTGGCACATTTTCATATCTCCCTTCAAATGACTGTGACATGTATATTCAAAGTATGCACACTTTGGGGGCTGCAACCCTGTATGTGGTTTCTTGGGATGAAAGCACCTCTAAAGAGTGCATCTTACTTTTGGGTTAACACATAAAAGATTGCTCTGTAAATTTAATAAATATGCCAAATATTACATGCTAAGTTATAAATGCCACATCTCAGCCTGTTAAAGTAGGAAAATAATTGAAGTTTGATAAGAAAGTATTGCATGTATTTAAATCCCCCCTCCAAAAAAAGTTTTCAGGTATTTCTTCACCGTCAAAAATATGCCCCCACATGACTACAAAATGTCCCTATATTTTACACTCTATTCCTAAATGAAGCCAGTTAAGAGCCAAGACTGGAGCAGCGAGCAAGTCAATTAAGAGCTGCAACCGCCACTTTGTGGATGGGTAAAGCTGGAACATAAGTAGAGTCCTGCTGGATGAGCCCCAAGGACCATCTAGTCCAGCATTTGGTACTTACAGTAGCCAACCAGATGTCTGTGGGAAGCCAAGAAGTAGGGCATGAGCACAGTAGCCCCCTGGAGCATTTACATTCATTTTTTGTGCAAACCTGGCAGTTGTCTGAAATGCAGACTGTTGAGTCTCTCAGGACACCACCAGGGGGTTGCAGAACATGACTAATACAGGAGGACAAACAACTTCACAGTGTCCACGAAGTGATGGGTGACAGGGGCAGAGAGGTAAGAATGGGGGTCCAACCAAGTAGAGGAAACTGCTGGGTTTCATTCTTGGTTTCGGGGGGGGGGGACAGGCTTGTATAGATCACAGCAGGGATAGCTGGGTTTGGTTCCGTTACCTGCTGAGGAGGAGAAGCACCAGTCCTATTTATAGGCAGGGGTCTGATAAAGAAAGAAGAAAGGCACAAGAGAGGAGATCAATCCTTCGCAGAGATCCGTTAGGTACCTCTTGCGGAGACCTGGTGGGCAGGTTCTCCTTTGATCTGATGGTCTAGCAGAAGGAGGCTGGGGATCAGGAGAAAACATTCACCCAGATCCAACTGGGGTTAGGGACCCTGAAGATTTTTTGCTTCACCCTCAAAGAGTCTGCTGGCTCTCTCTGCTCTCCATCGCTCGGCGCATCCCTTTCCCTGCTCCTCCTGCCTACTGGCAGCATGTGCCACTCTGCATCTTTTGGAAGATCTTCAGCCACCTTGGAGCCCTATGGCACAGGAACCTTGGAGGCTGCCTTATACCATGTCGGAATATTGGTCTATTTCACTCAATACTGCCTGCTCTGAAAGGCAGCAGCTCTTCGGGAGGAGTGTTTCCTAGCTCCACCTGGAGATGCCAGGGATTGAACCTGGGAATTTCTGGAACCCAAAGCAGTAGCGAAGGCTATTGCTGCAGCTCCACCCTAAGTGGGCGAGCAGCTGCTGGGACCGTGTCTGCCCTGCAAGCCTCTCACAAGGAAAGAATCCAACGCTCAGTGCAGAATTCCGCATTCCAAGATCCTCAGGTTTCTCTCCCTCTCTCTGCAAAATACAAATTGCTTTGTTCCCAAAGGTAGCAGCCTCCCTTTGCTCCAAAATGCATTTAGCCTGGAATGGGGAACATGTGGCCTCCCGTTGGTGTCAGGCTCCAACTTCAACCAGCCTAAGCCAGCATGGCCAATGGTCTGGGATAATGAGATGTGTACTCTGGCAACCTGTGAAGTTCCACAGGTTCTCCAACCCTGCATTAAACACACACACATACACCAGAGTTCCTGCAGATGGGCCAGGACTATTGGAGTTGCACCATAAGAACAGTCATACTGGATCAGGCCACACGCCCATCTAGTCCAGCATCTTGTTCTCACCGTGTGCTATGGACAGCCTGCAAGCAGGGCCATTAAAGCGAAACTTGTGGGGCATGAAGTTAGTGGGGTAACTGAATGCTAACACAGCAGCAGTGCCTTGAAGCTTCCTTCCCAAATGGTCCACCATGCCCCGGTTGCAGATTTCTAATTTCCAGAAATTGCCACAGCCTCCTCCCCTCACCTGAGCCAATGCGTGCCCTTGACATGGTGGGCGAATCGATTTTGTGTGTCGGCACCGTCAGGTAGTTGTTTATCTGGAATCAGAAACACAGCAGCCATTAATTAAAGGGCTCTTCACCTCAGATACTCCAATGACGTCTCCCCTCTTATCTTCCTCTCTTCAAGATGAACTTAAGAAGAACCTGCTGGATCAGATCAGTGGCCGATCTAGTCCAGCATTCTGTTCTCACAGTGGCCAAACAGAAGCCCCTGGGAAACCCTTGAGAACAGGATTTTCCGCCTCTTTTGGTTTCCAGCAACTGGTATCTGGAAGCCACTGAAGAGAAGCTCGCACTTTGAACCTCCACCCCAAACTCTCCACCATTACAGCCTTCCTTCCATCCATGGTACCTTCTGTTCCAGCTGTCGAGCCTTCTGCCTCCTCAGCAACATCTGGTTCCAGGCTTCTTCGTAAGGGTCGGCCACCAAGGTGTGTCGATTATATGACCGCAACTAGAACAGAACTCAAAAGAGGTTACATATACACACAGAGAGAGCCCCCCCACCCTCCCGGCTGCCATTTGTGTGAAGACAGTGTGGTTTCTAGGGCAGATGTGTGGGGTGGGAAATACAACTAGTACCTGTAAAATGACAACAGTTATTCAAACAGAGGCTATCAACTTTAACCAGAGGTGCCCAAATTCCAGCAAGTTTTGAGCTAAGCCACTCTTCCTCTGGGATTATGAGAAACGAACTCTTTGACCATGACTTGCTCAGTAAAAATGTGTCTGTCTCCCAATCGATTGCAATGGAAAACCCAGCTAGATTTCTGTTGCTGTAACATTAGTCTTTTCCATCCAAACAGTATAAAATCTGCAGATATTCAGCCAACATGCCTGAAGAATTTCAGGCAGGGGGTCAGACAAAAGGGTCCCAGCGTTATAGGCAACTGGGAAAAAGTGGACAAACATAATAACCTAATGATTATCTTAACTAAAGAGAGTTTCCCCACTGTGCCAGTTTCACAGCTTTCTCTCTTTCCCCAATTTGTGACTTTTTTGCAAACTGTAGATAGAGCTCTAGCCCATCTCTTCAATGCAAGACAATGCCACTAACGCAAAGCAACTAAAAACGAATAAAACAGCTGAACAAATTTTTGTTTTGCTTTCATTCATTCAAACTACTAATTGTTTTTACTATACAGAAAAAATAATCTTTTGTTTAGCCATTGTTGCTAACGCATAGGGGTTCACCAACTTTGATTTTGACAATTCCCCACTGTTTGAATCACTATTGTTTTGTTTGAATAGGCTCATCCGCTAGGTTTCAGATGTCGATGATCTGGGATCCTCTTTGCCCACAAAATCTGGGGGTGCTGTCATCTCACTTGCAAGAGTGAACATTTATCTTCTCTTGCAGCCCCAACATGCTGAAGGCTTTGCAATGCCCCTCTTAGCAGACAGGTGGCAGCAGCTGTTCCTTCAGACTTCCCCCTTTCTCAAATGCCTTGTCTACCATCATAAGGTTGGGCATAGGTGGGCACAGGAAGATGCAACAGGTGTGTCCCCAAAGAGGCCCCTCCTCACGGCTCATTTCTGCTAGGCCCCTGGAGGTGCACAGATCAGGAGCCCCATATGGCATCTGTTTCTGCTGTGCAAGCCTTACCGCTCCCCCCAGTCAAGTGTATCATTGCTCCAGGCACACATGCTCATCTGCCTGATGACTACAGGTTCCATCCTCAGCTTGCAGTCCCATCACTGCCCATATTTTAGCAGACTGGTCAATTTGCTGCCCCTACCTTTAAGCCAGACAAAGGCCTTTCTACCCTCAGAGTGATGTTCATTTATTGCCTTGTTTATTACGTCAAATTGTTGAACCAAGCTGCAGATTTATCACATTCATCAATGTATCTGGCCAAGTAACAAAGCAATTTTTTGTTTGCTTTGCCAGTTTGCTTGGGTTGCCAGCTGGCTGTAAATGCGGGTCCGGCCTGTAAATATTTTTGATGGACTGCGAGAATCGGAGGGATGGTGAGTGGGGGCCCCTGGAAGAAGGTGCACTGGAAATAGCTCTGACCTACCACAGTTTTCCAGACCAAAGATGCTAACGGGGTCCTCTTTCTTACCCTCTGTCTGGTTTTTTGCAAGTTGGTGCGCAAGATCTTTCGGATTTCCTCCTCTTTGTCCTTCGACAGAGCTGGCAGGATGCGTTCCACAGGCAAAGTTTTCGGATTGATATTTCTGAAAGATTAAGAGAAGGTTAAAAAGCTTCAAAGGTTTGACCTACAAGAGAAAATCAAAATGCTCTATTACTAATCACAATTTATTCATCACTATAAAGCAGGCATCCCCAACCTGCGGCCCTCCAGATGTTTTGGCCCACAACTCCCATGATCCCTGGCTAACAGGAACAGTGGTCAGGGATGATGGGAATTGTAGTCCAAAACATCTGGAGGGCCGAAGGTTGGGGGTGCCTGCTATAAAGCTTATAGAATTAGAGCACATGCTCTGCATGCAGGGGGTCCATGCAGAAGATAGGACTGGGAGAGAACCCTGCCTGAAACCCTGAAGAGCTGCTGCCAGTCAGTGTAGACAATATTGAGCAGGATGGGCCAATGGTCTGACTCAGTATAAGGCAGCTTCCTATGAGAAGGTGGGGAATGTTTTGTTGTGCAAGCAGAAATCCTTATGCTAACAGAATTAGTGTATAGGCCAGTAATACCAGGGTTTTTTTACAGTGGGATTTTTTAAAGGGTTAGCAAAGTAGCATAGTCGTACCTCGGAAGTTGAACACCTTGCGAGTTTAATGTTTTGGCTCCTGAACGCCGCAAAACTGGAAGTGAGTGTTCCGGTTTGCAAACATTCTTTGGAACCCGAACATCCGATGCAGCTTCTGTGGCTTCCAATTGGCTGCAGGAGCTGCCTGCAGCCAATCAGAAGCCTCACCTTGGTTTTTGAACATTTTGGATGTCAAACAGACTTCCAGAACAGATTCCATTTGACTTCCGAGGTACGACTGTATATGTTAAGTGGTTTGAACACTCAAAAGCACTGTGTTTCCTCCAATCAGAGTAAGCCTTTCCCCCTTTAATGAATAAAACAGCCCCACCTCCCTTGCTCTCCATGATACTTACTGCATGGAGACAGTGGAGACGGCAGAGGGGATCTTGCCCATTCCCCCGCTCTCTACCAGCTCAATGGCTTGCTTCATCTCCATCTTGTGATAGAAGGCAATCAGCTGGGGCTCCTTCGACCTCTCCCCAGCAATTAGGCACTTCTTCACGTATTTCTTGTTGAAGCGATTCAGCCTTTGCAAGGGGATGAGAAAGACAACAACAATGTAAAGCTACAATAAGCATCGCCCACCCTGAAGATTTTGGACAGCAGCTCCTATCATTTCCTGGCAACTGGCCATGTTGATTGGGGGCGATGGGTGTTCGAGTCAAACGACATGGGGTGTGTGGTGTAGCGGCACAGGTTAGCCAGCCTGGGGTTTAGCTCATAAAAAATAGCACCATGTAGAGTCCTTGAGATTAAGCCCCCCCCCCAAATGTTAATGTGGCATCTTAGAAAACCGAAACAAAAGAATTCCCAAACGTGATTATTACAAAAATCCAGTTACAATAGTAGACAATAATAATTGTAAGCAACTTATTATTTTCTCCCCTAGCTCAGTAGCACTTACTTGTCCTTCCAGTGGTGATGGCCATAGTGGCCACAAATGTCCTCAATCCCAGTCAAAAGATGATCCAAGAACTATTTGAAGGAGAGAGGAAAACAAAAAGTATGGATTTTGCCTCATCTACAGGGCACACCTGATCTCTGCAACAGAAGCACAACCTGGTGATGAAGTGATCTCTCCTTGCCAACCCCCCTCCACGCTCCATCCCTTTCACCTGCAGTATTTTGCACCTAGGACAAGTGTGACTGTAGTGGCAGCACACACAGAGCTCATGGGTATTGTTTTAGCATGACATGGGCAGCGATGAGGGATGCAGCTCATTAAACGTTTTGGAGGAGAGGATATCATGGTCTGCTCTCACCCCGTTCCAGTGCAGCTCTAGCATAGGAGTTCTCTTTCACCGGCTGGTGAAGTTAAACAAACCCTGGAAAGATGTATGTGCTTCCTTCCCTGTGCTGCAGCACACATTTAACTAGTTAAAAAGGTGGGGTGGATGAGAACTTCCCATCTGTATAATAAAGGCCAGATATTGCACTATAACGATCGAAAAGGGAATTGCAGCAAGGCTAAAATACAGCTTACTGACTGTGCAGGAATGTTCTTTAGCAATTGAACTGGGGTGTGTGAGAGAGAGACAGAGAGACAGAGAGACAGAGAGAGAGAGAGAGAGAGAGAGAGAGAACCAATGCTACATAGCATGCCATTAGAGCAGGCATAGGCAAACTCGGCCCTCCAGATGTTTTGGGATTACAACTCCCATCATCCCTGGGCCTGTCAGCTAGGGATAATGGGAGTTGTAGTCCCAAAACATCTGGAGGGCTAAGTTTGCCTATGCCTGCATTAGAGTATCATCCCTCAGCCTTTTCAGGCTGGGACTCATTAATCCCAACCTAAAACAAATCAAAACTAGGTTCCATATTTAACATACATGTTCCTCTGTTGTGTTGAAATAACTACAGACGAGTAGCAAGTGTCATGTGAGAGGCATCTCTCGAGCAAGTCCCGAGGAGACTCTTTTATTGAATATTACAACATTGCCACAGGTGCACTCGTTGCTGATTGGTTGACACAAATACAAAGCAAAGGTTACATATAGGCATTAATCACCAATAGATTAAAGGCTGGGAAAGGGAGCACAGAACTAGACAGGCATGAAACCTCCTAATTAAATTATAACTAGTGATTGATTATCATGACTTGGGTTTCTTCTCTTGGGGTTTTTCTAGTATTTACGCTTCGGACATACTGGTTTAACTGTTGGCCCTTCTCCCAAAGGATCTGGGAGTTGTACCGTATTTTTCGCACGATAACACGCACCCGACCATAACACGCACATAGTTTTTAGAGGAGGAAAACAAGAAAAAAAATATTCTAAACGAAACAGCGGGTGTATGATTTTTGTGGTTCATGCTGTGGCCACAGACATGTGATCTGACGGTGAGGTTGGGGTAGCCCAATGCAAAAATCCTGAGGATCCATGTGGATCCATGCTTTGTAACCACATTTTTGCACCACTGCGGCCCCAGGCAACAGTGGGTGCGTGATTTTTTTGGTGCAAGTTGTAGCCATGGACATGCTATGTGATCTGATGGTGAGGTTGGGGTAGCCCAATGCAAAAATCCTGAGGATCCATGTGGATCCATGCTTTGTAACCACGTTTTAAGTGGGGAGGGAAGGAAAAGCACTCAAGGGACAAGGAACACGTGTGGGGTGGGTGGAGAAGGATGCTGCTAATAATGCAGAAGAGGGGTATAAGGGGAGAAGGCTCCTCTCCTCTCCCGCTTTGCTCCTTTAAAGGCTCTGCTTCTCTCCCTCCTCCCGGCTCGCTGGAAAACTTTGCTACTATTTAGCCAGCTGAGTGGGGAGGAGAGAGGGACAGAGAGCCTGATTGCGAAAAACTTTGCTGCTATTTAGCGAGCTGTTCTCTCCCTCCTCCCCGGCTTGCTGAAAAAAACAGCTCCGGACTCATGTAAGCGGCTCCTCTCCTCTCCGCTTTGCTCCTTTAAAGCAAGCAGGCTCTCTGTCCCTCTCTCCTCCCCACTCAGCGGCTCTTCTCCCGCTTTGCTGTTTCAAAGCGGGCCACGGAGGAGGGAAGGAAGGGGAACCATGGATCCTCTGCTCACGACTGCAGCAGAGCCCCCCGCCATCCGTAGGCATTCACTCCATAACACACACAGACATTTCCCCTTACTTTCTAGGAGGAAAAAAGTGAGTGTTATGGTGCGAAAAATACGGTATTTATTTATTTCATTTTGTTTCATAAAATGTATGTGCTGCTTCACTGGAAACTGCTTTGAGCTTCTTTAATTTTTTTACCAAGAGTACAAAACAATAACACTGTCAGTAAAAACAGTTAAAAGCAACAATTTAAAGAATTAACAAAATAAAACCAGCAATAAACTAAAAACACATTAAAGCAGACATTGACATTCCACGTATCTGATTAGACTCGTCTAAACAAAAATGCTCTTAGCAGGGTCCAAAAAGAGAACAATGAAGGTGCTCGCCTGACGGCAATAGGGGTTACATGTGCAGGATGATAGTCAGAGGCCTGTCAAAATTCTTGAACGCAAGTTACAGTTAGTTTCCAGAATTACGGGTGTGGGAGAGAAGGGAGCTATGACTGTAAAGATCTAGTATTTTAAAAATTGTTATGCAGACATATTCTCACCCCGCCCGTCCCCCAGTTGCCGCCACCACATTTTTCTTCTACAACTTTTTAAAAAAGCTACTAGTGTGGAAAAGTTACAGTTTATCTGCAAAAGCCTTCCCACTTTCTGTTGGTATCTCTAACGGATTTTGAGTATTACAACTTTATCAGATGGGCTGATCCTACGATTAGACAGAGTGAGGCAGTCTCATTGGGAAGCTGATTTTCAAAGGGCAGCAAAGGTTTGTTATTTTGCACTTTTGCTACCAGGGAGAGGAGAGGCGCTTGCTGGATTTTCATATTCAGGTGCTGAATAACTTGACAGGCCTTGGTGCTTGGCGTGGGGCACCAGTTGCTGTTTCACCTCAGGTAGCAAAAAATCTGGCCCTGAATTGCTATTTCTTAGCTTTGGTATGTGGAGATCCTTTTCCCCAGTCAAAGGAACATATTATTCCAGAAACAAGGGGCAAACCATCACAACTAGACCACTGGAATGCTTTTGCAAATAAACTATAGCATTTCCTCAGCATCTTGCAAATTTTGTTCTTTTGGGGTGTGAGTGGTTTAGAATTGGTACTGCCACCTTTCCCCCTGCCACTGGTGAGATCCATCTTAGGTGTGACCCACGTGGTCCTGACCCACTAGCAGGAAATAACTGAATTTGAGGACACGGGTTACATGAAGTGCCTTGATCAGCTGCTAGGTGGCACCAGCAAGCTATACCAACCAGTGCTTTGTTGAATTAAGCTATGGGAAATCTTTGAGACAAGAAATACTGGATGATTTTAGGTGACATATTTCAGCTTCCAATAAATCTTTTTGTGTGTGTTTTTTAAAGTTACGTTATTTTGTACTTTGTAAAGTGTAACTTGGAACCTGATATGAACTAGAAGAGTAGTAAGTATGGCTCGACAATCAGCCTATTACCGATTCATGTTATTTCATCCCACTTTTTGCAAACAAAACCCACACATACCATCACATTTAAATTGTATACATTTTGTACACATTCTTCCTCTAAAATAAGCATTGGGGGGGTTCCTTTCCTCCCATAAAATATGCTTTTTGTGTGTGTTAACAGCATGACAAAATGTAGAGAAGTGTATAATGTGGTTGATAGCTCTGTTACGATTTCCATGTCAAAGTCTGTGACAGGTGAATTAGGCCAGTTTGCTTTTCAATGCAAACTCTAGTATTAAGGCAGCTAAACAGAGGTTCTTCCTCTCTCTCTCTCTCTCTCTCTCTCTCTCTCTCTCACACACACACACACACACACACACACAGAGACCACTCAGCACAAAGTAAAACAGAACTATTACCTGAGTGTGAATTTCCTCATTGATGGACCTCTTAGTCTCTTGCTTTTTTTTCACAGCCAAGAGATCTACCAAAGGGCGGATGGTCATTCCCTGTGGAGACATAAGCCTGGTTGAATTCAGCACGCCTTAAATACGGACTCTAGACTGTGTTTGGTTGGATTAATTTAGCCTTTACTCCACTTTACTCCCCCATATCCCACTAGTTCCCGCCCCCTTTCTTGGGGGACCATTAAAAATGGTCTCCTTAAGTACAGTCTGGTCTACCACCTCCTTTTGTTGCATGACCTCATTGCTGCCATGATGCCCCCAGGCCTGGGAAACAGAGGGGCTTCTACAGGCCTACCTGCACAAACACTGTGAAGAAGATGACCGTAATGATGGCAGTGAGGAACATGTCTCTCATTGGGAAGTGATCGTATTTGAGGAGGTAACCCAAGGAGAAGGCAATGGCACCCCGTAGGCCACCGTAGGCAATGATGAACTGATCCTTTGGAGTCAACTTCACAATGCGGAATTTGTTAATGAACCATGTCAGCCCCAGGACACCTGAGGAAATGATAAAAAGGAATGGTACCAGTTAAGGGAAAAGTAAAGTTCAGGGTCCGTATATTGTCGCTACAGATGGGAAGGCAAAGAATTCTGCCACGTAGCTAAAAATTATGTCAAATTTGTATAATTTGGGTGGTATTTGACACTAGCCCTACGCGGTGCATGCTACCAAATTTGAATGAGGAAGTCACCAAACACACACAGATGTGGCTCCAATGAGGTTTGAAATGCAGTCTTTAAAAGCAGAGAGAAAGAGAGAGGCTCAGCCAATACATCTGGAAATCACTATGAACCACGTTTTTTGAGACAGGGATGAACCTAGCCTCCTCCTGGGCTCACGCAACTCCCCCCCCCCCCCTTCACCTCCTGCAAGGTGTTGGTTTCTGCTTTCCTTCACTGTGCAGCTCTGCTTGTCACGAGACAGGTGTTTACATTCCACAGTCTGTACTGTTGGAGTTTCTCACGGGAAAGGGAGGCTGGATGTGACGTACACTGGTTTCCTGTTTTTCACTGTGTGATTCTCTCCGAGCTGTCGAGGAGAGAGGATGCATTTTCTGCTCCGGCAGAGGCAAGATGTCTTTCTGTAATATACCAGCTTTGAACTGTAAATAAAGCAATATAGAGTATGCAGCACGTATTCCTCATCCTTCCGCTGGCAACCAGACTCTGCTTAAATCAACACGTGGTTATGGGCTCCAGAAGTCGAATCGGAGTGCCGGCAAAGGATCGGAATGCAGAGGAACAGATCGGAACGGAATCTGCTCTGCGCCTAGAGGTGATTGATGAGGTATGTGCTACTGCTCCGGGCAGCCTGCCAGCTTCAAGTTAATGGCTTTATGGCTGGACTTTGAACTTTTAAAGCCGGTTTTGCCGGGAATAGGCAAAAGGCTCCCAGGCACAAGTCACTATGCTGGGGAAATCGAAGTAACTTTTAAGGGCCTTTGTAATACGGCAGCTGCAGCAGTGACGCAGCAAGATTTAAAGCAGCATATGACGCTGAAGGCTAATGCCAGAGTCATGATGGCCCTTCAGGATGCTTGTGGGATTCCTAAGCTCAACAAGAAAAATTACAGCGACTGGGTTCAGTATGCAGAGGCAATTCTGCGGAAAGAGGGTTTGTTTGAGGTGATTACAGGAACCCCCAGTTCCAGTTACAGATGCATGGGAAGCTAAGGATTCCAAAGCAAGGGGAACTCTTACATTGATAGTATCCCCAGAAGAGCTCTGTCTATTGCGTGATAAGACCTCAGCCAGAGAAATTTGGGACGCTTTGAGAGAGGCTCACTTAAGGACAGAAGCTGGATCCACTATGTTTTACTTTAACAAGCTGCATAATATGGCTCTTGCTGAAGGTGGAGATGTGCGTTTACATCTGATGGAGATGCAAAATCTGAGACATGAGCTGCAACAGAGAGGACTCAACTTTCCAGAGGCTGTGTATTCTTTCATGATACTACAATCTTTGGGTTCAGGTTGGGAGTCTGTTGCAACCCAGATTGCTGTGCAACCATCTGCTCAGCTGACAGTGGACTTTGTTACTGCCGTGATTTTAAATGAAGCAGATCGCCGGGGTGCTAGCTGCATGGGCAAGGGGAGTCTTCACAGACGTCATCCCATAGTGCAGTGGAACCACCAGATGGCGCCAAAGCTTTGAAGGCAGTGAAATGCTACTCGTGTGGACGTCTAGGCCATATGAAGAGGGAATGCAGACATCCCAGGGCCAAGACAGAGCAGCGCAGCGAAAGCTCATCGCGCGGAAAAGGCCGAGGCAAAGGCAAAGGTCCGGTGTCTAGGACAACGCAGCACAAGGCTATGGTTTCACGCTTCACTCCAAAGGTTGCAGAGGTCCAGAAGACGTCTAGATCTTTCTTCGTTGTTGATTCAGCGGCGACCCACCACATGTGCAACGATAAGAAACTGTTTGTGTCTTTTACACCGCAGGAAGGTGCGATTCACCAGGCGGATGACCACACTATTCCCAGTAAAGGCTACGGAACTGTTGTTCTTCACAATTTGGACTTATCGATACAGAATGTGCTTTACGTGCCAGACGCCAAACATAATCTGCTCAGCGTTGGACAGCTGAATGAGCGGAACATTGACGTTTCCTTCAAGAACAAGAAGTGCATCATCACAAAGAAAAATGATTATGTATTGCATGCAGAATATGTTGATCATTTGTTTGTTTTGTATTATGATGATGTGGTGCAGGATGACACTTGTTGCATTGCAGGTTCTAACAAAAGTTTGCATGCAGAATGTATTCACGATTTTCATCGAAAATTTGGTCATTTGCATTTTGAGGCAGTATCTAAAATGCCTGCCTTGGTTGAAGGTATGACTATTAAACCCTGCAGGTACCACATGAAGTGCAAAGCATGCGCAGCAAACAAGGTGAAAATGGCTGCGAAAGGTAAGGTGTCTAGTAGGAAAGCTACAGAACCATACCAGGTTGTTCATGCTGATTTGGTTGGACCACTAGCGCCCTCTTTGGGTGGAAATAGATACTTCATGGTTCTCATTGATGCATTTTCTAGATATATTTTTGTGTACAATCTCAAGCAGAAATCGGAGGCTTTTCCTAGGTTCAAGGAATTCTGTGCTTGGTTGGAAAATGTGCATGGTAAGAAGATAAAGACTCTTTTCAGTGATCGCGGGGGAATTCACTTCTCAGCAGTTTGAAGCTTTTCTGACTGAGAAAGGAATTCAACACGATTTGTCTAGTCCTCGCTCGCCATGGCAGAATGGACTTGCGGAACGGGCAAATCAGACATTGCTTCAAGGGTTAAAAACCTTGCTGCATGATGCCAATCTTCCAGAGAGTTATTGGGCCGAATCTCTCTCGTGTTTTGTTTACAGTTACAATCGCAGGTTATCTTCAGCGATTGGTTGTACCTCTAGGAGAAGATGTTTGGCAAGAAGCCATACATCAAACACATGAAGATTTTTGGTTCTGACATGTGGGTTCGCTCACCACAAAACTCCAAGTTAGACAAGCGTGGATTGCATGGTATCTTTCTAGGTTATCAGAAAGGGTCTTACAGAATAATGATGACTGACTCCAAGACAATTAAGCTCACGAGAAGTGTTGAGTACAATGCAAAGTGGGGGGAGAATGTGGGAATTTTCCAATGTTATCCTGATGACGGTGATGAGACTGAGGATAGTCAAAAGCAACCACAACAACCCACACCCACTGATGAAGGTTCTGAATCTGAATCTGAAACTGAATCGGGTGATTCAGAGGATTTCAAGAGTGCGAAAGCCTCTATGCGACCCTCTGAAAGCTCTGATCAAGAATTGGAGGAACCATTGTTCACAATAGGTCGTTTTTCTCCTAAGAAGGAAGAGGAGAGTGTTGAAGACTTAAGGCTAATTCGTAGGTCACAGAGAGCCACAAAAGGCAAACCTCCAAAGAGATTTGCTGATGAGTTTGCTACGATAGCAGTAACAGCTGTTAAAAGCTCCAAGAAGGTATTTGAACCTTCAAGTTTCCAAGAAATCCAGGGTTTGGATTCAAAGGAAGCTGAGCCATGGTTAAATGCCATGAAGGCTGAGCTTGATTCCTTAGAAAGGAACAAAACATGGGAGCTAGTTCCAGTAGTTCCAGGAATGAAACTGCTTGGAAGCAAATGGGTCTTCAAAGCGAAGACAGATCAAAATGGCAAGATAGTCAGACACAAAGCCAGATTGGTAGCCAGAGGTTTTGCACAGGTACCAGGTCAAGACTATCACGAGACCTATTCACCCACAGTGAGATATGAAAGCATTAGGCTTATGCTTAAGCTAGCTGCAGAGGAAAATCTACACATTAGTCACCATGATATAAATACAGCTTTTCTGTACGGATCTCTAGATGAATCACTTTATATGCTTCCACCTGATGGCGTACAGGTAAAACAGGGATTTGTTTGTGCTCTGAAGAAATCCCTTTATGGTCTCAAACAAAGTGCACGGTGTTGGCACACAAAACTCACTGAAGTATTGTTTTCTCTAGGTTTTCAGCAAGGGAAAGCTGATCCATGTGTATTTGTCAAAGAGGAGGGGCAAAAGAAACTGTACTGTTTGTTTTATGTTGATGATTTATTATTCTTTTGGAAAGATGTCGCAATGTACAATAACGCCCTAGCTCAACTGACAGAGCACTTTGACATGAAAGATCTTGGTGAGGTAAACAACTACCTATCTCTGGAAATAGAGAGAGATCAAGATGGTAACATTCTAGTACACCAGTCACGGAAAATTGCTGATGTGTTAAGCAAACTAAATCTGATGGATGCTAACCCTGTAGACACACCGATGACAACAGGTTATCAGGTAGATGACACTGAAGAAGCGTTTTCTGACACTACACTGTACAGGAGTATGCTAGGCAAGCTAAACTTCATTGCCAGATGTTCAAGACCAGACATTGCTGTTAGCTGTAATTTGCTAAGCAGACAAGTCAACAATCCTAGTGTCAAGGATTGGAAAGCTCTGAAACGCATAGCGCGGTATTTGAAAGGCACTATGCATTACAGACTGAGATTTAACAATCAGAAGTCTGGTGGTCTTGAGATATTTGCAGATGCAAGTTTTGGAAGTGACGCTACAGACAGGAAAAGTACGTCTGGAGTTTGCTACATGTACAATCAGAGTCTGTTTGATTGGTCATGCAAGAAGCAAACAACAGTAAGCTTAAGTACTTGTGAAGCCGAACTGAATGCACTGTCTTATTCACTTAAGGATTGTGAATGGTTAGTACAATTGTGCAAAGATATGAAAATTCCTGTCAAATGTCCAATCCAGGTTTACCAGGACAACAAAGCATGTTTGGCTTTGCTGAAGTCTGAAGGTTGTAAGCAAAGCACAAAGCACTTGCAATTAAAGTTGCAGCATGCTAGGGAATGTATTCAGAAGGGACTCAGTAACGGTGTCCTATATGCCAGGTAATGAAATTCCTGCTGATGTATTGTCCAAGATTGTATCAAGGGATCAACACTGTACCTATGTGCAGAAGTTGGGTTTGTACTGATATTGTGCAAACACGCTGCCCAGTGATGTTCACAGAAAGGGGAGGATGTTGGTTTCTGCTTTCCTTCACTGTGCAGCTCTGCTTGTCACGAGACAGGTGTTTACATTCCACAGTCTGTACTGTTGGAGTTTCTCACGGGAAAGGGAGGCTGGATGTGACGTACACTGGTTTCCTGTTTTTCACTGTGTGATTCTCTCCGAGCTGTCGAGGAGAGAGGATGCATTTTCTGCTCCGGCAGAGGCAAGATGTCTTTCTGTAATATACCAGCTTTGAACTGTAAATAAAGCAATATAGAGTATGCAGCACGTATTCCTCATCCTTCCGCTGGCAACCAGACTCTGCTTAAATTTGACACTAGCCCTACGCGGTGCATGCTACCAAATTTGAATGAGGAAGTCACCAAACACACACAGATGTGGCTCCAATGAGGTTTGAAATGCAGTCTTTAAAAGCAGAGAGAAAGAGAGAGGCTCAGCCAATACATCTGGAAATCACTATGAACCACGTTTTTTGAGACAGGGATGAACCTAGCCTCCTCCTGGGCTCACGCAACTCCACCCCCCTTCACCTCCTGCAAGGAAGAGTTTGAAAATTTCTCTTGTTGTTCATTGTTGTTGTTGTTGTTGTTGTTGTTATTAGCCACCTTCTGTGATGTCTTCTGAACCTTATCTTAACTATTCTTAACTAACTTGAAACAAGCCAACTTCAAAAAAGCACAAGTTCAGGATTCAAGTGCTAATGCTAAGCTGCAGCCGACTGAAATCAAAAGGTGGAGAATGTGAGGAAGATTAGGCTCGTTCCCATCTTGATAAATGATGGTTTCTCATGATGTCCAAAATGCGGCCATAATGTGCAAACGTGGAATACATGAAGCTCTCGACACAAGAAAAGCATTCAGATGCCTTGGGCTTGTTTGGGGGATCCTTTTCCTGTTAAGCCTGCTGTTCTGGCCCTTTTCAGGCCTTACACACCTGAGATTTGAGGCCTGCCTTCGGCAGCACAAGCTGTGGGCAGAGGCCACCCCCACATCTCCTGCAACTTTCCCTCCCACAGCCTCACCTAAAACCCTAGCGATCAAGCAGAAAAGCAGGGTGCAGATGACGAAGGTCCAGTTCCAGTGATGCTTCCCGGCCACTGTGGACACACCGAGGAAAATGAAGATGAGGGTTTCGCTGACGCTGCTCCACATCTTCAGGAAGTACTTGATGGTGGTGTGGGACTTATGGGAGATGTTGGCTTCCACGTAAGGGCGCATAACCACTCCGGCAGCAATGAGCCTGCAAGGGAGGAAGAAGTATGCTATGGAAAGCCACAGGGCAGGCAGGATTCGTTCATTTCTTCTCAAGAATCAGGGAGGCCTTGTTACCTTTGCAGACTCTATACAGTCCACAACAGCCAATTTCGACTGGGCCTAAGAGATTAAGGAATGGGCCAAAACCCTGTAGTAGATCACATGTTTTGTCTGCACGGAAGTCCCAGATTCCATCTGTGACATACCCAGTTAAAAAGCTTAGGGGCAGGAGAGACCTTTACATAAGTGTCAGAAAAGACACTTGGGGGGGCTAGATCCCAGCATAAAGATAGCTCCTTCCAGCTTATAGTGGAAAAAGTGCATCTCAGTGGGTACAGCATCTGCTTTGCATGCAAAGGTTCAATCCCTGGCATCTCCCATTTGAAACCCTTGAAAGCTGCTGCCAGTCAGTGTGAGCTGAGTGGAGCAACAGTCAGACTTCATTCCCTGCCCAAAGAAACAGGAATGTCTGTGGACAGGCTCATGCACACCAATACATCACTTGGGCTCCAGTGGCATTTCAAGCAGCATCACGCCAGTTGTAAAAAGTTATGGCTTCCCCCAAAGAATGAAGGGAAGTGTACCGTATTTTTTGCTCTATAAGACTCACTTTTTCCCTCCTAAAAAGTAAGGGGAAATGTGTGTGCGTCTTATGGAGCGAATGCAGGCTGCGCAGCTATCCCAGAAGCCAGAACAGCAAGAGGGATTGCTGCTTTCACTGCGCAGCGATCCCTCTTGCTGTTCTGGCTTCTGAGATTCAGAATATTTTTTTTCTTGTTTTCCTCCTCCAAAAACTAGGTGCATCTTGTGGTCTGGTGCGTCTTATAGAGCGAAAAATATGGTAGTTTGTTATAAGGGTGTTAAGAGGGAGGGCCGAAGGTTGAAGAAGGCTGCAGTAAAGCAACAGGGCCATGTATTCAAGTCTTGACAGCTGAAAATGGGGGTTGGGGGGTCCTAACTCCCTCTGCAGTGCTCCCATGGCCTTCTGCCCAGATTGGATTCACATAATCATAGAGTTGGAAGAGACACTACTCCAACTTCAGACATGAAGGAATATTTTGCCCAACATGGGGCTCGAACCCACAATCCTGAAATTAAGAGCCTCGTGCTCTACCAACTGAGCTATCTCTATTGCTTCTCATTTGCCTGCTGGTTTCAAACTATGCAAGTGGGGGCCACTGTTCCTTTTCTGGCTGATGCAATCCAACCCGATGATGACTCACTTGTTGAGCTTGGTGGGGAGCTGTTGCTATGTCAGCCTCTAAGAAAACAGGGTTACAAAACAGGAAGAGACCATGTATTTTGCTGGACCAATTGGGAGAGCTTTCATACAGTGCAGGCTTCATACATGGAGACAATGCCTTTGTAGAAAAAGACTCGTACACTGGTGTGTGTGTGCATGTGTGCGCATGCAAAAGGGAGATCAGGTGGAGAGCTGGGTAATTTGAAGGAGACCTGCAAGGGTTTCTCACCCCCAACAATAAAACAATAGCAAGTAAACTTGCACCAAGTTGAATAAAATATGGGGCCCCCACCCACTGCTGAAATGTTGCCAGGAGAACTTGTACACTGGGGGGCTCACTGGGGCATAATGGTAGGCCCAGCCTGAACACTTCCCCCTCCTACCCCACCCAGATGCCAACAGGTGGCGGGGGGCTTGTGGGGCACTGGGTCCAGGACAAGGGTGCTGGAGGGGAGGGGAGGGGAAGAGAGAGGGTGCCCTGGGAGAGATGAAAGATTGGGCAGCTTATCTGTGCTCTCACACAGCAGAAAAGGAGGCTGGGGTGGCTCAGCATGGTCAATTTGGGGAGGCCCGAAGAGGTCTAGGCCCCTTAGAGCTGGTGCCTATGGTTGCAGGTCTTTGTCCAGCTCTGCTAACTAACTTGAGAATTTTGTTTTAGAATTCCCGATCCACAGTGACTTATATGTAGGTCTTCACATACAGATGCATGCTATCCTAGTGGCTGCATTCACATGTAACATTTAGCACAAGGTTTGTTTTTGAGCTAGCAGCTGCTGTTTCGTTCTGGGTTTTACAACTTGGTTGAATTTTTGTTTCTGCCCACCACATCGTTATTATGCACCAAAGGCCTGCATATAAGGATTGTATAGATTGTTAGCCTGAAATTAATAAACACAATCAAGTTAGGTCACAAGGGATACACCCCTTTAGAAAGTCCTGAGCCTCCATACACCAAAGGTCTGCCTCCATCTAAGGCCGCTTCCTACATTCCAACTCAAATGTGGCATCCAAGCCCCCACCCACAGCCATACTTACGCCATGATGCCCGAGAGATGGAACAGTTCTGCGGACAGGTACGCCATGTAGCTGTAAAGAAAGACGAAGAGGGGCTCGATGACACGGATATGGGAAGTGAAGCGGGAGGTGAAGGCTCCGATGATGCCATAGACAACCCCGACAAAGACGCCCCCCAGAGACACCACAAAGAAGCTGAGGAAACCCAGGATGATATTGGTAAAGGTGACTTTGTCGAACGTAGCAAACTCTTCAAAAAGGTGGTAGAGAACCTGGAACGACAAAAGTGGGAGGGAGGGAGGGATAAGCAATGTAAGCTCACGGGAGCACTGATCAGAGGTTGGCCACGGGTGTGCCAACATGAGAGAGACGAGAAATTAGTATCCCACAAGGCAAGTGGGGAGGTTTCGAGAAATGGATCAAAAGGGAGCATTAAAAATAGACAAGAGCTCATCCTGCTGGATACAAACCTCGTTCCTAATTGCTGCCTTAAGAGTTATCAAGGCTAATGCTGACGACTAAGCAGCCCTCCTCTGCTTGAACAAAAGAACCCTGAGATCAATAGTTGGAAAAGAGCTGCCATCTTGCTCTGCTTCCACCAGTGAGTTGGTTAATATGCAGTTAGTAGGAATCTGTGTTTCTTTCTCTCTCTCTGGCCTCTATACCAGGAATGGGGAACCTTTGGCTCTCCAGATGATGAAGAATTCCCACAGGACCCAGCAAACACACTCAACAGCCAGGTGTAATGAGAGTTATGAGTTGAGAAAATCTGGAGGGCCAAAAATTCCTCACCACTGCCCTACACCTTCAGTGTCACCCCTAGGGCTTTTTAAAACAATTTTTTGCATGCAATGAGCCTGGTTTCCTAAACCATTGTTCAGGAACTGAGTGATGAATATTGGGCTCACATGTCTCCCATGTGTTGGTTTCAGGGCTCTGATCCTTATCCTTTGTTATGTCCGTTTACTATTCAGGATCTTCAGCTAGACTCAGATCATGGGTAAACTGACATTAAACCACAGTTCCTTGTTTCAGATGTAACAGGGAACTGTGGCTTAATGAGAATAGGATTCAAGTGTCAAAGCCAGTCTGCAACAGAAATTGAAAAGATGGGAAGTGTGCAGGCTCATTCTTGGCTTAATGACCAACCCTTTGAAGGGAATGATGATACTTAATTTCTAAGAAGGGCTGTTTTGACTTGAAAATGATTCATTCAAAAAAACCTGAATATTTCTTTCTAACTTAAGAGTCAGAAGTAGCAATAATACTGATGCATGCTGATGAAAACAGTAAATACATCTAAACACACACTAGTCTACACCAATCTAGTGTTCTCTCTCTCTCTCTCTAAAAACAATTGGCCAGGAGCAAGTGTGCTGTCCTAACTTTTTGACATTTTAATTTTTAGCTCCTGTTTTAATATTTAGCTATTTATTTCTTGCTAAAGCACATTCAGTGCAGCCTCCATTGTCAAATGCTTTTTCGAAGTGGGAAGTGAAATTCAAAGCCTGTTCCATCAGTGTCAAAATACCAAAACTCCACTGTACAATTTTCTTGGAATTTTAACCTTGACCAGCCTTTTTCAAAAACTGCCTATTAACTCTGTCCTTCTGCAGCCTCCCTTACTGTTACAGAGCTCTAGAAGAGTTACGAAAGACCATCATTAGAAAAACAACACCACTTTCCTTTGTTGACACGTCCAAGATGAGCATGAGCTACAACATAGGTCTAAAAGACCTCATTTGCACGTGGCAAACTATAAACCACGGTTTACTGTGCACAAGCAAACTGCTCCCATCTTGTTCTGCTCCATTCCCCCAACATACATTAGGAGGAAACAAAACCATGAGCCCTACTTTAGCATTACATCTGAACTAGGAGTCATGGTTTGATTTGTTCCCCAAAAGACACAATCTGTAGACAAGCTTTGTTTTTGGCTCACTGATCAGGGGTTGTTGAGAGCAAAACAATCCAGGTTCCCTGGCTCGGATGCAGGGCAAAGCTAGGAACTGTGGTTTGTTTCTCCCCAGTGTCAGCAGGGAGGAACAAAAAAGCCAAGTTCATTGAGTTCACAATAGTAAACACACAGTAAACTATGGTTTACTGTGATGTGTGAATTGGCTTGTGTAAAACGGATGGGATATCTTTGGCACTTCAGAAATTTGTGGACTCCAACCCCCAGCATCCCTAACCACTGGCCATGGCAGCTGGGGCTGATGGGAGTTGGAGTCAGTCCTACAACATCTGGAAGGCCGCAGGTTCCACATTCCTGCTGTATAAACTTGGCTAAAGCTCTCCTACTGCTTTAACATTGCTCCTCTTGCTCTCAATTTCCATTACATATGGTGTTTTTTATAGCTTCTCCCTTCTCAAGATTCTACTGCTTATTCAGGGATGGCATTAAAAAAAACCAGTCTGGAGGGGAGGCTTATTAGAGCCAATTTATAGATTCAGCTCCCCTTGGCAAATGAGCTTTTCCCTACCAGGATGGAAGGGAAAATCCTACCCTTCTTAGGTCAGATTCAGAACCAAGTTCACCAGTGAACTCAACCAAAGGAGATGGAGTGGAGGGGTGTGTGAGTCCCTGGAGAGCCTGTGCCAGGCAATGTATAAGGCAGCTTCCTATGTTCCTAGGAGAAGCAAACAAAAAGGGCAAGGCCTCGTAGCATGGCACTCCCTGCCTTGGCCCATTAAGGCAATGGCCCAAAGGTCGCTCAGTGTCCAATGTCTTGGAAAGATCTCTCCGGTTTGGAACATTGCATCCTCTTTCTCGCCATGCCCTGTGTTCTGGAAAGGCATGTGCAAAGGGGAAAACAAGATCACAAACTCTAGTGTTACAGACAATGGAGAAATAAACCTTCCTCTATCCACTTTCTCCATGCCATGCACAAATGCATGAACTTCTATCATTTCACTTCTTACTTGCCTTTTTTCCAAACTAAAAAGTCCCAAACACTGCAACCTTTCCCTTTTAACATTTCGGCTGCCCTTTCCTGAACCTTTCCCAACTATATGACATCCTTTTTTTAAGGTGAGATGACCAGAACGGCGCACCGTATCCCATGAAGTGAGGCATTCAAAGAGCTGGTGTTGACCTTTAAGGCCCTTAGGATCGGGATTCCTGAAGGACCATCTGTCTCTATGGGTAGCAAGACCTTCAGCAGAGAACCATCTTAGGGATGCCTCACCATCTGAGGCAAAGCGAGAGGCTACCAGGGCAGCGCTCCAGAGAAAGGACACAGCTCACATGCACAAGGTTGGCTCTGTTTGCAAACCACAGTCTGTCAGCATTCAGTCTGCCTCAGGCCAAGTGAGGATTCAATGATCTAAGCCTTATGAATTACTGTGTGTACTACTAGTAGCAAAAAATTAAAAACCCCAGAGGACAATAATAGTGAACAGGACTGAGAACACTGCAAGCGGAGATCTGTTTACACTACTGGGCATATATTGACATCAGGCAGGCAGGCGCCTTCACTATACCCTTTTTGGCGCCGGCTAAAACATTTTTGTTTAGGCAAGCCTGTACAGAGATGTAGAATGCTGGCGTGTGTTTTAAACTGGGTTTTTAGCTTACTGTTGATGCTAATTATTTTTTGAAAGCTTTGGAAAAGTTGCTTTTAACTTTTTTTAAAAAAACCCTGATAATCTTATGATTTGATTCTTTTCAGGGTGGCTTTGATTTAAATCAAATCAATTTAAATCAAGATTTAAATCACTAGTCAGAAAGACTCATTCTTGCTGGTATAATCTTAATATTTACAACCAGATGACAGTTTCATTTTTGGAATAATAATTTTTCAGAGTAGTTTTTACAGTTACATCAAAAAATACTGATTTGGTTATACTATTAGAAATACAAAGACAGGTAATTATGAAATTATTGTTTAGATTTGGACAACTTTTTGGAGAAAAATAATCATTTCCTTAATAACAATTTAAACAATTTATTTAACTAAAACAATAACATTACAGCATATGTATCCATGTTTGTTAACTGATGTGGTTAAACGATTTAAAAAAAACACACACATGAAAAACTTAAAACAAATCCTTATTTCCTGATGAATAGCCTTTGGACTATAATGTAACCTAAATAGAAAACTTTTTAGAAATATTTTTCCTCCAAAAGCATTTTATTTTAAAAATCTAATTTAATTTTTTAAAAAATCTGATTTAAATAAAAAAATCTGATTTTAAAAATAATAATCCATTTTTTAAAATAAAAAAATCATTGATTTTTATCCACCCTGATTCTTTTTGCAAACTGTTTTGAGGTTTAATTGCAATCAAGTGGTCCATGAATCTTGTGAAACAGATAAATATATTAAGTAGTAGGGAACACATGGGAAATGAAGCAGTAGGATTGAACCCTCCTATTCCCTTTGGTGCAATGAGAGCAGCCCCAACCCCCCCCCTTTGAACATTAGCCCCACCCTAGAATTGATTTGAGGCTGAATTTGGATTGAGTGTTTCTGGTTTGCATGCGCGTGATGTGCACAGCCTTAGAAACTAACAAATTACATTTTCCATTTAGAGATCTCAGAACTCTGCTGTTTCTTAGAATTCCTGAGCAACACCAGGTACTTTCTGCTAGTCTACGATATATTTTGGAAAGTGGTTTGTCTGATCACTGTTCACCTCTAAAGCAATGCTATTTTTCTAGGAAAAAGAGGTCCCAGAGCTCACCGTGAACTTCTCCCTTGTTCTCTTAGAATGGCAATGGTGCCCCACCTGAGAGGTGCCAGAGTTGAGCTCCGGCTGGAAAAAAAAGCCCTGCTCTTATGATATCATATCCAAATTTTTCATGAGAGTTCCAGAGATCAAGGAGGCCATTTTGAATCAAGATGGTGAGCTGAACAAAACTGCACTGGTTTTAATCACTGATTTAAAAACTGTACCGCTTTTCTGATTTCTTTGAATTCCTATGTAAAGCTTGGTACGGGACTGTGAGTTACAGTATGCCTAAGCACTGCACATTCAACTTGATTTATAACAATCAACTTTCCTGCCTCCACAGTCCCACTGGTCTCTACTAAATAGCACAGGGTGTGAGGGGGGGAGCTGACAGAAATGCCTTCCTCTCGGGCAAGGAGGACTCTGTGTCCCACCCATTAGGAAGGGGAGTAGAAGCACCCCCTGGGTAGCTTCGCAGCATTTTGGAACTGGAAACGCTGCTGCCAAAACAGAACAGCCACAGGTTCAAACTGTCAAAGGGCAAAGGAGTTCATTAGCTGCAATAAATCACAACCACACCAGAGAAACCCCTTCTGGAAAAGGCAAGGAGCACCACCCTCTTGAGTGACTACGAAGTAACAGTACACATCTTGGGCAGCAGAGGCCTCAACGCAGATGAGTCACCCATCCATGCCCTTTTGCCACATTGGTAGTCATAAATCAGCTTTCTGACGCCCTCCTTCCCCCTGCACTTTCAAGTGCTTTCTGATGGGTGAGGTGAAAATCCTCATCTGCCTCAGCAACGGAAGGCATGGCAAGGCGATGCCCATTGACAATTTAAGCACACACAAATCCCACCAGGTGTGCAAGCCTGAATGTTTGTAGCTGGAGAGAGCTACATTCTCTCTCTTCTCTTCAGTCCCAGCTTGGCTCTCCTCTGTCCCTGCCAGATCACATGTTTGGCAGGCAATAAGGCGAGATGTGGGAAGCTGCATGTCCCCCAAAGGCTCTCCCCCACCCCCGCAAAGAGCAGGGAGCATCAAATGTGGCACAGGAACCTAGGACATTGCCTTACAGCAAGTCAGACATTGGGCCTTCAAGCTTAGTAACATCTACACAGACTGGCAATGGCACCCAAGGGCTTCAGCCAGAGAGCCTCTTCTGCTCTACCTGGAGATGCCAGGGATTGAGCCTGGGAACTTTTGCATGCAAGATAACTGCCCTAGCACTGGAACACAGGCAGCTGCCTTATACAGAGCCAGACTGTTGCTCCAGCTAGTTTATTAATGTCTACACTGACTGGCAAGAGAGCCAGTGTGGTGTGGTGGTTAAGAGCGATAGACTCGTAATCTGGTGAACCTGGTTCGATTCTCCGCTCCTCCACATGCAGCTGCTGGGTGACCTTGGGCTAGTCACACTTCTTGAGGTCTCTCAGCCCCACTCACCTCACAGAGTGTTTGTTGTGGGGGAGGAAGGGAAAGGCGATTATTAGCTGCTTTGAGACTCCTTCGGGTAGTGATAAAGCGGGATATCAAACCCAAACTCTTCTTCTTCTTCTGGCAGCAGCTCTCCAAGGTTTCAGAGTTGGGGGGGGGGTCTTGCCTGGAGAATCTAGGGATTGAACCTGGGACCTTCTCCCTGCAAGGCCGATGCTCCCCACTGAGCTACAGCCCTTCCCCTTCTCTACAGGCAGAAGGGTATCGGTATCTTGCAACCAGACCAACACAAGAGCTACAGCAAAGGCACAACTGCTTCTTCATTCTCAGCCATTTGCTGACAGCAATTCCTCACCGGCAAAGTGGAAATCATGCCCTGGCTGATCATCCAGTTTACATCCAGGTCATTCTTAAGAGACTTTGCCTTACAGTATACGGCAGAGGTAGAGCCCAGGGGTCGGAGGTAGCCCTCCAAGCCACACTATCTGACCCTCAGGACTGTTCCCCATGCTACAACCCCTCCCCAGATACCCCGCTTCTCCAGACCAAGCCCCTCACCACCCCTGCTTTGCAAACAAAAGTGATTTTCAGCAAACTAGACCACGCGCTTCCTCTGATAATGCCTTTCACTTGCTTGGGTGGAGGACAGAGAAGGATGGGTGTGTGTGTGTAAAAACCAACCTAATATTCAAAGATAGCATGTACATTTGTTGCTCCAACTACATCACACCCTTCCTGCAAAATTCCATGGCATATACGTGATCAGTTTTGGAGACAAAGGCGGACTGTGTACCTTGACCAACATACCAAGGGTGGTATGCAAAGTACTCGTTCCTTTTGCACAAGCACCGTATTTTTTGCTCTATAAGACTTACTTTTTCCCTCCTATAAAGTAAGGGGAAATGTGTGCGTGTCTTATGGAGCGAATGCAGGCTGCGCAGCTATCCCAGAAGCCAGAACAGCAAGAGGGATTGCTGCTTTCACCTCTTGCTATTCTGGCTTCTGAGATTTAGAATATTTTTTTCCTTGTTTTCCTCCTCCAAAAACTGGGTGCGTCTTGTGGTCTGGTGCATCTTATAGAGCAAAAAATACGGTATTTATGCTTGTGCAATGAAATATCCTACACACACATCCCCAAATCTGTTCCGGAGGGTTGGGAGAACCCCTAGAACTGATTTAGGGGGTGCACAAGGGGAGAAAAGAAGGGAAAGTTCCACTGCAGAAGTCCTTGAGCCGATGGAACAAGTCATGTAGCACTACTCTGGATACAACCCTACATTCCCATTCTTGTGCCAACCCGTTTGTGTGGCGCTTGACGGATAGTGCCCTAGGGATCAGATCTGCTTCCTATCCTTCCACCTTAAACAGAGCCCCAAATCCAAAACCTGAGGCAGCTGGCACATGTTCCAACTTACGGTCCATTTCACTTACCACAGTGACCGCATCATTCAACAAAGACTCGCCGAACACCAAAATGTGCAGCAGCTCGTTGATGTGGATCTCCTCAAACACAGCCAGCACGGCAACAGGGTCCACTGCCGAGATGATGCTTCCAAAAAGCAGGCAAGCCAGGAGTTCGGTGTCCTGCAAACCGGTGCCGTTGATCTGGCACACGGCGTACATCAGCGAGCCCACAAAGAAGGCGTTCCACAACGTCCCCAGCACGGCGAAGATCAAGATGGTGCCCAGGTTCTCTGTGAACTGGCGTAAGGGGAGGAAGTAGCCGGCATCCAAGATGATGGGCGGGAGCAGGAAGAGGAAAAAGACGTCCGACTCTAGGATTGGAGGGGTCTCTCCCACAGCTTTGATGAGCCCCCCGACCAGCAGCCCTACAACAATCAGTAAGCAGCTCTCTGGAACTATACTGGAAATGGTTGGAATCACGTGGAACCCTGGAAGGGGAGAGAGAAGCAAGACGGTAAAGGTCAGTTCCTCTTCAGCTGCATTGTGTTGACCCCAGAACTTCTTCCACCCACAGTTACACAAAAAGCCTTTGTCCATCTGGTCCCCTCTATATAATTTGGACTACGACTCCCTTCAGCCACAACGAGTACAGCCGTCCTGATGGGAGTTGTAGCCCAAAACACTTGGAGGGCATCATGTTGGCAAAGGCCGAACAAAGAGAATGGCACAGAGTCGTGGGAGGGCAGAAGGACCCCAACTGAAAGACAACATTTCAAGTAAACCTGAATTTGCTGTGGGAGAAGTTGAATTCTATTACCTATATACAGTATATTACACAAACCGGATATATTTGCATAAATCCTTCTTTCAGCCTTAGGCTGTAATCATATATGTGCCCAGGAGTAAGCCGCATTAAAATGAGTGGGAATTACTACTGAGTAGACAGGTATAGGATTTCACTGTGGGAATAAATTAATATGTAATTTCTCTCTCTCTCTCTCTCTCTCTCTCTCTCTCACACACACACACACACACACACCCACACCCACCCTCTTACATCAGCTTCCCAGAGTCCAAAAACCAAGACAGGAGTTTATTTGAGCAAAAGAGTCAGTCACAGAATGATCCCCTGCCCTTTAATGCTAACGCTCCATGCCACAATTAATTTGCTGGCCTTTAGCTGAGTTTTTAGCTGTTTCTTTTAACTGTGGTGTTGTTTTAATTATTCTATATTGTAACAATGCTGTGCAACCCATTTTTACGTTTTGTAAACCATGTCAGAAGTATGCAAACTTAAATTTAGCACACTTAAAAATAATTACAATACAGACATCAAATTGAAACATTAATATTCATGTATTTATTTCCTCACAGACAGATAGGAACCAAGCAGGTGAGCACCGGATAACATACAGTGCAATAAAACACTGGAAAACATACACAGCATCTCTTCAAGTAATTAAGTTATACAACAAGTGTTGTAAACAAAATCTGCCCTTTTTCCCTTATGGGGTATCCAAGAGCCTGTATAGAGTCCTTACGTGGGTTCCCTATTGGTAGGAGAAAATAACAGAGGCCAACCAGAGAATATTGAGAAGCAAAGCAGCTAGTAAGCCTGATCTTTATTAAAGCTGTTGCAACAGGGTGCTCCCCTCACACGCAGAAGGATGGAGGAGGACCCAGAACAAAGGTGTGCCTGCCATTTTAAATTCCCTGCCCTGGAGCTCAAGACCACCCCCCCATACATCATACATACATCACAGAAGGGGTGTAACCCAAGACCACCCCCCACAAACATCATACCTACATCACAGAAGAGGTGGTCTACAACAGAAATTTGAATGTTTTCCTGTCTGTCAGGTTATCTGATAATGCCTTATTTGATTGCCTTTCCTGGTAGTCTGGCCATTCCTTTGAAATGGTGATTTCCCAATTCCTGAGACAATGGGAAGGTTCCCTCACCCCCTCCCTCCTTGCAGAGAAAACATTTGGTCAGTTTGGGAGTAAAAATGGTTTCCGGACGGTCTTCCTGTGCTGCTCCATATATTCATATATATATCTATATATATATATCTATATCTGTATTTTTTAATTACACAAGCAACACTGTATTCTGTACCTTGACAGCAACTGGCTATAAAACCTAGTGTTCTCCAAAAGCCTGAGCAAAGAGGTATGTCTTTAATCAGTGCTGAAAAACCAGAAATGGTGGTGCTCAATGCACCTTAAAGCAGAAATAATGACTAACTGCCACTATGGAGAGGGTCCTATCCTGCACCAGTACCCCATCTACTATTGCCTCCACTGGAGAGGGGGCAAAAGCAAGAATGAAATGCCTTGAATCCTGGACAGGAAGTGCTCCGCACTGCAACGATATGTTGCAAATCGCCACTATAGAGACCTTCAAATCGTGCTGCCTTCCTCTCAGAGCTGTTATGGGTTTTGTTAATTCCTCTAAATTCAGCCCTGCTGTTTAGGGGTGGGAAGACAACTGGTAAGCACGGCGTGTTCTGTCCTCCGACTCCCTGGCAAAGGGACCTACAGTATTTTCATGAGAGGCCAGCCATTCTTGATCAACACCTCCGTTGCTTTGTTCTTCCATGCTGAATTGCTGGGCAAGTCCAACCATCTGGCTCAGGGAGCAACCTGTTGAGCTGTAAAATGCATCCCTCTGACACTAGGGGTGAGGAGCATGCAAGAGGGTATAACAGAGGCCAGCCTGAGATACTCCGTGCCTTCATTCAAATACCCCCCCCCCCACGAGCATAAAGGGCCAACAGCAGGTTTGTGGCCTGGAGGCATGAGATGTGTGCACAGGGAAGAGGGAAGGAGTAAAGTTCCTGTTCCGGAGGTGAGGACTCTGAATCTGAACGGCATGCAGGGGGAGCCCCAAAAGTGCTGCAACCCAATGAACCTGTGAGGCCAGTGGCTTTCACCGCCGTCCTCGTGACTCCACTGTAGAAGATAATGGAAGCCCTAAGCCTCCCAAGACTCCACTGCAGAAGATCGCAAGAGAAGGCTGGGCCTCTTCAAGTAGAGGAGCATCCTGCAGCAAAGGTGCTGGTAACTATTAGGCTACATCTGGTGCTGCTGTTCAGTTTGAGCAACTTCAGAGCTTTATAGTCCCCCAAGCACAGGCTTGGAGCCAGTCTGTGCCCTGCCTGAGCCACCTTGCCTTGCGTCCAGCCTGAACCTGGTCGAGCCTTGCAGCACCACAAAGCAGGACAGCAGAACTGGCACCTGTTGGTGGGGCGCTCTGGCCACGGATTTCCTGCATTAAGCAGAGTGTTGATCTGGATCAGGAGTGGGGAACCTATGGCCCTCTGGATGCTGCTGAACTCCAACTCCCATCAGGCCAAGCAAGCATGCTCAATGGCCAAGAAGGATGGGAGATGTAGTACAGCCACATCTGGAGGGCCAAAGGTTCCCCATTCCTGGTCTACATGGCCTCCAAAATACTTCCAACTCTGCAATTATCTGAGTTTGCTCTCTAGCTGTTTGGCTTTAGCACTTAAGATAATGCAGACATCTTGGCACCGAGAACACAGACCCACCCTCTCCATTTCACTATCTGCCTTTCTTTTTAAATGAAAGTTGGGCTGATAGGGCATAGGTATTGTGTGGAGTGCTGCCTTAAGACCTGGGGGTGGATGATTTGTGGGGTGGACATTATCCTCCTCCTCAGGCTCCATATTAAATTTCTGGGGTGGGGTGTGGAATTCCATTCACTCATGTATCAATAGAAAACTCAGAATGAAGATTGTTTGATTGGCATAACTTAAAACAGCTTCCAGAATTTGGATTGTCTGGGTGCGGAACTGCAATTGTTTTTAGCAAGGGAGTACAGCTTGCTGAGCCCAGCTGGTGAAAGGCAATCCTTTTGCACACTGCAGAGAAACACCAGGCAGCCTTCCTGGAATGGCAAGTGCCTAGCCCCAGCTCAGAACACACTGCTCAGAACCAACAGCTCTGCACCTGGCTCCTTCGTGATCACACCCTGGTTTCCCCCTCACACCACCCCTGTCTCATATGCAACTGACCAGAATTTAGCAGTCATCCAAGGACAGAACGATGAGTCAGCAGTTTGCTGCCAGTGCCAGATGAAAAACGCACCAATGGTGGCATGAAGACAGAATGGACCACCAAAATATGGACACCAACGCCACTATTTCCCTCTTTCTCTCCTCGGTGCACGAAGTAGAGAGGCTTTCATGGTGCTGCCTGCAGAGTATCAGTTAAAATCCACAAACCGAATGCCAAGCAGACACCGTGCCCCCTGGTGCTGCCTGGCATTCAAACCAATCTGAAGTCAGGCATCATTAGTGATGGCAGAGACAACAAAGCTGTACAGAGCTTTCTGATGGCTGCTCTGTTCTAAAGCAAAGGTATCCCACTAGATGCCATTATCCCCTAGCTCCCATCAGTCCTCCCTTTTAGAAAGCAGCCTGTTTAATGGTGTGCATACAAACATTGAAGGGATGTGCGTGCAAATCTTTAGATAAAGTATTTTTTTAAAAAAAAAAATCACCTACCACTAGTAAAATGTTAGTGCTGAATGAGAGATTTCTAAAATAGAGAAGCAAAACCGAATAGCATCTCTTAGACTTGCGTTACTGAGTTTATTTGAAGAGCTAGATAAAGACCCGAAGAACTGAGAATCGATCTCCCGTCTTCTTCTAGCAGCTCAAACTATGACTAGGGAATCTTGGAAGGACTTCAAATTCTCGCATCTTGATTATTGGTACTAGTGGGTTTGGAGAGTAGCTCTATTTGAGAAGCTTGTGTACAAGATGATCAGGAGGTCAAAGAAAATGCAAGCTATTTGTTGGGCTTAGGTACTCATTTATCGAATTCACTTGGTTACAGGAACAATAATAGAACTATTCCAACCCAATGTGTCAGGTTGGTTATTTTAGATATTAGTTGCTCTCTCTTAAGTGTTCAGCAGGGTACCTCTTGCTTGCCTCTTTGGATTTTGCAATCTGTAATAATGGACTTTCTAGCTTTCCTTGGTGGGTTTTCTCGTCGTAATGATATGTAAATGCATGCTTTGGACATGTTTGTGTTTTATGGCTCTCTGCAGCAGGTGTGACATGTAGGGGAAATGACCACTTGGAAGTTTTGACTGTGGCAATGTAGTTTGTGTTGCTGAGCATATGAAAACTCAATAAATATTATAATTTTAAAAACCCACAAGCAAAAAGTTAAGTACTGAGACTCCAAGATAGTAATAACTAGGTAAGCCAACCCCGTCTCCACCCCAGCCCAGCCCCTTCCTCAGTTCCACCACTGTCCAAAGTATCAATGCTTTGACCATGATGCCCATTAGCTTTCTCTGTCCTTGCCTAATTAATCCAACAAAGCCAAATTAAAGTTGGAAGCCAATATCCATTGAACTCATCACCCACCTGCAGACTCGTGAGCTGCTCGAGTCGCTGAAGGCTGCAGCAAAGTCACTCCCCCAACCCCCCACTTTACAAAAACAGCAGAGTTAAGTACAAATTAAAGACTCAAATCTAGAAATTATAACTGTCTCTCACTTTGTCCCCCTGGGCTGTCAGGATTCCATTAGGATGGAGCACCCCTGAGTTAATGAGAATGAAGGATTCAGAATCTTTTTTGCAATGCTCTAAAAATAACACCCACACTGAGTGTGCTTTCATTAAATCTTTGATCTTGGTTGAAATTCAGAACACCCAGTCACTCTGCACCTCCCATCTTTTTATAACTAAAGAGCCTGGGGTTTTTTTGTTTTTGGTTCTAGCAGATTGCTGCTGTGAGTGTTCCCGAACAATACGAAAGCCAGATACCGACGAGACAGAAGAACAGTAGAAGCTTGCAAGCTGGGCACTTGGGCTACAAGACATGTGACTAAAACCAAGCATGTTAAATCTGTCACTCGCTTGGTCGCCTGCGGAGAGCAGAAATCAACCCCAGGTGAGCAGGCAGGAAAATTATCCCAGTCTTAAACAGAAATCAAGACACGTAACTAGAATCAAGCACATGAATTGCTGGTCGCCTGCAGAGAGCAAAAATCAACTCCAGGTGAGCAAGCAGGAAAGTTATTCCAATCTAAGAAACAAAGCAACAAACTCCACGCCCTCCCTCCTGAATTGCTATGACAAAAGGCGTACATCTTTTGGCATTGCCATTTCAGCAGTGGTAGTAGAGGAGCAAACGAAAAATCCTTCTCAGGAGTATCTTGCTCCCACACCAATCCAAGAAGAGAGCTGGTAAGAATCAAAGGAGGAGTGAGTACTTGAGGTTGGGGCATGGGGCAGGTTCAAAATGTGAATCCCTGCTTGAGAAGCAACTTCCATAGAATGCCCCTGTCAAAATGAGGCTGTTCAAAAGTCCCTTCCAGCGTTTAGTATTATAATAATGAGTTCCTGGTGCTGTCAGGGGACTTTATTTGCATCTCTTCCCCAACTGGGAAAACAGAGATTAAATACTGAAGCCAGCACTCCCCAGGACACCTTCACGTCATTTGCTCATCTCTGTAACCAAGGAAACCCTCTCCTACAGGCTGAATCTCCCCTGCTCTTCCAAAACTTTCTCTTAGTGCTGCACACTGCCTAAGGAGGTGATAACACCAAGCATCTTCCAGATGTATCAGAGAGGGTCTCATCCAGCTGAAAACACCCTTCTTTGTTTCCTGGGCAACGCGTGACATCTTAGCTCCAAAAAGGCACCCTGAGGACAGAAAAATCTCTTCTACCTCCAAATCCAAAATAGCTTACACCATGGGTAGGCAAACTAAGGCCCAGGGGCCGGATCCGGCCCAATCGCCTTCTAAATCTGGCCCGCAGATGGTCCAGGAATCAGTGTTTTTACATGAGTAGAATGTGTCCTTTTATTTAAAATGCATATCTGGGATATTTGTGGGGCCTGCCTGGTGTTTTTACATGAGTAGAATGTGTGCTTTTCTTTAAATGCATCTCTGGGTTATTTGTGGGGCATAGGAATTCGTTCATTTTTTTTTCTTCCCAAAAATATAGTTCGGCTCCCCACAAGGTCTGAGGGACAGTAGATCGGCCCCCTGTTGAAAATGTTTGCTGACCTCTGGCTTACGCCAACCTTCCCTAACCTGATACCGCCCCCCCTTTCAGACATTGTTGGGACTACATATCCCATCATCCATATCCAACCGTGGGCCATGCTGGCTGGGGCTGATGGGAACTGTAGTCTAAGAGCCCTCAAGGTCTCATTGCTCTGCAGCAGCTCCATAAACCACCTCTGGAACTGATAGTGGGAATCTATAAGGTTGCTAACAGATTAAAAACAGGACTACCGGATATGAGCAACACACCTGTAACATTCCTCTACTTACAAGCGTGGGGAACCTTTTTCACCCAAGCGCTGCATTTCCTTCTGGGCAACTTTCCAACCTGCCTGGGGTGGGCGGGGCCAGAAGCAAAAACGGACAGAGAACTGAGCGTAAATCTTTACCTTTGTACAGGCCAGTTACTGCACACTGGCTAGTTTCTGCACACGCTCACACTCCCCCCTTCCTCTGCTTCAGCCAGAAAAGTCAGAGGCACTATCAGAGTTCAAGAACACCTTCAGACATGAAGCAGGGTCAGTGAGAGATGTGGGCCAGGCAGAGAGGCCCTAAGGGCCACACTGAGCCCCCAGGACAAAGGCTGCTCACCTCTACCCTACTGTATAAGGAACGGCTACATAAACAGTAATAATAATAATAATAATAATAATAATAATAATAATAATTTATTTATACCCTGCCCATCTGGCTGAGTTTCCCCAGCCACTGTGGGCGGCTTCCAACCGAATATTAAAAACAATACAGTGTCAGACATTAAAAACTTCCCTAAACAGGGCCGCCTTCTGTTGTCTTTTAAAAGTAAAATAGTTGTTTATTGCCTTGACATCTGCTGGGAGGGCGTTCCACAGGGCGGGTGCCACTACCAAGAAGGCCCTCTGCCTGGTTCCCTGTAACCTCACTTCTCGCAGCGACGGAACCGCTAGAAGGCCCTTGCCGCTGGACCTGTGTCCGGCCTGAATGATAGGGGTGGAGACGCTCCTTCAGGTATACAGGACCGAGGCCGTTTAGGGCTTTAAAGGTCAGCACCAACACAAACAGGTCATTTGCTTGATTCAGGTTTTACGGGAAACAAAAATGACCTAGTACAAGAAGGTCTGAAAATTTACTGCAATGAAACTTGATAAGATTTAGGAAAAAAATGGTTGCATCCTGATTCAGGTCTGTTGTTTAAGCCTCAACCCACTTTTCTCAACTTCTTTTCCCTTGCACCATATTCCATTCTTCGGGTTTCTCTTCCTGCTGAGGGTTTTACTGCTGCTGCTCCTGAAAAGTCCTTACAACTCAATTCCCTCTCCCTGCTCCAATGTTCCCAGGTTAATCTGCCATTGCTGAGCTTCATTACTTTGCTCCCTTCTTTCTTTCCTTCCTGGCTATTAAAATGCTGCAACAACACTGGGCATCAACTTCACTTTAGCCTCCCTAGGAATACATCTCGTGGCAGACTCTATAAAAGGATAGGCCAATAAAGCACATCCAGGGAGATCAAAGAGGCAGGGAGCAGCTTCATGTGGAATAAAAGATTTGTAAGGTGGGCTGATTTTGTGCAATGATGTTTGGCTTGTAAAGCCTTTCATAACCTAGGAGCAACATACCACAGAGAAAGCCTCTCCAAGTAAGCTCCTCTTTTGTCCTCTAGTAGGACCTTGCAATGACGTTGTTTCTCCTTTCTAAGATGCAGTTGGTCAATTTACAGTCTTATGCTTTTATTATTAGCTACCCTCGTGCATTTGGAAAGGTGGGTTGCAAAAAAATGATCAATCTAGCTAGGGGTCATTTTGTGTTCCTCTGCATCTTCAGGATGGCTGAGAAAGGTATTTTTTCTTGCACCTTTCCCCTCCCAAAGTAGAACAAGGAGGAAGATAATACAAAGAAATGCAAAGTAAAAATATGACACGTCGCAAAATTGTGGAAGTGGCACCCACACATGCGATTCCATATACAGTCATCAGGTTAAGAGTTACAGTTAATGTAATAGACAAATAAAGGTTTATGAAACCCACAAATCAGAAAGCACTTTAGGAATCTTTCTGTTGTTTGTCAGAGTGATTTGTAAAAGTAATAAATCTCCACCATGTAGCCAATAATGTGGCTTTGTGTTTTCTCTCATGCTATATGTAGCTTTTGTTTACATTTCCCAAGTAAGTCTATTTGCCATACCTTCTTATACCAGGATGCCAAGGTAGCCCCCTTTCTTTAATGGACTAGAGTCAAATTCACGCCACAATAAATCAGCTAGTTTTTAAGCAATTAAACACTGGAAATGATCACCATCAGCTCTTAAGGAAGTGAGAGGGCCATGGTGCTTCCCCTCTCCCAAAAAAACTGCCACATTCTCTCCCCTATTTCTCTCTTTGCTAGAATTTCTAGCTGTAGTTTTCTGAAACTGAGAGTGCAGCCTTGGATGGTTGCCCCAAGTCCCCCTCTGGGAGATCCTGAGCCTTGTAGGACTGGCTGTTCGCCTCCACTTATGCCCCACTTGTACATCTGCAATTAAAGCAAATGCACACAGATCTTGCTTTTCAAACACAATGCGTTCCCTAGAAATCATTCATTAGGCAAGCATTTGCATAACAAGTCAATGATTTCCACTGATTCCTGTGGGGAAATTTCTTATGCATTCCCGACCACAGAATTTTGACACCCTCCACCGAAAGTCAAAAGCCCCTAGGAAAACCCTCTTGAATGTTACTAAAATACTCTACAGCTGCTCAGCCAACCAGCAAAAAGCAAACAAGGAAGTAAAAAAATGCTCTCCATTCAGGTATCTAAATCTGTGGTGTGAATCGTGAGTGCGCAGAAAGTGAGACTGGTTCAGATGCAACAAACCCTGGCCTTTTTGGATTCAGTACATGCCTTGCGCTTTCACACTCACTTCCCTCCCCTTCATTTACATGACTTCAAGGGAGAGACTGTGGTTAAGCCACAGTTTCCTGTAACTTCTGAACCAGAAAACTGTGGATTTAAAGAGCACAAAGGGACTTACATCTGAGAGAACATGCATAGCACAGTACTCACATATAGCAGAACTGTAGCAAGTGAGGAATGTGTAATAATATATAATATATTTAAACATATGCTCAGTTAAATGGCTTTCATTTTTTAGGGTTTAGGATTTGGCTCAATGGCTGCATTTCTCAAGACTGTCAAGTGAAGGATCCCCTGACTTTTGAGAGGAAAAATCCCAGCTGAAATTCCATCTGGAAAAGCACAGTTACAGGATGACTCACTCTCGATGCATGAGACCCATAAATAACCTTCAGCACTAACAGACACGAATTCAGACACCAACCCGGCATGCTCAGAACCCGTACTTTATAACAACTGTCAGAACATAGCCAAATGCTATGCCAGGCACGGAGCCTGCGGCTGGCTGCTCTTGCTCTTAACGACCTGCCATGCAGAGCTCCATTGAAATTATTAATCGCCACAACATTCGAGGGAACGATGTGACTTCGCAATGCAAATAAAGAGGGAATTAAGCAGTAGAATTCTGCCAGACTCAGCCACAATTTGAAAGTTGTTAGGAGTAAGGGCATATGAGTGTGTGTGTGTGTGTGTGTGTGTGTGTGTGTGTTGTGTGGTAGAAACCCAGGCAGTTTCCAGCAAATGGTAATCAAAATCCTACTGTTCTGACAGAATGAGCTCTGTTCTTTGAGGAAACCACCTTTCACTGCAAGCCCAACCCGCCAGAGCATTTTGGCAGCTGACCCCAGGAGCAACTCCCTGTATACTAGGCCCTATGAAGTCCTACCCTCAAAGCTTGGTTCCCTGTATGCAGAACCCATCTCTGGTGCCTGTTCCCTTTCCCTGCTTTAAGGCCGCCTTAAATCCTGACCTTTTCCTGGTTTGACTTTTGCACCCAGCTAAAAGCATGGTAAAACTGAACTCAGTTTCCTCAAGGTAGGTGAGTGGTCATGTGTTGGGCAAGCCATCATGTCTCAGTTCTGTGTCATAGATAGATAGAGCAAGACATGATAGGCTTACTAAAGCAAACACAACTAAGGCAGCAATTTCATGTGCACTTTCCTTCAGAGTAAGTCCCACTGAGCTCCAAATGAAGATGTCCAAATTCCAGAGTTCTTTGCATGCCAAAAAGCTCTTTAGAACTGAGTAATAATAAAACACAGAAGTGGCAATTAACACCCCCCCCCCTGTTTTTGCATAATGTAATAGCCTTGGATTTCAATTATGCTGAACTGGGAAGGAACTTCTCTCTGCAAGTGTATTGGAACCCACACATTTCTTGTGGGAAATCTTAAGTCAAGTTGCCAATTAGCATCAGCAAGAAGCCCTTCAAACTCTGTTTGGGTCCCCTCTCCCAGCCCTAGGCATAGATAGCAGTATCAACACCCTGTGCATTGCTTGGCTCTCCCTGGAGAGGCAGTTTAAAACCTATAAAGATATTCCAAGACAACTGCTGGATCTTAGAGCCGCCTATTCTGAGCTTGCTAAACTACTAAGGAGCAACGCAATTCCATTCAGGTGGGAATTTCCCCAAGGAATATCTTTCACCTTTAAAGGGAGAAAGGTCAAAGTTAGAACATTGGAAGAGAGAGACAAATTTTTGGCTACATACGGAGAGGACCTTCAAAAAGGAATTGAATTACCTTCTGGGCCTGGGGCAAAGCCAGCATTAACACCAGCACCTGGGGAACCTGAAGATCCAGAGAAGACACCACCCCTGGAGAAATAACCAGATAGATCCAGGATGTCTCTGCAATTGCTGAGTTGGAACATTAATGGTTGTAACATTCCGGAAAAAGGAAGAAAATATTTCATATATTAAAAAAGAACAATTGGACATTATCTGTTTACAAGAAACACATGTGACGAGGCTCCACAGAAAAGTGTTAATAAATAAAAGATTGGGCCAGGAATTTGTTTCGTCGGACAAAGTTAAGAAGAGAGGCGTGGTGATATATGCAAAAGAGAGCCTGTCACCTAAATTCTTATCTAAAGATGAACATGGAAGAATTTTGGCCATTGAGATACAATATCAAGGAGAGAAACTGCTGATATTAGGAATCTATGCACCTAATGAAGGGAAATCGGAATTTTACAAGAAGCTGCAGGGGACAATGCTGGAATATCTGGATTACAACAACATCATAATGATGGGAGACATGAACGGGGTCGTGTCAACTAACATGGACAAGTCACAAAGTCAAAATGTTACAAAAGACGGCAGACTACCTAAACTTTTTTTGAAATGACTGACAATATGGATTTGATTGACATTTGGAGGACAAAGAACCCACTAGGTAGAGAAGGAACATTCTTTTCTGAAGCCCAACTGACCTGGACAAGAATCGACCAAATATGGATTTCCAGAGGCCTGGCACCTAAGGTCAGAAAAGTGGAAATCTGCCCAAAGACCTGCTCTGACCATAATGCAGTAAAGATGGATATGACACTACTACCAACTGGATCCTTTAGATGGAAGATGAATGACAATTTGTTTAGAGATCAGGAAATTACCAAGAAGGCCCAAAAAGTTTTGAAGGACTATTTCGAGATAAACATGAACAATTCGGTGGAAAAAGAATTGTCTGGGACGCAAGCAAAGCTGTAATGAGGGGATTCTTGATACAACAGAATGTAGTAAAGAAAAGAACACAAAATGAGAAAAAGATAAGATCTTGGACAAATTAAAAGAATTAGAGAAGAAATTAAGAGCGAATCCAAAGTCACAGCCAACTCTGAGAGAAATTAAACTCTATCAAACACAATATTCTAAATTGATAAATCAGGAAATTGAATGGAAGGTTAAATTAATGAAACAAAAACGTTTGAGTCGGCGAATAAATGTGGAAAACTGCTAGCTTGGCAGTTGAAGAGAAGACAAAGATTAAACACGGTTACAAACTTAGAGGTTGATGGAAAAACATTCAGAATCCAGTGGATATTAGAAAGTGTTTCCAGAGATATTTTAAAAATTATACACCCAAGGGCCGCAAGACGAAGTTGAGATTAAACAATTTTTGCCAAAAATGGATTATCTAAATTGTCACAAGAAAACAGGACAATCCTGAACTCTAAAATAACACGACAGGAGATTGAACAAGCTATTCAGAACATGCAACTTGGCAAATCTCCAGGGCCAGATGGGCTGACCTCCAAGTATTATAAGACATTAAAAGACTATTTGATACAACCCTTGATGGAGGTCTGCAATGAAATTATGGAGGGGAAGAGGGCACCGGATTCGTGGAAGGAAGCGTTCATCACATTAATACCAAAGTCAGAAGCTGAAAAGACACAACTGAAGAACTACCGTCCCATCTCTCTTTTAAATGTGGATTACAAAATATTTGCAGATATTTTGGCAAGTAGATTTAAAAAGTATTAAATGAAGTAATTCATAAGGACCAGGCCGGTTTTCTCCCAGGTAGACATCTGTTTGCTAACACAAGGAACATTATTGACATCTTGGAACTTCTGCAAACAGATATAAATACAAAAGCAGTTTTAATTTTCATAGATGCGGAGAAGGCCTTTGACAATATTTCCTGGAAATTTATGATGGGAAATTTAAAAGAGATGGGAGTGGGACGGGGTTTTGAGAATGGGATTGAGGCGATATATTCAGAACAGAAAGCTAAACTGATAGTTAATAATGTGGTCACAGAAGAGTTCAAAATTGAAAAAGGGACACGACAAGGTTGCCCTATCTCCCCTTTGTTATTTATTTCGGTTCTGGAAGTGCTACTGAACATGATTAGAGGGGATCGGTTGGTTGAAGGAATTCAGGTTGGTCAGAAACAATATAAACTAAAAGCTTTTGCAGATGACCTGGTTTTGACCTTGCAGAAGCCAGAGCCCAGTACGAAAAGAGTATTACAATTGATTAATGATTTTGGTCGGGTGGCGGGATTTAAATTAAATAAACAGAAAACTAAGGTTTTGGGGAAAAATTTGACTGATACAGAGTCAGAACGGTTTCAGAATGAGACGGAACTTCTTGTGGTTAAAAAGTAAAATACCTAGGGGTAAACATAACAGCAAAAATCTAAGTCTATTTAAGGATAACTATGAAAAATGTTGGACAGAAATTAAGAGAGACTTAGACAGTTGGTCAAAATTGAAACTTTCTTTGTTAGGCCGAATTGCTGCTATTAAGATGAATGTATTGCCAAGGATGTTGTTTTTATTTCAAACACTTCAGGTTTTGGACAAAACGGAGTGCTTTCAGAAGTGGCAGAGAGATATTTCGAAGTTTGTCTGGCAGGGCAAAAGCCCAGAATCAAGTTTAAGATATTAACTGATGCAAAACAAAGAGGGGCTTTGCCCTGCCGGACTTAAAGTTGTATTATGAAGCCGCAGCGTTCTGCTGGCTAAAAGACTGGCTACTTCTTGAAGACACTGATGTGTTGGATTTGGAAGGGTTTAATAATGTTTTTGGATGGCATGCATATTTATGGTATGACAAAGTTAAAGCAAATAAGGCCTTCAAGAACCATATTGTCAGAAAATCATTGTTTAATGTCTGGACAAAATATAAAGACTTGCTGGAAAATAAAACACCAAGGTGGCTTTCACCTTTGGAAGCTAAGGCCCGAAAAGACCCAATATGGAGGCTAAATGGCCAAAATATTGGGAAATACTAGAAAAGATGGAGACAATTGGAAATTGCAGAGTTTGGAGAAAATGAAAGACAAAGTGCGAGATTGGTTACATTACGCTCAGATTAAAGAAGTTTTTAAAAATGATAAGAAACTAGGGTTCCAGGTGGAGAAATCGAAATTAGAAACAGAATTGTTAGAACCAAAGACTAAGGTACTTTCAAGGATGTATAACTTGCTGTTGGAATGGAATACACAAGATGAAATGGTTAAATCGGCTATGATAAGGTGGGCACAGGACATTGGGTATAATATTATGTTTGAGGACTGGGAAAAGTTGTGGAGTAATGGATTGAAATTTACTGCATGTAACGCTCTGAAAGAAAATGTAATGAAAATGATTTATAGATGGTATATGACCCCAGTTAAACTTGCAAAAATTTACCACCTGTCTGATAATAAGTGTTGGAAATGTAAAGAGTGTGAGGGAACGTTCTTCCACCTCTGGTGGACCTGCCCTAAAGTGAAGGCGTTCTGGGAAATGATTTATAATGAATTGAAAAAGGTATTTAAATATACCTTTACCAAGAAACCAGAGGCTTTCCTTCTGGGTATTGTCAGCCAAGGGGTGGCAAAGAAGGACCAGACATTTTTTATGTATGCAACAACAGCAGCAAGGATACTTCTTGCAAAACATTGGAAAACTCAAGATTTACCCACACTGGAAGAATGGCAGATGCAACTGATAGACTATATGGAACTGGCTGAAATGACCGGCAGAATCCGTGACCTGGGAGAAGAGAGAATCGAGGAGGATTGGAAGAAATTTAAGAACTATCTACAAAAATATTGTGATTTGAGTGAATGCTAAATAAGATGCTAGACTAAATAACTGAGCACCACTTAACTTAGAAGTTTTTAAGAAAATAAGTAAGACTGTGAAAGTTTAACTCTTTATGAGAACTATAAGATTATGAAACATTGAAGAGATATAAGAATTTAAATAAGATGATAAATTGCTGACAAAATGTTATAACGATGAAAGTGGGAGCGGGGGATGTGAGGAAGTCCAAAGAAAATGTGAAACTATGTTAAGACAAATGTTATATTGTTTATTATGTTTATTCTTATTGTAAAACCCAATAAATTGCTTTAAAAAAAAAAAAAAAAAAAAAAGAGAGGCAGTTTAAAACCAGGAAGGATCCAATAAGTAATTCTGGGTAGCAATGGACTAATTGGTCAATTGCTGTTTCTTATCTTAACTAGTCTTAAGCCCCATTTCCAATCTGTTTGCATTTTTTTTTAAAAAAGTCCACACGAGAATTAGTAAGCACTTATTTTATTTATGAATAGCTGCCTACAAAACATCTTGAAGGGATTAAATCATAAAAACACCAACAATCAAAACATATGTAAACCACTGTCATATATAAAAACAATTTCAAATCTAACACAGATACGGGGGCGGGGGGGGGGGGAGGTTCCACTTAAAAGGCTTGTTGAAAAAAGGAATGTCTTCAGTAAGTGCCGGAAAAATAAAAAGAGTGAGAGGGAGTGCTTTCTCAATTTGAAAGGAGTTCCAAGGGATCTGTGCCATCCAGCTGAAGGCCTGATTCCTGCAATGTATGGACCAAAGCTCCTTTAAGAGCACATTTCTCTATTTGCAAGCCATTTTCCCTAATAAGATTTTTGTATGTTATTTTCACTAAAGGAACCTCTGCATCTGCACCTGTTATTACTAAAAAGGGAACACACAAAGAAATTTGATCCTGTTCATTTCAATACTGTTCTAGCTTCAAAGTGATTTTTAAGTTACAAAAAAATTACAATGTTAAAGGTTTGAGATCAGCATTACGTCAATTCCTACATCTCTTTTTTCCCTTTTCCACAAGTAATTGTTAGCCATCATGCCAATCAAATCACTTTCAAATTTCCCACCATAAGCACTGTTTCTAACCCCCATATGTGTGTGTTTGTGTGTGTGTGTGTGTGTGTGTGTGCACACACACACACACACACACACACACACGAGACCTCAGCCTTTATCTCACCTAATACTGCACAAAGATTTACTGTATCCTGCATTTTATCATTCCAATATAAAATAAACCAACTCCACTTCTCAATAAATTTCTTTACATGGTTGTCTGCTGTCTGACACTGATTCTATTTGTCAATTTCACCACGTGTCCTAGATCCCAAGGTATTAGGCATCTGTCTATATAGGAGCACGATGCATTTTGTTTCATTCTGTCTTGTCTCTATTGTGATTTATATGAGTTATTTGTTCCCTTTTTCTAAGAAAAAATAGTTTTGAAAGAAAAATAAGAGCATTGTTGGGAAGAATTCTAAAGCCCCTTGGAATTTTTCTTCCTCTGGGCTGTATGCCCATGACTACACACCACTAGTCAAGGAGCTGGGAGCCAAAGAACGAATGCTACTCTTTCACTTTGTGGTGACAGCAAAAAGCTTCCTGCATGTGCCACAGCTGTTTTAACAATGGCCACTGCCGCCAACTACTACGCCACACGGCCACAGAACACATCCCCCAACATGTTACGTTTCCACACCAACATTACCCCTATTGTAGAGTGGAACATGGGTGCATATGCAAGGTCAAAACAAGGCTGAAAGTAGTATTCTCCTTGCCTGGTACTGAACTGGACCCAGGGTACCCTGAGGGAGCACTCGGTATACGAACCAGGAGCCTTTGCAATGCCCCAGAGCATTCTGCATGAACCTCCTTGTTTTTTTAGCGAGTGCCACATTGCCCACATCCAGCCTGGCTAGCATGAGGTAGAAGCTGCAGTTGAGGTTTGGTGGGCTGGAGCGCTGAACTAAGACTTGGGAGACCATGACACTCAATTGGTGGCCTTGGCCCAGTCGCCATCTCTCAGCCTAACCTAACTCACAAGGTGGTCAAGTGGATAACATGTACAGTGGGTGTGGGTGTGTGACATGTACACAACTTTGAGCTCCTCCGATGAAAGGTGGGTTATAGCTGTATTAATAAATGTATATGGCTCCTACTGTGATGTCAAGGGTCAGCCTGTCTAGACCTGGAACCTGGTGGTCACCATGGAGAAGGAGAAGCACCCCCTGGAAGACCACCGCACTGCCAGTAATGCTGAGGAGGCACTGGATCCAGATATCCCTACTCCAGGACCAGAGGGCTTAATCTCAGTTGCCTAGGTCCCTGGCCAACTCTCGGACATCCTCCTCTCATCACACAAAGGACCACGGGGAAAGAGGAGATGACAAACCAAGCAGAAGAATCAGGGTTACTGGTGAAGAGCTCAAAGAGATGCACACGAGGTAACTCAGAAGTGCAGGGAAAACACATATGAGCATGCCTGGATCTAGGCCTGAGTGAGATCCAGGAAGTAGCAGGACTTCCAGCTCCCTACGGCTTCATATTCTAAACCTTCCTGGTGTAAAAGGCATGCTAGCTTCTCCCTGTCTGGTGGGGAAGCTGGCTCTGAGGAGCACTTTGCAACCCATCTTCTTCTTCTCCAGTTACCTCATTCTGGCCAGCTCCTTTCCTGAGCTATGAGCCCAGAAGCTGCACCCGTGTATTAATGAGCCAGGACCAGAGACCTGCTCAGGTCAGTGGCTCCTAAACTTGCTCAATGGAGGGACATCCAGTGGCTTTAATATCTGAACTAAGTACTGTTCCCAGAAAAGACATTGCCTCGGTGTTCCATTTTTAGTGCCATTCCCTGCAAAGCATCCAGCACTGGCTGCCAAATGAAACACGATGCTCCACTTGGTTTGGACGGCTTATGAGATGCCTGTTTACATTTCGGAGGCCAAGAATGATGGATCCCATCAACGCCATTCTGGAATTTGCAGGGACAGGAAGAAGGCATTTATGAGAACTAGGGCCAGGATTAACTTTCCTTTTCTCTTGTCGATGAGGCAGATGTAAGGAAAAATATTTCAAGTATGCGTTTCCTATTTGATTGTTGTTTTGAATCCAATAAAACCAAGGCAGGAAGCATTGGAATAGCCTGGAGCATCAGAAAGCCTAGCGTATTCACTGCTCCAGTAGGTCTGAATTGTCCATTCAAATCTAAACTTGGGGATGAAGAGGAGGAGGCGCAATTCCTCTCCTTTGTGTCAGGACAAAGCCAAAACTTGCTTACAGAAGGGTGAAGCTACTGCAACCCATCCGACTTGAGAAAACCAAATAGACAGCTCCTGAGAGTGAGTAGACTATGGCCCAGTGGAATATGTGAGCTGTGCTTTAAGAGCAGGCCAGGGTGGTTTGTTGCACCTCATCGGCCCACCAGAAGCTTGGTACCTTATAGTCTGGCTCACAGCTTTTGCCATGGCCAGTGATCAAGAGGATTTCAGTACCAAGACAGCAAAAGAAACAGGATTCAAACAATGTTAAGAGTAGCCCCAGAAAGCATCCTGGAAGAGCAATGTTTGAACTACATCAGTCTTTGCCAACCTACCGTAGTTCTCATTAGGGTGCTTAGGACTCCAACTCCCATCAGCTCCAGCCAGCATGTCCCAAACATCTGGAAGGCACCAGGTTGGCAAAGGCTGGAGTAGATGAAGGAAAGCCAGATGCAACAGCCCGCCATAGTACAAATGGCTCAGGTTCCACAAAGGGTGCATGGCTCTGTGCCTGCACAGCCCTCCCATCTTCAAGAAAGGGGCACAAGGCGGTGCCTCCCTTATTACAGCAGGGCTGGAGGACCTGATACCCCCTCCAGATGTTGCAGCACAACGTTCCCCATCATCCCTGACTATCAGCCATGCTGGCTGGGGCAAGGGAAGATGGGAGTCCCATCAACATGGCCTAAACTTGCTTTAGGCGTAACTCTCCTTTTGAAAGAGGCTGGCATCTATCAAAAATTTAAACCACCCTCTTTTGGTTTATTACTTTTGCAGGATGTAACAGATCTAACGATGCTCTCAAGCTGCTTTTTCTGCTGCATGCCATGAACTGCCTATTCTAGTATACGAGGCTCCAGAGAGGAGCAGCCTGCTGTAACGTCGCTCATATATTCCCCTCATAGACACTTTAATTATACACTTCTCCAGGCCTTGGGCGATCATCCTTCCAATGGGATGTTAATGAGTTTTTTGTTTTTAAAATACCTATAAAAGGGGACTAAACAAGGAGAAACAGTCTGGGAAGGGGGGAGCCTTCTGTGTCCTTTGGTGAGAAGAAACTGATGCAGAGAACCAAAAAAAGAAGTAGTGAAAAACCTTTAGAAATCAGCAGCATATTTGCAGGCTCCAGAGTGGCTTTCCGAAAATGCAAGCACAGCTAAGTCAGCCACGCACGCCTGTGGCTCCTTCTTCGCTAGGCTGTGTGACGAAGAAATAGGTTCATGCCCTTGCCCCAGATACTGAGCACAGAGTGAGGATGAGTTGCTAATATATAGGAAATTGGATTTTATATATAAAGGGAAGAAAAGAGAACACACTCCAGTGGGGCCTGCCCTTCTGAAGGACACTGCAGCTAGATTGCTCCAACCAGAGTGTGTGTGTCTCTGTGTCCACAGAGTATATTCCAAGTCTAGTCTTTGCCACCCCAGCAAAAGCATCCTGTCATATAGGGCACGGCATTTAACTCCCACTAAACATGCATCTTCCTTACTTTTTATGCATCAATTGCCATTCTTTCGAGGGCAGATCCTCACCATAGAGTGCATTCAAAGCACAATTTAAAGGACATGACTTTCCCCAAAGAATCCATGGGTTGTAATTTCCCCCTCAAAGACCTACAATTCCCAGCACCAGTGCTTCCCCCCAGGGGTACTCAAGGGTACGCAGTAACGGCACTTCTTTTATTTATTTCTGTTTAAAATGTGACACTTACCGTAACAACTTTATGGCGTGTACTGGCACCTACTTTTTTTGGGGGGGGGGGAGGACTGCCCAGAACCCTTAACAAACTACAGTCCCCAGAATTCTTTGGGGAAAGTGTACATTGAATACACTTTAAATGTATGGTATGGCTCTAAGTAGAGTTTTTGTATCCTGCTTTTCAGCCAAAATGGCTCCAAGAGCCATTTACATACCACAAGGTTACCCAGTGAGATTCATGGCAAAGTGAGGGTTTGAAATCGTGTCTCCCTAGTCCTACTTTGAAACTCTTAACAACTATCCCACACAGGCATAAGGAACTAGGAGCTAACTTATGCCTCCCTGGTCCATGGAGACTGTACTTGTAACCATCTGCCTCTCTCATTCATTTTGGAGCCAAGAGTGACAACAGAAGGAACTAGCATCTCCTCAGGTGTCACACTGATTACGACCTGCTTCCAACAAGTGGAAGTAAATCACAATAAATCCTCTTTATTCTCAGTAATCCACCCTACAACCCTGTAAGGTGGCTCAGTTTTATTATCCTCATACCGCAGATGCAGGGGATGAAGCAGAGATAGAGTGGCTTGCTTAACACTACATAATGAGTTCAATAGCTGAGGTCAGATTTGAATTGGGAGGCTCTCTGGCTCATTCTTAACTACTTGTAAGTACAGTGGTACCTTGGGTTACAGACATTTCAGGTTACAGACTCCATTAACCCAGAAATAGTGCCTCCGGTTAAGAACTTTGCTTCAGGATGAGAACAGAAATTGTGCTCTGGCGGCGCAGCGGCAGCAGGAGGCCCCATTAGCTAAAGTGGTACCTCAGGTTAAGAACAGTTTCAGGTTAAGAACGGACCTCCAGAACGAATTAAGTTCTTAACCCGAGGTACCACTGTATTGTGCTACCCTGGCTCTTTCAGGGCAGCTCCCATTTTGGGGCTCAGGGGCTTCTAAGGCACCCAGTTCTGTGCTGGATTAACAATGGGATGCGGTATTAAAAAGACCATGCAGATGTCCTTCACTGGAATTGCTTTTCCATGATCCCTTAACAGTACAGGTGAATAGCAGGCATACACAGGTAAATACACAGTCTGCTCTGAAGGGATCAAAAACACAGAAGGGGAGACTCCTACAGACTCATCTGTGTATTGACAACCTGCTAGTTTCAAATCTAAAAATAATAGTAGGTTGTATCCAACTAGGTTTCACTCAGAGTTCACCTATTGAAATTAATGGACCAAACTTATTCATGTTCAGTAATTTAAACGTGTCTGTTTTGAATAGAACTAGCATTGGATACAACCCAGTGGTTAACAGTGATGTCAAACCTGCATCTCTAGAAGGGATGGCACAGGGCACTTTCTCCTGTACCCAATATTTAAGGGGGAAGGTTTTATGGGAAGCTCAAAAGAAATAGGACAGACATCATTTTTGCACATCCCAGAAGGCCAGTAACAACTGGGCATCATATGATTTGATTTGATACTATCTCTATATACCACTTACATTGAAATGAATCTTTACAAAAGTAAAATACATATTAAAACAATCTAAAATGGAGAAGCCAGAAGCACAGATAATATGGCAGAAGGGTTTAAGTTAATGAAGTTGGAACAGAACTGAAAATGAGATTTTCCGCCTCTGAGTGCTCAAAGCTTCTAAAATCCCATCAGAGCCCAAACACACCCACACCCACACACCCACACACCCACACACACACCCTTAATAATTCATATCTAAAATGGAAGACAAATTGTCCTTCTTAGAGACTTAGAATTAAATTAATGGCAAACAAGTTCAAACAATTTCATCACGACCTGCCAGTCACAAATTCTTCATTTCAGGATAAGCTTGCTCCAAATCCACCCTGCTTTGCAAATGCCAACAACATGACTCTTCTCTAAGACTTAGGTCACATTCACACCACTCATTTAAAGAACATGTCTTCCCCCAAAGAATCCTGGATGATCATCTGTCATGGATGTTTTAATTGAGATTCCTGCATTGCATTGGGTTTGACTAGATGACCCTTGGGGTCCCTTCCAACTCTACAATTCTAAGAGCTAAAAGCAGTGGGGGGGGGGAGGTAGTCGTTCTGATGCTTCAGTAGGCAGATAAAGAAGTGGGGAGATTAAACTCTCTCACACACCAAGCACCCTGGTCCAAGACTCTAAAAAAAAAGGCATTTAAAAAAAAATGAATATGCAATAAGCACTGTCCTGTTTGGATGAAGGACACTCCTGACAGTGATTTGCAAAGTTCTGTTAACATATCCAGATGGTCATTTTTTGCATGTGTTTCTCCATTCCCAACCATGCATGCAAGAAGAGGTGTTTCTAAGACCACCCAAAAAGAAAGACACTGTGTTCCTTAAAAAGCAGAGCGGAAGAGAACTGCTTTTCAATGGCATTTGGTTTTTTTAAAAAAATGATATTTATTACTTTTTTAACATTTCCAGCACGACACTACAAACAAACAAAAAGAAAAAAGAAAAAAAAAGAAAAAACAATGCAAATACAATACAAAAACGCTACATGGACTAACAAAACAAACAAAAACAAGCAAAAACAATTTAAAATCACCTCAAACATTTTCAAAATCTTATATTTCATTTACTTATTTCCAGCGACCTCCTCCCACCTCCCTTTTTGTATTCCACTTCTACAGTGGTGCCTCGCAAGACGAAATTAATCCATTCCGCGAGTGTCTTCGTCTAGCGGTTTTTTCGTCTTGCGAAGCAACCCTATTAGCGGCTTAGCGGATTAGCGCTATTAGCGGTTTAGCGGCTATTAAAGGCTTATCGGCTTAGCGGCTTAGAAAAAGGGGGGGAAAGCGGAAAAAAAATCTCAAGACTCGCAAGACATTTTCGTCTTGCGAAGCAAGCCCATAGGGAAATTCGTCCTGCGAAGCAACTCAAAAACGGAAAACCCTTTCGTCTAGCGGGTTTTCCGTCTTGCGAGGCATTCGTCTTGCGGGGCACCACTGTATTATTTGTTTCAGCAATTCCTTTCCATCTTACTCTGTTTTCTGTTCTATAATTATCTTAACACATTCTTGCCATACTTTTCCTTTAATTTTCTATTAATCTATTTATACTTAATTCCTTATGACATTTCTGCTAAAGCCATATAATTTCATTCCAACATTTTCTAACATTCCTTAATTTTACAATATTTCTATAAATAGTCTTTAAACTTTTTCCAATCTTCTTCCACCGACTCTTCACCCTGGTCTCGGATCTTGCCAGTCATTTCCGCCAATTCCATATAGTCCATCAACTTCATCTGCCATTGTCCAACGCTTCAGTGTTTTCAAAAAGCAACCATTCTCTCAACCAGCAAAAAGCAGATGGTTCACAGCAAAGTTTAAAGGTCTGTCAGGGCAGGTCCACCTCCTTCTTTGACATCCATCAATATCTTAAATTTTACTCGAGGCTTCCTGCCCTGCCAAACAACTCTAGGAGCATCCCTCTGCCACCTCCTGAAACCCTCCATCCCATCCAAAGCTTGCAATGTTTGAAACAAAAGCAACATCCCCAGCAAAACAGCAGCCCTCATCCCCACCACAATAACTCGGCCCAACAGTAACAACTTCTGATTTGTCCATATTTCCAAATCCCCCTTCTCTTCAATCCAACATCCTTCACAGTTATCCTTAAGCAGATTCACATTTTTGGCGGTCATACTAACCCCCAAATACCTCTCTTTCTCAACCAATGTTAGTATCGCCTCCTGAAACTCTGTCAAGCTTTCCTTTTCCAATTCAGATAGGGCTCTGGTCCTCAAATTCATCCGTTCTTCTTTAAGTTCAATCATAACGAATGTCAACTTATGCTCGTCAAGTTGTCTTTGTATGGACGGGACTCTCCTCTCCTGTTGTATTACTTTAGATTCAGCAGCAAGGGTTTTCCCCCTGACTTCATCTGCAGTTTGCCATATTGAAGTAGATTCCTGTGTCAGTTTCTGAGTGGTTTCTGAATTGGTATTCACCTTTTGTCCCAAGTTATTTAAACTTTCTACAGTTGAATCAATTTCAATATTTGCCACATCCAATTTCACATTTATCGCATCTGTTTTCTTGTGGAGTTGTTCCAGCTAATCGTTTATTTTCAATAATGCAGCCACTAAGGCCTCCTCTGTCGACATCCTATCTGTTTTTTCCTTTCCGTTTGCCATAACACTTAAGAGATTCAAGGTCAATTCCAAAGTCTCACCCTTTTTATCTTGCATCTGGAAATTCCCCTAGCCCAGCTCCCATAAAGCAACCAATTTCAAAAGCTTCCACTAGGGGAAAGCGAGTTGTATTTGTATTGGTCAGTATGTCCTCTTTTAAACACAGTTTCAATAATCCAAAGTTAGTTTCAATTTTCAGTTACTTTCCTCCTTTTTTAATAAAGTTCAATAAAGTTGTTTCAATTTTCCGTTACTTTTACTCCTTTTTAAGTGCAGACGAAGACAATGGAAACAATGTATCTCTCTTATGCTAGCTGTCACAGAACGTTCTATTCACTGTCAATGAACCTTCCAAGACACGTCGGTCTTACTAGCAGCCCGTTTCCAGGTTCGGAACGGTGGTATTTTAACTTCCTTCACTCACTCCTGCAGGGATACACAATCCAAAGCCTCCCCCCTCTTCTCCTGCTTCCAAGGGGGGTTTAATATTTTTTACTGATGAGAATTTAGTCCTTTACAATAGGCTTTCCAAGACTTTAGCTTGCAACCTCTTTGCCTCAGTCTTATTTACAAAAAGGGGAGGTGGACTTCCTGTTTTGAGCCTCCCCATTTCGGTGCCAAATTAAGACGTTTAAAAATCCAATTCTTCACTCTAGTCACGGGTAGTTGCTTTAAGATCAAATTGTCCACAGGAAAAAGTCAGCGCTCTCCAGCAACAGCTATGCGGCTTCACTCCGTGGAAGAAGAAGTCGATCCGAAGCACCGCACCGCTCACTCCACGTCGCTCCAGATCCCCGAAACCGGGTTTCCCTGCGAGTAGGGGAGGCGCAAAAAGTGCCTGCCAAATCCCACGTTCACAGGCTTCACCCACCTGTGGTTTTTAGTGGGTCTCCGCCTTCGCCGTGGCGGCCAGACCCGAATTTCCACGAGGCAAATTCCTCTCGATCAGAGGAATTCCGCCATTGACGGGGGCGCCAACCCGGAAGTCTTCAATGGCATTTGTAGGTGCCTTCCTTCCCTTTGGGAAGATAAAAAGACAGAGGTGCACTTCGTTCGATGGTGGAGAGAGAACACAGTCATCAATGCTAGCAACCTCTGGGAGCCTTATCCTCCATGAATTTGTCTTAACCTCTTTCAGAGCCATTCAAGTTAATGGGCAGCCCCACTTTAAAAACTGCAGAAGGCAAAACTGAGCATTCGGTTTGGAAACAAGAACGTCTGTCGCGCAGTGTGAAGTTGGGGCAAAGCCAGGAGTGAGAAAACAGGTCAGCTCCTGCTTTTACACCTGTTTACACAGTCTAAAACTGCCCTCTTTGGCTATTTCCCTAAGCACCTACAGTTTTAAGAAAAGCAAATATACATTCCCCACAGAGGTCCATGCCCTGTGTCAACAGCAGGTTCCCTTTTGAATTTCAAGCCACACCTGTAGATAAGAGATCAAGAAGGCAAAGGCCTGCTATTGTGTGTTCTTCAGGTACCTGGTGCAACTTGCAAGTATAACCAACTTTGTGACCACCACTTCCCTGCCTACAGGGCAAAGCAAATATTTTACAAAAAAGCAGCAGCCTGGCAACCAGTGCCATTATTTGATTATCACTACAGCCTCCTAGTTAAAGTAATGCTTAGCATTTACATAATGCCTTCTTTGCAGCATTGATTGCTCTTTACATCCTGGCCACATTCACAGTTAACTGTAAGCCAGACTTTCTAGCTTTTTGTGATTTATTTGGAATGTGGGTTCAAGAATTACTAGCTTTACCTCTGCAGCAGGTTTGGCAACTGGCCCAGGTTCATTTACCAGCATCTCCAGGTGGGGCTAGGAATGTCCCTTGACTGCCGGCCTGAGTATACAATGCTGAGCTCGATGGACCAGTGGTTTGACTCATATAAGGCAGTTTCCTATGCTCCTAATCTAACCGTATTGCTTTGGTGTTAGTAGGTATGAATTAGGACCAACAGTGAAACTTTCCCATACAGGCAACTGCTTGTACTTTTGTGCACAAATGAAACTCCACACTGTTTCTCTGTTATCTTATCTGCTCTTTAAAATTCTGCTCGCAGCCTGTAATGAGCTGGAGCTACCACAATGAAGATGAGAAATGGCCGTGGAATTGACAATAACCGCGCGAGAGTAGATTTGAGTCTTTAAACAACTGTTTCCCCCTGCAAGCGAAAGACAAGAAGTAATCTCGATAGGAGGACAAATAACATAGGATAGAAGAGAGGAAATGCAAAGAGCACCTTCCCTTTGTACAGGACCAAATTCTGCTCAAGATGTGTGCAATTAACACGATAACATGGACTTCCCAGTGATTAATAGCTAGCAAAGAAATAGCTTTTTGAGGAGTTATGAGGAGGAGAATGAAGCACCCTCGTAGCTTAAGAAGGTAGAAATAAAGGTTAGCAAATCCCCAACCTAATTAGGGTTGAGGGGGAAAGAGATGATGGAAATCTAATGATTTACGAGTGCTCCTAGGGACCTTACAGAGGGGGCAAACAGGTTGAACTTCAGACTGCAGTGGGTGTAGGTTTTCCCTTTCAAAAAGTGTTTGTTTGTGAATTGCCTTTTACATGCACCTGAAGGCCATTTACAAACATACCATAAAAGAGCTAAAAATAGTTTTTGAAATAATACAAAAAAAACACCCAGCTGAAGCTAATATTTTAAACAAGATAAAATGAGCACCTAAGGGAGAGACATTTTCATCCTGCTGGAAAAGCTTGTTGAAAGTTGTTTCCAGAAAGTACAGGGGGCGGGTGCTTGGCGTATCTTGCAAGGGGTGCTGTTCCACAAAACAGAGGGAGCCACACTGAAAGCCCTGATCTGAGTCACTGTAAGGTGGGCTTCTGAGATCTTTCGAATTTGCAGCAGAAACTCTGCTACAGAGTATGGTGGCCTAGTGGGTATATAAGGGATAGCACCGTGTCTCAAGTAACCTATATATGGCCTTGTGTGTTAGTTCTAAAACACCATCATTACATAGCTTTACGCACCAGGCAAAAACATTTTTTCCACCAAGCTTTTGGCTCTTAATTATCTCTTGCCTCTTTGCAAAGTTAAAAACAGGGTTGTCTTTGGTATCCCCCCCCCCAAATGTTTTTCTTTTATGCCAGTTTAAATGTATGCATTTGATCGTTTATGTATTACAGGTCACTTTTGAGTTACCTCGATAAAAAAGTGAGGAATAAATTTAATAAATAAGAAAATGACAACACAAAACTGTAGTCATAAAAAAATCCCTATATATTAGCATGTGGCAATGAAGCCATCACTCTGCACTGGAGTCTAGGAACCCAACACACCCCAGAACTAATCCGGGGCTTCTATTAATTTTTCAAATGGCCACTGGGGAGGCTAGGAAATTAACTCCAAATTAATTTCTAGGGGTGAATTCTATTTCCGCTGGTAAATTCCTCATTTGAAACAGGTAAATGCCATTTTGCCTTGAGGAGGAGGGTGAGAAGAAAAGAGGCCCCCTTCAGGACAGAGTTTCCACCTATCGAAGAGACTATCATGAGCCTTGGTGGGTGCACAAAAACTGCCAATCTCCACCTTACCAGAACCAACAAAGAGACTGATTTGCTTTGAAGGTAGTTGTCAAAGGATGAGCTTAAAGCACTAGTCTAAGAGAATTAGGTATTCGGAGCCTGCTAGATACAAGTACAGTGGTACCTCGGGTTACAGACACTTCAGGTTACAGACTCCGCTAACCCAGAAATAGTACCTCAGGTTAATAACTTTGCTTCAGGATGAGAACAGAAATCAAGCAGCAGCGGTGCGGCGGCGGCAGCGGGAGGCCCCATTAGCTAAAGTGGTACCTCAGGTTAAGAACAGTTTCAGGTTAAGAATGAATAGCCTCCAGAAGATCAAAAGAGACTACGAGGCTCTGGGCAGGAAATTGAAGCAATTAAATGCACAAATTGTGATCTCATCTGTCCTCCCAGTTGAACGACGTGGCCCAGGGAGAGAGGAAAATAGTGGAAGTGAACAGCTGGCTTCGCAAATGGTGTAAACAGGAACGGTTTGGATTCTTAGATCACGGACTGCAGTTTCTTGAAGATGGACTTCTGGCAAGCGATGGGCTGCACCTCACAACGGTTGGGAGAAATGTTTTTGCCAAAATCTCAGAAACCTCATCAGGAGGGCTTTAAACTGACTAATGTGGGGGAGGAAGACAGTGCTCCTGAAGGTAGGAGTCTATCAATTGATGAAGATGATCATCCAAATGTCATAGACCAAATGGAGCAAACAGCACACAGACCTAGTGGTGGGAGGAAAAATCCTTAAATAAGAGTCACGGGGAATGATTAATGGACTTCAATGTCTGTACACTAATGCGCAAAGCATGGGAAATAAACAAGATGAGCTTGAGCTCTTGGTACAGCAAACTAAATATGACATAATAGGCATCACTGAAACCTGGTGGGATAAGTCCCACGATTGGAATGTAATAATGGGGGATACAATCTATTTCAGAGAAACAGACCAGACAAGAAAGGAGGAGGAGTGGCGTTATATGTCAGGGATGTGTATACCTGTGAAGAGATCCAAGATTTAGAACCTCAAAGCCAAAGTGAGAGCATTTGGGTCAAAATTAAGGGAGAGAAGAATAACAGTGACCTCATTGTGGGAGTTTACTATAGATCCCCAAGCCAAACGGAGGACATAGATGATGCCTTCCTGGAACAGATGGCCAAGCATGCAAAAGGAAGGGAGATAGTAGTAATGGGGGACTTCAATTACCCGGATATTTGTTGGATGTCAAACTCAGCCAAGAGCATAAGGTCAAACAGATTCCTCACTGGCCTTGCAGACAACTTCATTGTCCAGAAAGTGGGAGAAGCAACAAGAGGAACAGCCATTTTAGATCTGGTCCTAACCAATGTTGATGACCTGGTTAGTGGGGTAGAAGTGGAAGGATCATTAGGCGCGAGTGATCATGCTCTTCTGAAGTTTACTATACAGCGGAAAGGAGCAGCCAAGCATACTAGGACTCAATTTCTTGACTTTAAGAAAGCTGACTTCATAAAACTTAGGGAAGTGCTGGGTGAGATCCCATGGACAGTAATACTAAAAGGAAAGGGAGTTCATGATGGCTGGGAGTTTGTTAAGAGGAGATACTAAAAGCACAACGTCAGGCAATACCAATGAGACAGAAACATGGAAGGTGCCTAAAGAAGCCAGGGTGGCTATCTAAAGAACTTTTAACTGAGTTAAGATTAAAAAGGATGTGTACAAAAATGGAAAAGGGGGAAACCACCAAAGAGGAATTCAAACAAATAGCCAGCACATGTAGACACAAAGTCAGAAAAGCTAAAGCACAGAATGAACTCAGGCTTGCTAGAGAGGTTAAAAGCAACAAAAAGGCTTTTATGGGTATGTCCGTAGCAAAAGGAAGAACAAAGAAACAGTGGGGTCACTCAGAGGAGAAGATGGTGAAATGCAAACAGGGGACACAGAAAGAGCTGAACTCCTCAATGCCTTCTTTGCCTCAGTCTTCTCCGATAAAGAAAAAATGCCCGACCTGAAGAATTTGGAGCAAATGATTCAGCAAAGGAAACACAGCCCAGAATAACTAAGGAGATAGTACAAGAATACTTGGCTAGTTTAGATGTATTCAAGTCTCCAGGGCCAGATGAACTGCATCCAAGAGTATTAAAAGAACTGGCAGATGTGATCTCAGAACCACTGGCAGTCATCTTTGAGAATTCCTGGAGAACAGGTGAAGTCCCGGCAGACTGGAGGAGGGCAAATGTTGTCCCTATTTTCAAAAAGGGGAAAAGAGAGGACCCAAATAATTACCGCCCAGTCAGTCTGACATCAATACCAGGGAAGATTCTGGAGCAGATCATTAAGCAAACAGTCTGTGAGCACCTAGAAAGGAATGCTGTGATCACCAATAGTCAGCATGGATTTCTGAAAAATAAGTCATGTCAGACTAACCTGATCTCATTTTTGACAGAATTACAAGCCTGGTAGATGAAGGGAATGCAGTGGATGTAGCCTACCTTGATTTCAGCAAGGCATTTGACAAGGTGCCTCATGATATTCTTGTAAAGAAGCTGGTAAAATGTGGTCTTGACTATGCTACCACTCAGTGGATTTGTAACTGGCTGACTGACCGAACCCAAAGGGTGCTCATCAATGGTTCCTCTTCATCCTGGAGAAGAGTGACTAGTGGGGTGCCACAGGGTTCTGTCTTGGGCCCGGTCTTATTCAACATCTTTATCAACGACTTGGATGATGGACTCAAGGGCATCCTGATCAAATTTGCAGATGACACCAAATTGGGAGGGGTGGCTAACACCCCAGAGGACAGGATCACACTTCAAAACGACCTTGACAGATTAGAGAACTGGGCCAAAACAAACAAGATGAATTTTAACAGGGAGAAATGTAAAGTATTGCACTTGGGCAAAAAAATGAGAGGCACAAATACAAGATGGGGGACACCTGGCTTGAGAGCAGTACATGTGAAAAGGATCTAGGAGTCTTGGTTGACCACAAACTTGACATGAGCCAACAGTGTGACGCAGCAGCTAAAGGCCAATGCAATTCTGGGCTGCATCAATAGGAGTATAGCATCTAGATCAAGGGAAGTAATAGTGCCACTGTATTCTGCTCTGGTCAGACCTCACCTGGAGTACTGTGTCCAGTTCTGGGCACCACAGTTCAAGAAGGACATTGACAAACTGGAGCGTGTCCAGAGGAGGGCAACCAAAATGGTCAAAGGCCTGGAAACGATGCCTTATGAGGAACGGCTAAGAGAGCTGGGCATGTTTAGCCTGGAGAAGAGGAGGTTGAGGGGTGATATGATAGCCATGTTCAAATATATAAAAGGATGTCACATAGAGGAGGGAGAAAGGTTGTTTTCTGCTGCTCCAGAGAAGCGGACACGGAGCAATGGATCCAAACTACAAGAAAGAAGATTCCACCTAAACATTAGGAAGAACTTCCTGACAGTAAGAGCTGTTCGACAGTGGAATTTGCTGCCAAGGAGTGTGGTGGAGTCTCCTTCTTTGGAGGTCTTTAAGCAGAGGCTTGACAACCATATGTCAGGAGTGCTCTGATGGTGTTTCCTGCTTGGCAGGGGGTTGGACTCGATGGCCCTTGTGGTCTCTTCCAACTCTATGATTCTATGATTCTATGATTCTATGATTCCAGAACGAATTAAGTTCTTAACCCGAGGTACCACTGTACCCTCCCCAAAAGGAAAGTATAGATCAAATTAAACAGGGCTTCCATATGTATTTTAAAAGTGCATATTCCCCACAGGTTACAAAATTGCAGAGAGGATGTTCTGCAGCCGCATAGGCCATCTACTGGTTTGAAAACAGCTCAGCCGGTCATCATCTGGGCTCATCACAGAGACATGCGATTTCCATTTAGTCAGCAGCAAGAGACGCAACTCAGTGGGGACGGTGGCAGAGAAAAGAAGCTGGCGACAGAGTACTGCAGGTGCAAAGGTGTGCTGCAGAGGAAGACGTCCAAGCCTTGCAGGAGAACTGAAGATAAAACTGCCTGCATTAAAACTGGAATCTCTCTCTCATAAAAGCCAAAGAGGCCCACTTCTTCTAGAGCACTGTATTCTAAAGGCATGTATTGTCACCAATCTATTTTTCTCCCACACAGTTTCTGCAATTTATAAAATGCTCTTCTCTCTTTATTCATTGGGGGAAATTATCCAAAAGCGTAAAGCAGGAAAATTCACTCTGGTTAAAGAAAGCCTACTACAGAATGCCTGGGAAAGCATTTAGACCCCCCGATGTTGCTGCACTCCTGCTCCCACCAGCCCCAGGCAGCATGGCCAGAGGTCAGAGATGTTGGGATTTGGAGTCCAAAAAGATTTGAAGAGCCGCAGCTGAATCGACTGGTGCCCTCGAGACCCGTCCCCATCTCTGGACTACAGCTTAATTAGACTGCAAGTTCCGATGGTGCTGTGAATTCTTAATAGTCTTCTGCTGACCAGCAAATTTCAAATTTGATTTGACTGTAACTTAAATGGCTGTTCTGTCATCATAACAATACAGGCAGATTGATACGAAACACCATTGTTTTCATGAGCCCAGTGCTTCCAAATTCAGATATGAAAGATACGTATTCAGATACGGAGAAAAACAGCCAACAGTTAAAACTTTCATGTACCTTAGAGAAAATGAAGCCACAACGTGAAAACATTCCCCAACTATCTCCTCCTTTTGCTCTCATGCAGACCTTATTTTTATACACACCACGCTGGAGCAGACAGATAAAGGCGGATGGAAGGGAAAGATAAGGATAGCCAACACACACACACACACACACACACATACACAAAGATGAACATGTGGCACTGGCCACATGACTTGATGAGAGAAATATGTATTCCAGGGAGACAACCAGCACTTATGTCACCTAGGCTCCTCATACTGGAGAAGAACTAGGCCTTTCTGAAAGAGAAGCAAGGCAGCCAAAGAATCTCCAGAGCCCAGAGGAAAGATGCTCTGTTTCCAACAATAGTTTCCTATTGCTAGCATAATAAGCAGTACCAGAAAGAAGGCGTGTGATGGAGCACTGGTGCAAGGAAGGGCAAACTCCCATTATACCCACCCTAGCTGTTTGCCCCACCAATGACAAGGCAATATGGCCACACCATGCCCCTGGATCGGGGCTCCATTTCTACCAGACGAGGAAGCAAATGCTCACTTCGATAGGCTCTCGCCTTTCCTGACCACGTTTATTTATTTCAATTATTTATTTACCACTTTTATGCACCATTTTAATTTGGGGGTGGGGTGGGGTGGGGTGGGGTGGAATACCTTAAGCACTGTACAACATAAATGCAACAAGTAATACCACTCAAACAAAACATGACTATAAAAGCCAGGAAAGCAGTAGTATAAACACATATGATTTTATTTTCTTATAAAAATAGGAATTTGGGGGATTTATACAGATGAAAACAGAGTCTGACCTCATGGGGTAGGGAAAGCCTGGGCAGGGAAAAAAGGTAATAATAAACAATAAAAGGTTATGTCTTTACAAGCCATGTTCCTGTCAGCCTGGCCAAATATTGTACTAGAAACGTTCTCAACCGCAGGATGATAAGTTGCTCTGATAATCAATAAATCATGCTTTGGAGAGGCAGGTAAGCATCGAGACCAGAGGACTGCTGCTTCCAAAGGAAGGCTTCAGCCTGCCCCACCAAGCTTCAAGCCAGAGGTTATTCCACCAGCAGAACTGTTCGTGACTTAAGTATCTCAGCCTACTGGGTGACATGGGAAGAACTGGCAAAGTCATTTCCTGAGCTGCTCCTTGTGGGTTGCCAGAGAATAGCATATCAATTACTGGCACAATGAGGGTCATTTCTCCCTCCTCCTTCACCTTTTCTGTAAAAAGGATTTATGGAACGCAACCGACTCCATCTTGTCCCAGCATGCTCCAGTACAGCACCTTCTTGCCAACCTTTCTGGGCCAGTGGGTGCATTTGGGATTCTGACGTGGGGCACCACTCACAAAATGCACACTGTTGTGTGCAGTGTGTGGCACGGCACACCATGGCAGCCACATCAAAAAGACCAGAATAGAGGGCAAGACCACAAAAGGGTACGGGCATCCCTCTCACACACACGCCCTCCACCCCAATCAACTGGGGAAAAGGAACCTGCATCGGCCACCATAATGCTTACACACAGAAAGAAGCTGTTAGCACCTTTTCTCCTGCTGCTCAGAACGCAGGGAAGGTAGGCATCTAGTGTTGTGAGAGAAAAGAGAAACTGTGGAGAGATGTTGCCAGTTGAAGCAGAGAATTCTGGGCTAGAGTTGCCCTGGGACTGCCATCAGTGATGGGATCAAGGGCCATTGGGAGGAAGCTCCATCTGCACCCCAGGGAGAATACCATGGTGGGGTGGAGAATAATCTGGCCCAATCCGCTGGCAGATGCAGGGAACTTGCTTTGCTCTTCTCTGCTAGAAGATGATGTCTAAGAACTTTATATCAAGGAGCAGCCGAGTTTGCTTTTTCCCTCCTCCCTCCCACTCACTTTTCCTTCTGTGACATGTCATTTAGGCTGTAAGCCTGAAGGCAGGGGCTGTCTTGTTGTAAGCCATCCTGGGAGCCTTTTGCAGCCGGCTCATGAGTTAAAAGATGCTTTAAAGAATGTGACAAAAGAATCTGCCCTGTACAGTGGTACCTTGGGTTACATACGCTTCAGATTACAGACTCCGCTAACCCAGAAATATTACCTTGGGTTAAGAACTTTGCTTCAGGATGAGAACAGAAAGCGTGCTCTGGCGGCGCAGTAGCAGCAGGAGGCCCCATTAGCTAAACTGGTGCTTCAGGTTAAGAACATTTTCAGGTTAAGAACAGACCTCAGGAACGAATTAAGTACTTAACCCAAGGTTAAGTTGCTGCCAGAGGTCCCTGTGCTCTTCCTGGACGTTCTGCATGCAAAGCATGTTCATGTCTGTGCACATGCACACACGTATTCACAACTTACGTGACTCACATGCATTGCATTTACTTTGATAGCTGCATCAGAGAGGAAACCGTAGCAGCAGATGCTCTCCTCACATCGGCCAACCTGTCACCATCCGCCACGTAACACCAGCTATAATGGCATGGAACAGCTCTTCCCACTGGGGATTACGAAAGCTTTATAAACCATTAAATATGAATAGCCATTAAAGCCACAAGGAGAGGAAAACATTGCATCTTGAAAAACAGGACCATAACTAACCTGGAAACCAAGATTACATTATTACTTCTCATGACTTCCAACACAGTTGGAAACTTGATTTTTATTCTAATTCGTTTTTGTAAACCGCCCTGAACTATGGTGCATCATTTTAACATGTAAAGGCTGATTCACTCAAGATTTAAGGTAGCTCTAAAATTACAGCCAGCAACATACGGGTCATAGGCTCTAATCCAATATTTTCTTATTGGCAACACATAACAGCTAAAGGAGTAAGACTGGGGCAGGGAGCCTCTGACCCTTGAGCTGTTGTTGAACTGCAACTCCCATCAGCCCCAGCAAGCATGGCCAATGGCCAAGGGTGATGGGAATTGGTTCAACATCTGGAGGACCATAGGTTAGCCAACCCTGACCCAGGGGTTTCAGCTAAGGATAAATGGCCATTTCCGTTCCCACCACTGGCCATGCTGGCTGAGGCTTGCTGCTTTCAGTTACTGTGTTGTCCATGGTTGCATCTTGTTTTATTGTTAATTTCTGAGCCAACCTGGGAGTTGACCCAAATATTAAATGTCACTAAATAAATAAATACAGGGCTCAAAGCCAGAGTCTGAGAAGCATGTTTGCGTGTTACCAGAGCATCAAATGCAAAACCTCTATCTAAATACCAGGAAGTAAAATGGAGAAATTTACTCCGAAAGGGAGACTGATGCTACTGAAGCTGGTTCCCTGTTTGCACATGGAAACTATTAAGAAGTTTGTAGTCCTTATGGCTTGGCGCAATGATATGGTTTGGTACCAAGCGTCTGTGGGCCAACCCAGCAGTCATTCAGTTGCTTAGACAAAAAGGCTCACAAAATGCTTGTTGGAGAACTTCATTTGGTGTCTCTCTTCGGCTAAACATCTCTGCAAAGATGCTGGTACACATATGTTATATTATGAAGAAGCAGAGATTTGACAAGGTAGCACAAGATAAACAGCTTATAGCAGAGCAGTCGGGTGGGGGGAAGGCTTCGCTATCTATTACTGTACATCCAAGCCACTGAGTAGATAGATAAAGCCTTCCTGTTTCACTGAAGGGCAAATCAATCATCTTGACATTATTTAAATATTGCTGATAAATTGAATGATGACTCTGATATAAAAGAGCACTTAGCTTAGCCCCGAAGAAAGGATGTAGAATTATTCAGTGTGGCATCTTTTGTTATAATCATTTTTATCATGTTTTTATCATTTTGCTTCTCGCTTATTGCATTTTTACTCTATTTTTTAAACTTTTTTTAGGCTACCCATAATCATATATTGAAAGGTGGTATAAAATCTGATAAATATAACTGATATACTAAACCTGCAACCTCTCTTTTATCCATACAGTGGTGCCTTGCAAGACGAAATTAATTCGTTCTGCGAGTTTTTTCGTCTTGCGAATTTTTCGTCTTGCGAAGCACGGTTTCCCATAGGAATGCATTGAAAAGGAAACAAACTTGCAAGACGTTTTCGTTTTTCATCTTGCGAAGCAAGCCCATAGGGAAATTCATCTTGCGAAGCAACTCAAAAAATGAAAAACTCTTTCATCTTGTGAGTTTTTCGTCTTGCGAGGCATTCGTCTTGCGAGGTACCACTGTAGTAAGGTTTAGATAGCGAGTTCAGGTTTCACAAACAGCCCTTCTGCCAGGCAGTTTCCACACAAGTCAGATGCTCACTGCTTGGACACATGTGTACGCAGTGTTAGAAACTGAGATATGAAACCTAGGAGCTAAATAGCACCTTAAACCTAGGTTATGGGTGCAACGACAGAATGCCTAGGTGCGCTTTTTTATAACCAGAATACAAAGCTGAAAATATTATGTTCATTTTTCACATGGTCTAGTCCTTCCCATGGGACACTGGTGGCGCTGTGGTCTGAACCACTGAGCCTAGGACTTGCTGATCGGAAGGTCAGTGGTTCAAATCACTGTGACGGGGTGACCTCCTGTTGCTCAGTCCCAGCTTCTGCCAACCTAGCAGTTCGAAAGTACGCCAAAAAAAGTGCAAATTGATAGATAGGTACTGCTCTGGTGGGAAGGTAAACGAACGGCGTTTCTGTGCACAGCTCTGATTTCGCCAGAAGGGGCTTAGTCATGCTGGCCACGTGACTCGGAAAAACTATCTGCGGACAAACGTAGGTTCCCTAAGACAGTAAAGCGAGATGAGCGCCACAACCCCAGAGTCATTCGCGACTGGACTTAACTGTCAGGGGTCCTTTACCTTTTTAGTCCTTCCCCTTTGCAGGATACTTATGCAAAATACATTATTTTGCAAATTTACCCTGGAAAATTTAACTTGTTGCATAGAATTTGATTTATTAAAGCCACCAACTATAGGGAAGGGATGCGGGTGGTGCTGTGGGTTAAACCACAGAGCCTAGGGCTTGCCAATTAGAAGGTCGGCGGTTCGAATCCCTGTGGCGGGGTGAGCTCCCGTTGCTTGGTCCCTGCTCCTGCCAACCTAGCAGTTCGAAAGCACGTCAAAGTGCAAGTAGATAAATAGGTACTGCTCCGACGGGAAGGTAAACAGCATTTCCGTGAGCTGCCCTGGTTCGCCAGAAGCGGCTTAGTCATGCTGGCCACATGACCCGGAAGCTGTATGCCAGCTCCCTCGGCCAATAAAGCGAGATGAGCGCCGCAACCCCAGAGTCGTCCGCGACTGGACCTAGTGGTCTGGGGTCCCTTTACCTTTTTAACTATAGGGAACCATTCCCATTACCTTATTCAACGTTATAATTTGTTCAATAGCAAACATATGAGATTATCTTGCTGCACTTTTGCATTTTGTTTTTGGATTTAGAGCCAATGTTATAAGGGCCTTCTGTCTACAATAAACAAGAGAGGGAAGAAATCTCTTTCCCAGCTACAGTATTTACAATGCAAAGGTTTGGCACCTTGCTAAGTATGTATCTGCTCACTGCTTGGTCCTGATGGGAATTGACAGTTTTGATTTGGGCAAATTAAGCCTTGGGGATCAAAAGAATAAAAAGTGTTTACAAGGCTGGCTCCTGCAATTCATTCCTATTTACATTTTTTTTTAAAAGAAGTTTCTTCCCTTGGCGCATTCAAGCCATTCATGAAGAAGTCAGATGAGGAAAACATGCACAAAACATTTTCCGCAGTGGTAAACTTTAACCAGCTGGTTGCCAATAAATCAGGTTCCAGAAAGTGAAAGAATTGAGGCATACATTCTCTTTGGTTTTATCTCTTTGGCCTTGCCCTGGGATCATTTTCTTTTCATAACAGTAGGATAGCTATGAATGCCCCCGTCCCCCTTACACACCCTCAAAAGGGTGTGAGCTTCCCTTGCATTAAAATTGTATATGTCAATTTGTAGATGCAAAATATAGAAACAATTGCTGTCATTTGAATAGAAATATAATCCATCTCATCATAGTAGGAAAGACTATGATCAAGTGAATGATACCCAGGAACTGATCCCCTGCGCTAGCTGTTGATGGGTCGTTTCAAGGCCCTTCCTGCTCTCGCTTTCATATCTCTAAATATATTGGAAAAGGTCAACAGAGGTTATCTAGATAATTTTCTAAACCTTCTCACATAATATTCCTAAAAATTAATCAGGATCCAGGGCAAGCCAATCCATCTTGATCTCTCCAGTTCAATTTCTTCAAATACCTGTTGTTTTTTACTGAACAACATAATGTTCTCTGTTCTTTCCAATTCTTCATTCATTAGTGTCAAGGTCTTGACACAGCCCATAAATTTAAGGTTTCCCGTTGAGACATTCAATTTGCTTTCTTTTAATAACTGTTGATGCCTCTAAAATATATGACGATGCTGGATTCTCATATTATATTGCGATGGGGACACTCCTGAATCAAGTGAAGACATGAGTGTCTGTTATATAACCTGGTTACTGCCAATGAACACCTGAGCTATCAATGAACACCTGAAGCTATCAAGGATGCTTGTGCAATAGCTAGAAGGAGAAGTTTTCTTGTTGTTATTTTTGTTAAACTCAGCATCACTGTTGGTAGCTACTACCTTCAAACCATCCCACATAACTAGGTGGGGCTGGAATGATAATGTTTCATTTGGAATACAGCCAGGTAAGGAGACAAGCATTGCTGATGGCTGGAGGAACAGAGACGTTTGGGGTGGGTGGCTTGAGGTGGAGACTCAAAGTAGGCACAGTTTGATTTGTGGGGGATTATATTGCAGTCCCATGGACTGCAAGAAGATCAAACCTATCCATTCTTAAGGAAATCAGCCCTGAGTGCTCACTGGAAGGACAGATCCTGAAGCTGAGGCTCCAATACTTTGGCTACCACATGGGAAGAGAAGACTCCCTGGAAAAGACCCTGATGTTGGGAAAGATGGAGGGCACAAGGAGAAGGGGACGACAGAGGACGAGATGGTTGGACAGTGTTCTCGAAGCTACCAGCATGAGTTTGACCAAACTGCGGGAGGCAGTGGAAGACAGGAGTGCCTGGCGTGCTCTGGTCCATGGGGTCACAAAGAGTCGGACACGACTAAACGACTAAACAACAACATATTGATGTAGCATTCCTGACCTCCCAACCATGGTTAGAGTGGCAGATTCACCAGAGGGTGGCTTACATACTCCATTCCCTTTTCATAGCCAGCCACGGTTATGGCTTTACATCTCTACAACTGACCAATTTAACCATGGTTAACTCTAGCCAGGGTCTGCATTGCCCACAGGGACACCTGCCTGGCTCTCATACTGATTTATGGGGAATCTGGATGATCGAGTATGTCTTTTTCATAATTCAGTAAGGAGGGTGCATTCGTATTATGAAGCATCTATTGAACAGCAGTATTTTGTGCATCTGTAAAAGCTCAATAATAATTAAACGTTTGCCCAACCCCAAAAAAGAGCAAGGTTTGCAAACCACCTTTTGACCCTCAGTTTGACTGTTAAGATTCTGAGCAAAGCTAACCACGGTTAGTGTAAACAGGGATGAAGCAGCTTAATTAGCTCCTCTTGGTTTTCTGACTTAATTTTGGCTTGCAAAGAAAATAATGCCTTTGAACAAGTGACATCACTGACATCAACCTCCAGTATGGCAAAACTCTATCTCACTCCGGCACTGTCTAACCTCAAGAGGAACATCTGAGCAAGCCGTTATACTAATTATTAAAGCATACCCAACTTAGAATCAGTCCGTGGTATTCATGAAGCACAGCATATTGAGAGCCTTCAAAATCTCATAAGGGTGTAATCATGTGCAGTTAGGCTGCTTAAGTCTCATACACAAAGTATTATTATTAAGCCACTCCATGAGATATTACCACACTTGAGACGGTAATTAGGATCTAAAAATGGGTTCCGGCTCCCTCACTCAGTATTTTATTAGGGTGAGCTTCTCTCTATTCCAGAGCGAAAAAGCATGCCTGCATTTTAAGACACTGAAATGCTATCAATACATGTGATTTCACACAAAGAAAGGAAGCTTTATTATAAATATAAATTTCATTTGGTGCTCCAGCCCTACACGCCTCAAGCATTATTAACTTACGGAATTCTCTGCCACAAGATGGTCCCTTACTCAGATGGCTTTGAAAGGGGATTAAGCAAATTTTTGACAGCCAGTCATTGCTATATATCCAGCATGCAACTCTACAGGACTTGTCCTGGCTAGAAACAGTTATCGCCTTCACACCAAGTTTGTGGGTTCCCCCAAGGGTATGTGACCGGCCTGTTTGAAAGCAGGTGCTGGAGCAGATAGAGCTTTTTGTCTGGTGGTACCCCAGAGAGAGCTGGACCACAGATTAACCAAGGATCCAGGAAGGCCTTGTTGCTCAAACAAGACACAAGCCCCTTTATTCTCCATCCTGCAGAGGAGCCGATGGCCAGTCTGGGTAGCCGGAGTCAGCCCAGGGGCTGAAGGTACTTCAATGAGAAGCCTGCCACCGTTATGGTCACCATACAGGCTTGAGTAGTTCACCACATGGGAGAAGTGCACGTGGATCCAGCAGTTCGCCAACCCGATCAGCACCACCCAGAAAGAAGCGTGGTGATTTGGTGGAAAAGAGCGTCATGATCAGTCATTCCAGCAGTCATGCTATTCATACACACAACGCCAACACCCAGAGCAGTGTGGGAATCGCTGCATGCCCCCAAGACTCTGATGCTATCGTTTATTTTGCATGTGTATGCCAAGGAAAGAGTGCCTCTGGTTACTTTGATAGTACTGGGGCATCACCCAACTAACATGTTCCATCAGCGCAAGGATTTATATTGCGCAAGGCAACTCCCTGCTCCTTTCCTTGCACACGGCCTCTCCACATCTGCTCTGGAAGGCTGGTGGGGGAACCCCAGAACAGTTTTAGGGAGAGCACAGGGGAAAGAGGGAGGAGTCCTGTTGGAAAAGCCTGAAGCCTTGCACTGTCAGAACAAAGGACTTAGTACGACACTGGATACAACCTACTATTTTGTCAGTGCTGTACATCCTTAAACCGAAAGTTAGCCTTCATCTCACGCTCATATGGAATGCAGAAATGCTTGATCTGGGCATTAAGAGCCAAACTACATGTTATGGGCAGATAAATATTGCTTTTAAAAAAAAATCTCATGGGAAGTTCAGTGTTTTGTTTTTAAAGCAGAAAGCAGTTACTTATGGGTGTAAAATCAGAAGCAGGGGGAGAGAGTTGAAGGGGGGCACTTAGCACCTGGTCATTTTTCCTCTCAAAATCACCTCCCAAAAGCTATTCCTTTCCTCTGCTCCTGAGAGTAGGGACATACCTGGAGCCACCTTAAGGTCGGGGCAATTTTGAAAGGAAAATTCTGCAAGGGCACAACTAAAACTCCCTTCCCCAGTCACCTTTCCTCTGCTTCCAATGAAGTCTTGAGTTGTTGCTTTTGGTTTTTTATTTCTTTAAGTCAGGGGGAACTTGCACAGAACTCCATTTAATACATAGTTTTGCCTGAGCAACTAACATATTTTGGGTCCAACATCTTTATTATTTATTTATTTATATTAAATTTGTGTTCCGTCCTACATTCGAAGATCTCAGGGCAGTTCACAAGATTAAAAACAAACAAACAAACAAACCTCATTTCAGAGATTTTAGAGGGTATATAAGAAAATTTTAGTTTAAAAATTGCTGGGAAAGGAGTGTATCAGTTGTATGCTGAGGTTAACTGTTAAGAAATTTAGCTCTCAGTGCTTTGGACTTAAAGTCTTGTGACTCTGGGGGGAGAACCACTGACAACAATTTTTAAGCATCTACAAAAATGGAGGGATCCTTCCATTATATGAGGTGACCCAATGCACTCTGTCCCACTCCTCTATGCCTTTGCTATACAGTGGTACCTCGGGTTACATACGCTTCAGGCTACATACGCTTCAGGTTACAGACTCCACTAACCCAGAAATAGTGCTTCAGGTTAAGAACTTTGCTTCAGGATAAGAACAGAAATTGTGCTCTGGCGGCGCGGCGGCAGCGGGAGGCCCCTTTAGCTAAAGTGGGGCTTCAGGTTAAGAACAGTTTCAGGTTAAGAACGGACCTCCAGAACAAATTAAGTACTTAACCCGAGGTACCACTGTACAGTAAACCCATGACTTAAACAGCGGTTTTGTTCCAGGGATCACACCTAAAGCTAGAAACATGTACGGTCAAAACACATTGGGTTCAATGGCAGGTGGACCTTGCCCAAGTCATTTTCACAAGAACTCTGGCCCCTTTTTTATTTCAGCAAAGCTGAATGTGCACAAGTTAAATGCATGCAAGTTGCAGGCTTACTCTCCTTTGTGTAAAACTGGAAAACTGAAGGACCTGAAGTTGTGCATATGAGTGATTTTTACATTATTTTCATCATCATAAAATAGCAGTTAACAACATTAACTGTGCAAGAGGTTGTACCGGCAGATTCTCATCTTTGAATTTACTTCCATTTTCTTGCACAACGCTCTGCTGTGAGGTGCAAAACAGCCATTCCATGTGCAGCAGAGCACCCACTGGATCCAATCCGCGGAGGACATTATCTGGTTACCTTTGCATATTAGTTCCCACACACAAAAGTGTTACTAGCCCACATGCATTTACACTATCCTGCCTCCCAACACACACCTACGCTACCCATTTTTTATACACCTGAGGTCTGAAAGTGGGAGGGAGGAAGCAATGAAAAGCTGAACTACTCTTCCAGATTATAGGAACTCCCCCTCCTTGGTCACTTGGAAGGAAATTCTAGCTCCCCAGAGGCGAGGGGTAATTTACATGCCTAGTGGAAATATCTGTTATACTGAGCTATGGTTGTTAAGAAAATTCAGGAGAAGCAGCAGCAAAGAACACTAAGAGGGCTGGAAACAAAAATCAGCGGTGTTCATTGGTTAAGAAAGGTAAGATGACCAAGAGTATTTGGGGAGTTAAAAGATGAAGGTTTACTTCCAGGGTGAACGTTACTCTGGGGTTCAATTGTGTTGAGCGTGTATCTCAAGAGAGCAAACGTTGCAGTAGAAAAGCCAGGATGTCATTGCAGGAAGCTGCCCAAGAGAGCAGATGACATTTCTGCAACGCAACCATCCCACATTACAAAAATAGCACATTGTGTAAACGGACCCATGTGAGGCTTGTCGCGGGTGAGGTATATCTAATAAGCTCCTTGATAGCACATGGCTCAACCCATCACACAGCGGTCAGACAGTCTGTCCAAGTGCACACAATCTGCAAGCAGTTCACTTTTTCAATCATCATAATTAATACGAAAAGGCTTAAAGCCAAGATCGTTTGGCAGCCAACCTTGCTTGCCTAAATTATAGAGGTACGTTCTCCCCCCGTCCTGTCCCCAAAGCACTGGTTGGAGTTAGGTGGCAATTAAGAGCCAGGTCAATGAAGCCGGTGGCTGCACACCAACCCAATCAGCCAGTCCTGACCTAGACAGATTGCAAAACCCAAGGGTTGCAAACAGAAAACCGGCGGCGGGGGGGGGGGGGGCACCTTCTGCAATGACTCAGTCATTACAGCAGTCCCAGCTAAGAAGAAGAGCTGCATCAGCTGCTGATCTTACATCACACACAGCTTAGCAGAGGGGGGTGGAGGAAGAGAAAGTCAGGAGTGGAAGAAAGTGTACCCAGAGGCTGCATTATGTTAAAAGACACCTCACAGCTTACAGTAATAAAATGTTAAGGGCATCTATGCCAGCCTTCGCCGGCCAGCGGCCTTCCAGAAGTTTTGGACTACAACTCCCATCAGCCCCAGCCAGCATGGCCATGCCCCTAAGGTGCAGTCACGGCAGAGCAAGCCATGAAACTCAGGTAAATACCAAAAGCAGCCATTTAATAGATTGCGCATAAACACAACACACACATGCACGGTGGGCGGGGGGAACGCACTCAGACAAAGGCCTTCGAGACAAGCCAGGTCTTAAGTGCCTAAAAGTATAAAGTATCCTTCTTTGTTAGTAGACAGGGCCTTTATTTCCTTTTAAAAAGTCTATTGACTAGGAATTTGGGTTTGAAGGATCCTGGCAGCCAAAGTCTAGCTTCACTTCAAAGCTTGGGGATGGGAGTGCGAGGCCAAGGCCTCCACCTCCAGTATATCTTTAGAGCAGTGTCATACCACTTTAAACAGTCATGGCTTCCCCCTGCAAAGAATTACGGGAATTGTAGTCTGTTAAGGGTGCTGAGAGCTGTTTGGAGACAGCTGTTTGTTTCACAGATCTACAATTTCCAGAGTTCCCTGCGAAGGTGGATTGACTGCTAAACTGCTCTGGGAACTGCAGGTCTGTGAGGGGGAAAGTACTCAGCACCATCAACAAACTACATTCTCCATACATTTACATTCATTGCTCTGCCCCCTTTGACTTATTGCTGCACCCACAGCACTGGCATGTAGCCCCTAGAAGAAAAAGCGGCCCTCAGGTTGGAAATGGGTTGCTACCCCAGCCTTAAAAAGTCACGCTTCTCCAGCTTGCCATCTCCAAAGAATTATTTCCACACTGGATTTTTTCCTCAGGAATCCTTCTGCAATGCTAAAGATCTCTGGGGCACGATCCAGGGTTTACATAGGGAACAGGCAAAGCACAACTAAAAGGGAACAAAATATTTTGACAAGGTGATGGTGGGGGTATCCCACTCAGCCAGAAGAATATAAAGACGCTTGACAGAAGGTCCAACACCAGTCATGAACATTCATCACCCAAGTTCCTTTGCGCCTGATACTTGGACTCTTGACAAAATGTCAAGGAACAGATGGCTTGCGCCTTGCGACTGTCATCACAGATCCAGAACCCGGTGATAATTAAATCTGTCTCCAGGAGAAGGATGCTTGGCCTAGCTCACTAAAGATCAACCACAATTTTAGCTGGAACCCACAACCAGGGATGAAGAACTTGTAGTGTGCCAGATGTCACAGGTTGTGCTAGGGGTGATGGGATTTGTAGTCCAAAACATATGGGAGGGCACCAGGCAGTGGCTGCTGGTGCCCATTGAGGCTGGTAGGATGGAAGGCAGGGAGACTAACAGCAGGTGGGGTCAAAGCCAATGACAGACAGAATCAGAACCAATTATAATTTTGTTCTGATCCTCTTCCCTGCAGAGTTCTACAAGGGCAACACTGAGGCTAAGGAAGAGGAAGCTAACTGGTTTTAAGTAAGATGGCAGGAAGGTGGGGCTGCGCCCCAAGGAGCTTGGTGGGGCTGTGCCCCTTTGACCCTGTTGCACCAACATCTGCAGGCACCAAATTGGCATGTATTTAGCATGTATTTCTAATGGGGTTTTCCATTCAATTTTTTATGTTTGAAATAAAAAAGACTTCTCCATATTCAGATAATGCAGAATTTGCACAAATGTTGCCAGAGAGCAGACTGAAAAGAAGAGGGGAGGAGTTTTAGTCTGGATCAGGATGTAGCCAGGTTCCAGGATCACTAGGTAACTGGTTTTAGAACATATAGTTAATAGTTCTCTACATTAATGGCAACACAGGTGCAATTTTAGTGTTAAAGAGGGGACAGTCAGCCAAATAAATTAATTAGGGGCCAAGCGATGGCTGGAAACAGGGACGGTGTATTACTTTCCCCCAATAAAGAGGTACAAACTTTTCCATGATTTAACGATACATCCATTTTTCACCTGGGGATAATACATAATCAGAGTGTTAAATAGGAACGAAGGGTAACAAAAAAAAGTCCTCATGCAGAACAGACTGTACCCCTTTATTATAACACTTTTGGCAGGAGGCTGCAGCCTGGAAGACCATTTAGGTCACTACAGAGCAAAGCAATTGGAATGAATGCATTTTGGAACAACACATCTAGTTTGGACACAGAGTGCTGTAATACTTCAGGGGCAGCCTACAACTCCCAACAGCCCTGAGCATTTTGTTTAGGGTGGCTGAGGCTGATGGGGGTTGTAGCCCAATAACATCCAGGGACAGTGTGTTGGCTACCCCCACCATCCTTTCTAAAGCATGCCCACATACCGTCAGGTTTTCATTTTAAGCATCATTACACACCCTCAGGATTTGGGATAGCAGCATGCTTTTAAAAAGAAGAAAGCTTAGTGAGCATAATTCTTGCCTTACCAATGCCCCATCATGTAAGCAAACAAGTTTGCTTGGGACATTAACACACGAGCCCCCTATAAGAGCAACAGGTGGTGCAGACAATCAGATAAAAGTGCATGGCAAGCAGCACAAGACAGAACCACAGAGGCAGACAAGTATCCTGTTATTTCCATCTCATCTGCAATTGTCTGTCTCGGTACTACAATGAGATGTAGGAGTGGTGCCAATTAAACACCCAGATCATCAGACAAAGAGGTGGATGTGCTGGAAAATGTAGCTCAAGCCCCCTTTCTTCTCCCACATCATTAAAAGTGGAGGCGCATCAGTCCAGCAACCAATTTAAGCAAGCCACACTTATCTGGGAGACACACAGATTTCAGAACTAAATTGTTAGGCTCAACATTGCAATTCAGAGTTATGGGCTAAGGTTGCAAAACACTCCCGGGTAATTATCCTGCCCATGTTGGTCTGACCTTACATTAGATGTCTGGAAACTGGCTGGAACAGAAGCAACTATTAGAGAGGTGTCTGCATTAGGGAAGGAGAAGAACTTGGTCCAGTCCATATTTTAAAATGCACCAACCACCCAGACTAATACACTGATGGGAGAATTCAAACTTTGCACTTTTTCAACCAAAATTAAGAAGGCCACAGATTCCCCATCCTTGCTCTAGGGGAGGCTTCAACAGCTCAGGGACTCCCCCAAGGAAAGAGGCCTGGTGTCAGGTACAGATGTGCCCTCCTAAAGTATCTTAAGTTGCATCAATATGAACAAAGGCAACGTATTATAAGACATTTCTGACCACGTTCTGCACCTGCCACGTAGAGCCACTATGGTACAGTGGAAAGCATGTCAGGCTAATTGGAGAGAACCAAGTTCAGACCCCTGGTCAGTCATGGAGCTCTCACTGAACGAAGTTTCTTGAGGGAGACTGACCTACCTCTCAGGGTTGCTGTGGGGATGAAATGGAAAGGGGAGAAAGACCCATGTACATAGCATTGATCTCCTTAGAGGAACAGCCAGATATAAATGAAATGAGTAAGTATGGCCCTTTAAGCACTTTTTGTAAAATTTAAGGCAGCTGTTTTATTCTTTTTCAGCACCTACAGTATAAAACAGCCTTCCCCAACCTGGTGCCCTCTAGAAAATGTTAAGGAGTACAATTCTCATCAGCCCTGACTACTGACCGAGCTGGCTGGGGCCCGATGTGAGTTGAGAGAGTCCAACAGCACCTGGAGGGCACCAGCTTGGGGAAGGCTGATATGAAACATAGAGTAACAGAAAGGAACAGAGACTTGCCTGAAGGTTCACTGTCTGAAACATGCATGTAAGGAAAAGAGGGTAGGGAAGGCAATGGATGAGATACCGTGAATCAAAACAACTCTATGAATTAGAGAAGGTTGCATGAAGTCAGAGGTGATGCTTCCAAAGTCATGGAAAAGCCTCTGGATGAAGAAAAAAAACACACATTCTGGGGACAATATACTATTGCAAAAGAAAGATGATGTCCTGTGGGGGCTGGGAGGGCAGGAACTGGTCTTCTGGCTAGATGTACTCTGCCAGCCCTGCCCTACCTAGTGCTCTGCACATGTTCTACACTACAACTATTGGGTGGTCCTGGTCTCCTTTGGCAGGAAGGGCAAAATATCAGTGTAATAAATAAATAAATTCCCATCGGCCCTGAAGCCACTGGCCTGCTGAAGGCATACTCTGCTGTCTCCCTTAGTAAGGATCCTCATTTGTCATACTGATCTGTAATCCCTCTGTAGAAACATGCACGCAGGATGGGTTTCTGCAAAGCTAGCTGTTTAGTAGAGGAGGGCGCTTTTAGCTTTTAACTGCTTGCAAATAAAGATGAAAACTGTCAGTTATCAGTAGTATTAACATTATCATTAATTAAATTTGTATGCTGCCCTTCATCCAAAAGTCACAGGGCAGTTCACAACATAACAATACAAGATGAGAACACAAAATACAAAACAAAAACAAACCAATAACTGCCCTCCCACAAACACATTTAAAAGAACATAGAATGTTAATCAGCCCAAAGTCTGGTGAAAAAGAAAAGGTTTTGCCTGACATCTAAAGATATGTAATGAAGGTGCCAGGTGAGCTTCCCTTGGGACAGCTTTTCACAAACTGGGAGCCACCACGGAAAAGGCCCGTTCTCATGTTGCCACCCTCCGGACCTCTCGCAGAGGAGGCACACGAAGAAGGGCCTCAGGTAACAATTGCAAGGTCCAGATCAGTTCATAAAAAGAAGAGCTAGTCCTTGAGGTACTGTGATCCCGAGCTATTTAAAGGAGCCTGTGGCCCCCCAGATGCTTCTGAACTACAACTCCCATGACCCCCAACCACTGGCCACCCTGGCTAAAGCGGTTGGGAGTTGGAGTCCAAAAACATCTGCCCTCTCTTATGCCTTGAGATTTGTGCATTCATTATATTACAGGACTCTAAGCTGCATAACAACATATCATATTGCAGTGAGAAGGGAGCGTTCAAGACTTCTAGGAAATGAGGCTGGGATTTCCACCCAATGATGTAACTTCTGCTGACACATTTTTCACATTTGTGGCATTCCAATTTAATATGAATTTCTATGGAATACTTGCGTTTAAGCACCAGGAAGAAACATCCTTCTTCTCCCAGACCTTTGACTAATTAAACAATCTATGGCCTTTTAAAATGTGTAAGGGGAAATTGTTTTGTTTGTTACTATGTTATGTATTTTTGTGTTTATATATTCTAAACCGTCCTGTGATCCTCGGATGAAGAGTGGTATAGAAATTTAAAATATAATAATAATAATAATTTTATGACTGAAGAGTGAAGACAGATTCTTAAATAGAACCTATTTCCATTAAAATAGTGTATGAAAGTGTAGCAAATAGTTCAAAAGTAACAAACAATTCTTAAACAGCAAAGATGGGAAACCTGATGGTTTCCAGATGTTGCAAGACAAAAACTCCCATCATCCTGGAGCATGCTGTCTGAGGCTGATGGGAATTGAAGTCCAGCAACATCTGGAGGTCAGCAGGTTCCTCGTTCCTCATCTAGCATATGTATCTTTATGCAGATTCAGACTTTCTGGCAGCTTTCTCCTTGCACTGTCTTTGCTTCCTGTACACATAAAGTCCAGTCATTTAGAACTTGAGTATTACACCATCCACAAAACACAGGAAGTAGCCGGCCACATCCACATAGGCTTGCACATGGGTACTTGTTTGACCAGCATTCCCACCTCGTCCTTCCGTCCTCCACAAGCTTCTGCATATACACCCCCCCATCTCCGTTTCCTTGTGCATTATCTGCCAAGTCAGTGAGACGCTTGACAACATGCATTAATGAAACAACTGCAGGGGAAATGTTCCATAAGTCATGTGCAGGAAACAGCATACCAAAGGAAGCCACCTACTTGTTGGGGAGCACAAGTAGGGAGATGTCCTGGCCCGTACAGGGGAGGGGCAGGAGGAGGAAGGAAGAAGAGGCTATGGATCAGAGCCCTCCTGCTGAAGCCCCCAACTTTGAGACTCTCCCTCTGAAAGCCACACAGGGCTCCTCCTTCCTTGGCTCAAGATGAGAAGACAGGGCCATCCAATGCCGGAGAGGACACTTCTCCACCAGATGAGTGGGGGGAGAGCTGCACATCACAGATTGAGCTCTCAGGGGAGGAGGAAAGAGGAAGGGACAGGAGCAGACCCAGGTCCTTCCAAGAGACAGGAGCTCCCCACGTCAGGCCAGGAGTTCACAGTGGGGCAGGCAATGTGCACAAGTTAGCTGGACTTACCCTGCTTCTGTTTAAAACTGATGGGTAGGCAAAGCCAATTGTAGACAGCTTCCCTATGCAGTCTCCATTTGCAGGTCCTGATCCTGGAACTCAGGCCTTGTCCCTGAGCTGCATTTAAGGAACCTTGCAGCCCTTCTCCTAAGTTGGTTTGATCCTTGCCACATCTCTGGGGCCTAAGAGTGTCTGGACCAAGTCCTCCCTCTTCTCTTGTTGCAGGGTTTGCACTGTCTTGTCTGCTGGCGTAAAGCTTGGCTTCTTTACATAAAGGAAAGGGCACTTGTTATGATCAGCACTGCTTTGCATCTAGCTGGTCAGGGTGAGAACAGGATCTGGACCAGATGAGCCTCTGGCCTGATCCAGCAGGGCTCTTCTCATGTGCTAGGTCAGGGGAAGCAACACAATCATCACTACTCAACTTTTCCCTTGCAGGTACTTTGTGCGCTGCATACCTCTCAGCCAAAAGCACCTGTCTCCTTTTCAGTACTTACATCATCGAACAGCCTAACCTAAATCAAGGCATTCGGATGTATGAGATCCCAGGCTATGTTAAGACAGCCAGTCCTGCCACTGGTACCCAATTTCCCAAGAGGCAAACATGCAACTCCATGACCCTAGTTCTTCATGCAAGTTTTTAACATTAACAAGGGGCAGGTAATAGCACAAAGGAACAGATCATGAAAGCAAGCACATCTCTCTCCATCCCTTTTCCTATCACTTCCTCAGTGAAACAGAGGTAATCTCTGCTACAGTCTGGGATGGAGCATAGAAGTCATCCCAGCTTGGAGGAGAGCCGGTGTGACCTCTATTCAGAAGGCAGCTTTAGAGCCTGTGATACAGGCCTCTTTCACATGCAGAGATAAGTCATAGTTAATGGCTTATTAGGATCAAGCAGCATGATCACTCCCACTTCACTCCTCCCAAGGCGTGAGCATGAGCAACAAGCCATGAAGTGTTAGCTTCTCATTAGGTCTGAACCTGGGAACAAACCACAATAATTTGTCCTTGGCCTGCTGATCGGTTCAGCCAGGAGACACAAACCGTGATCCTGGTTTGCATATAATGAGACGAGGCTTTGAGGCTTGCTGCTTATGCCAGGGAACGAGCTAAGCAGGAGCGATCAGGCAGCGTGCACTAGCAAACCTCTCGACCCTGAAAAGCTATTAACTGCAGCAAAGTGTTACATGTAAATTGGGCCACACATGCGGGATGGGGAGGCTTGGGCCAGGGGGCAAAATGCAAAGATCCAGACCTCTCTGTTTGGCCCTTATGGTCACTGGCATGAGGCCCCCAGAAAGTTGCCCAGAAGAGAATGTAGCCCTCAGGCAGAAAAATACTCCCTACTGCTTCTATAAATGGGAGCAGGGCTGCACAATTGTGGAAAAAATCCTTTGCTGCATCCACTTAGGATACTACTTGCTAAGTTAGTCCGTGAATCTAGGAAGGTCAGCCTTGGCTTCAGAAGAAAAAAGGAGGCAGGCGTAACAGAAAGCTGTCTTTGTGTATGATCTCTTTCGCCTGGAGTTTCCAAGAGCACTATCGAGCATTAAGCAGAGGGGGTGGACCAGATGGCCTACAAACCCACTTCCAATATTTGAGCAACTTCACCTTTGTCCACAGATTGTCTTCAAGGACTTGGATCTACCATGAACACAATCATTGTTACTGTCTTCAATGCAACATAGGAATACAAGAAAGCTACCTTATGCGAAATAAGATCATTGGTCCATCTAGCCGAAAAACATCTACACTGACCAGCAGCAGCTCCACAGTGTTTCAGACAGGGAGTTCTGCCCAACCCTACCTGGAGATGCCAGGGATCTCTTAGAGCTTTGAATGCAGAAGGTTCCAACACTGAGCTACAGACCTTCCACAGTAAAGTTAACCATTCAAACCCTTTGGAATGGCTTTTCCCTGAAAACCCAGGACCAAGGAACCTGTTCATTTTTAATCAGCATTTGAAATTTGCCAGGTACCAGGTACATTTTGCACTAGAGACTAAGTGAATATGCCCAGGCACCTGACATCTCCACCATCTGGAGGTGAATTTAAAAACACATCCTGTAGAATTCTGTGATATTTTATCTGCACAGTCAGAACAAATTTCAGGAACCAAAACGTCAAATTGAAAAATATGACATTCGAGCTGTCTGGCCCCAAAATGGCAACAAGACATTCCGTTTTGGCAATTGTAACCCCGGTTTAAGGAGCCATTTGGCGCCCAGCTTATATATCTGAGTTTCTAACACTGCTTATATTGCATGTGATCACAATGGGCCAGATAATACATAGCACATACCACAAGGGAGTTCTATCCTGAAGGAGAACATGGGAACTTCCCTTGTTTAGTATGCAGACGTGACCCTGCAGAGTATCAGACGCTTTGCACCTAAGCAAGCACCACATGTGATCATGTGTCATGTACACAAAGAGCATCATAAGAGAAGTACACCACTCCACAAACTAAGCATTCTGCCAGGCCTCTGGTTAAGTCACATAAGTGTCTCAGGACGGCCTCAACAGTATGAAGGGAGTAGCAATTTCAGGGAAATGCAGCCCTGCAATGCTTCAGATCAGTGGTACCCATCAGGGCAAGCCTTGGGGGAAGAAGTCATGGGTCCCACTCAGAAGAATGAGCAGGTGGGTCCCCAAGCCCAGCGAGACTGACCTTCTGCAGTGAATGAAGCAAGACACATTACCACCTAGGAAGAGAAGTCCACACCCACCCACCCAGTAAGATCTTAAATTGAAAATCTAAAATCACCTGGCCAGGGGCAGATCTACTATGAAACTAATGAAGCTTAAGCTCCAGGGCCCCCGATTCCCACAGGGATCCCAGAAACAGCTTTAGTCCACACTGCTTTAAAAGCATGACTCGAATTGATTAATTTGTTGTTGTATATATTTCAACAATCCCAAAGTTTGAGAGTCAGCAGAACAGATGTTGTAAACAACCACACTAAAGAAAGTAAACAGTGGTTGCCCAGACCCTGTCGCTGGGGGCCTCATAACAGTTGAAGCTTCAAGGCCTCCAAAATGTAGGTCCACCACTGCACCTGGCAGTACTGGTTCTGCAAAAATTACAAAATGCAGACCCATCATCATACACAAACACACACCAACCAACAAGACACATTACATACCCAGTTTCATGAGGCAGGCGAGCAGGATCCATAGCGCAATCTCGAAGGGGATCCTTACATGCTTGTAGTCGATGCCCAGGACAGGAAACGCCTTCTGGTGCGTGTGTTTTCCGGGAGCCGAAGTGTTCTTGGGGTGCTTGGACTCAGGATGGCTGTCTAGGGGCACCGGCGGAGCGGTGGTGATGCTCTCGACCGCCGCTTTCAGCTCCGGGGAGTAAACTTGCTGAGTGACCCCGGGGTTCACGCTGCCGGTGCTGCCCGGCAGCAGCCCCAGGAGGGCCGCTGCGCAGAACAGGAAGGGCAAAGCCCGGCAAGAGCAAGGAGCCCCCAGGAACCTCGCCCCCATTGGGCCTCCGGATCTCTCCCACTCCAAACGAAAAAGATAAAATGAAACGCACCCAGGAGGAGCTGCTGGCCTTAGCAGGCGGCCGCCGTGGCTTCTTTGAAGGAAGGGGGGAAATGTCAGAGGACACAGCTTCCAGGGAGATGCTTCATTGGAGGAGGAAGAGGGAGCCCGAGAAATAAAACGAGGCCACCGAAGGATCCCGTGTCCAGACGGAAAACCTAAACGGAGACTGGTGTGATAAAGCTCTCATAATATAAGGTCAGGGGGCGCTTTCTTTCGGCTGCGTTCTTCTCCTGTTAGGGATGGACGAGGGTGGGGTGGGAGAGAGAAAGAGCCTGCGGCTTTTCGGGGCGGGGGAAGAGTCCCAAAAATCTTGCTCCTGCGCCTGGGGTGCCCTCTAGAAAAGAGAGGCAAGGTCTGAGAGGGCGGCTCCGGGAAGCGAGGAAGGAGCAGGCAGCGGCCGACAGCAAGAGCCCCCCGCCCGAGGGGAAAACGGGACCAGATGCCCAGGCGAGAGGCAGGAGAAGGAAGAGGGCGGCGGCGGCGGCAGCTGCAAGCAGGGACCCGGACCAGGAGGCAGCCGGGAGCGCGAGAGGGAGCTCAGCCGCAGCCGGAGGGCGAGGAGGAACCTCTGGCGTGGGGAAGCCGGCGGGCAGGCCGGGCGGCTGCGGCGGGGCAGAGGATCCGCCGGTGGGAGCTGGGAAGGAGGAGGAAGCGGTGCGTGTTCCGGCTCCTCGTGTACTGCAGCGCGGCAGCTCCGCCCGGCCCGGCTCCTCCTTCCCCGGCGCGCGCTCTGCTGCTCTCCCGCCGTCTCTTCCAGCCAAGCCAGCGCCGAGACAAGGACACGGGGAAGGAGGAGGAAGAGGGCGAGGAGGCGGGGCCTCGGCACCCACGGCAGCCTCCTCCGGGCGGGAGCAGCACTACGCGGCGGGGAGCCCACCTCCTGGGGCGGAAGGAGAGGCGGGCGAGAGCAGGGCGCCTCAGCCCGGGAGAGGCTTCGCGCGGCCTCGGGCGAGCTCCTCCTCCTCCTCTCCTGCCTCCCTTCCCGCCTTCCCTAGAAGAGGAAGAGCTGGCCGGTCGATGGGAAGCTCCTCGTGGGCAGAGACCCGTCTCCCGGTCTCCCCATGCGCAAGGGCGTCGTACGAATAACAATGCGTGGTGGCGTTACGCTCCCGGCGTCTCTCCAGGAAAAGAAAGCCGACAAAAAGTGGCTGAGGGCATTTTTCTTAAGAGTGGCTACAGTTGCATCAAGAGCATAGTAAATAAAACCCGTTCGATGGCAAAAATGGTTCAGGGATATACAGAATATCCCAAGGAGGAGACCTTGCTACGATATCGTTAAAATAGCACAGGTGCACACTGCATTTTAAAAATAGCAGCAGCAGCAGCAAACGGACATATGAAAAAACTGCAAGGCAGCCAGAATAAAACCAATCATAAAAAGCCAGATAGTATAAACTGGTTTTTCAAAGCCAGCCTAAAAATGGCAGGGGAGAGGTTTGATAGATATCTACAAGGAAAGAGTTCCACATTAGCAATGTCACACCAAGAGGGTCCTGTTCCTGGTACTCACTGGTTCTGATCTTAACTCATGGAAAACCAGAAGAAAGGTTTTCTGATACTTATCTTAGGGCTGACAGGTTTGTGAGGGCATACCTCAGATTACCTGGCTTTTAGGCTATTTAGAGCTTTAAGATCCCATCTGCACTATGCTTTTAAAGCCACATACGACATTAAACAATTAACAGAGTGGTTTAGCAGTTAATCTCTGCAGCCCCCATGAAGCATGACTGTTCAAAGTGGTAGGATATTGCTTTAAATGTATAATACAATGGGACTTTAGGTTGAGCCACGAAACAAATTGGCAATCAATGAAATTGATGTAGGATTGGTTCAATATGTGCTTGACCATCTTGTTCCTCCCAGCATCTTGGCAGCTACATTTCATTTGTACAGTGGTACCTTGGTTTAAGAACAGCTTAGTTTATGAACAACTTGAATTAAGAACACTGCAAACCCAGAAGTAGGTGTTTTGGTTTGTGAACTTTGCCTTGAAATAGGAACATGTTTTGCTTCCTGTTGAGTGTATTCTATTTTTAAATTGAGTCCCCTGCTGCTATGGGAAAGCATGCCTTGGTTTAAGAACACTTTGATTTAAGAACGGACTTCCAGAATGTATTAAGTTCGCAAACCAAGGTACCACTGTACTACTCCCAGTGCCATTGTTAGGGAATGGCTCAGGAATTCCAAGATCTGGGTCTATTGTCCTGGGTTCCAGATCTTCTGTCCTTACCCCATTTTTAATATCTTAAAAATAAAAGCTTTGCTTTATTTTGTCTACATTCATAAAATCTCTATACCACCTTTTCTCCTAAATAATCTCAGGCCGATATCATGCACAAGCCCATGCCCTGGGCTCCCACCCTGTACAAATGCATATTAATGGAAATAAAGTACAAAAATGCATTGTATTAGGGGAAATGGATTTGCAACAAATTGCATATTAGATAGAACTGCTTAAACACACGTGTGTATTTGGAGAAATTCGCACTAAAATGCCAATTAATTTTCATGAGGACTTTTTAAAAAAGTGGTAAAACCAATGTGGAGAACTGAATTTAAGATTGGAAAAAATTAAAACTGAGAGAAACCAAAATTGATTTCCACATTCCTGTTTGAGAATTAGCTGTCCTTTAAAGCACATTCTTTCCCTCATAGAATTCTGGGTGCTGTGATTTGTTAAGGGTTTCTGTGCACTGTGATTCTGAGAGGTAAACTACAATGCCCAGAATTCTTTGAGGGAAAGAAGATGTTCAACATGTGCTTTAGCAGTGTAGCATGAACACAGCCTGTAATTGTCAAAATTGTTCATTCAGTTTAAGAGCTTTCTTTTAATGCTCAATCCTGGTAATGTAAGTCCACTAGAACTTAGTTCTGCTTTCTCAGACAGCAGAGGGCAAATTGTTGTCCCCTTCCTTTTAATTAATACAATGGCAGAACCATCCTTGTGTCTTTGATTCCCCATCTAACAACCTTATAGGAATGCAGGAGGAGGAGATGTGAAATGTAAATATTTGGGAGGCAATTTGTACATTGTAAGTACATCACCAAACCTCTATGGGCGAGCACTGTTATCTGTAGCTTCAACTTACACCAGTGCAGAACAGTATATGCAACCACATTAAGTTAGTTTAGTTATGTGGATGCCAGTTTCCCTACCAGCACACTGACTTACTAAAGAAGATTGTGTTTGTGGACTCATTTCAGCCCAAGTAGCATCTTGGATTCAAATATCGTGATTTAAGTGGACTTCGGTAGCATAACAGCTAGTTTGGTTCAAACTGAGGTCAGCAACTAGTAGCCCCGGGTCAGATTTGCCCATCTCAGATATGGAATTTGGCCCATCACTAAAGCTAGAGAGGAATGTGGATGAGCAGCATCTGCAAGCAATGAAACTTGCAAGCAGGCCATTTTGAGAGGTGGAACAAGCAGGAGGCCTTGACCCCCATTTACTGTATTTATCAATGTTCCTCCATGGCAATGCTTTGCTGCTGATCAACTAAACCAGCCTGACTGGTAGTGATGAATGCACACTTCTGTCTCTTGCTTGAAAGGACATGCAGCAAGTCATGGCACCATGGGTTTTTCCATGCAGAAGGAAGGTCCCAAGTTCAAGTCCCACTATCTCCAGTTAAATATATCTTATAACAAGTGGTGAGAAAAATCCTGGCGAGCTGCTGCCAGTCAAAGTAAACAGCACTGAGCTAGATGGACAAACAGCCTAACCAATAGGCATAAGGCGGCATTCGCTCCATGTAAAGTCAGCTCTGGTAAGGTCAGAAGGATGGGCATTCATCCATGCTTAGCATTCCCACTCCATACTCTGTTCCAAGGAAATTGAACAGGGCCTAAGAAGATTCTTAGCTTGCACACCCCATGTCTTCTTAGTTAAGGGGGCCCACTGAGGGCCTCCAAAACCCTAGACCCAGCCAGGAGAGACTGGCATATCAGGGTAAATTTTGTTGTGAAGCTGGGCTCATATAGCACTGAATAATTTGTTGCTTATGCCTGCCTTTACTCTAAGAGTGTGTAGGATTACAACCACCTTGAATCATTCACCGAGCCAAACGAATTGTACAATAGCATGCAACCTTTGGAGTTTTCAACAGCTTTGTCCCTCTTTAAATGGGCATTAATAATAATAACCCTTTATAGCACTGGGCAAAGTACTTTGCAATAATTCTCTGCTTCAGGCTCTCGATAAATCTGCAGTGCATTCATTTGCACACATACAGATGTATGCACACACACATCTCAGTGTGTGGTTGGTTGCCTGCGGTCAGTCAGAACTTTCCCCAGGGTGTTAGGCTAAGTCTCTATTAAAAGCTGGCATTGTCATGGAACTTACCACAAGAAATTACTGCTTTGATCCACTTTGCATGAAAAGGGAATTCTGTGTGGCATTTAGGGCATAGTATTTCCGGGTGAACAAATATTTTTAAACTGGGAATCCAATACAGTGGTGCTGTCAGGAGGAAGGACTTTAAGGTGGTTGGGCTGTAGCTCAGCGGCAGAGAACATGCTTTGTATGCAGAAGGTCCCAGGTTCAGTCCCTGGCATCTCCAGATAGGGCTGGGAATTGAGTTCCTCTCCAAAAAACCTGGAGAGCTGCTTCCAGTTAGTGACAACAGTGCTGAGCTAGATGGACTAAGGGTTTGACTTTCTATGCAGGCAGATTATGATGTTCCTAAGTCCAGGGCCACACTCAGCAGAATGAGCAGGAGGGGCCCCCAACATGGCAAGGCACTTGGAAGTAAGGGAACATTACTATATAAAGGGTGGGGGGGTGTCATAAAACCATTAAATCCATAATCAAAAAATCTAAGTGCACTATCCAATCTAGCTTGGTGTTTGAGGCTGATTGTGCATATGCCTTAGAGCACTGGCATCAACCAGGTATGTAATAATAATAATAATAAATTTTATTTATATCCCGCCCTCCCCAGCCGAAGCCAGGCTCAGGGCGGCTAACAACAATAAAACAGTACAAAAGTACAGCACAAACAACACTCTAAACTCATTCATTATAAAATTAATGGAAATGTAATGGACATTTCTAACCTCATGTCTAGCTTTTTATTTTATTTTTATACAAACTACTTAAATTAATATCGGATTTGTGGGGGAGGTGATGGATTTTCACTGAGAACATAACAAATGAAGTTTTTTAACGCTATTCTCCATTGCTGTAGTCCGGATAAAAATTGCTACCCCCCCCCCCAGCCAGCAGGAGTGCCCCACCCCCTGCCCCATCCCACTGGGGCCTGTGAGATGGGGTTACTGAGACCACAGGTGTGTGTGTGTTAAACCGCCCCATACACTGCTAGAGTGGTTCCCCCACCCCCAGAAGAGGAACTGTATCACCAAAGGAGGACACAACTTTGCATTAATATCTGAATACTCTAATTTATAAGGACAGATGCAAAATTATAAATTATTTCAATAGAAATGCATCTCATCGTAATGGAGAAGACAGGTCATCTGTGTGCCTGCTGAGTTTTGTTGTCCAGGAGCTGATGATAGGCAACCCCAAGGCACTTGCTCGCCCTCCTTATCATAGAACTGCAGAGTTTGAAGATACCACCAGGGTAATCTAGTCCAATCCCCTATATTACTTGAGTCTTTTGCCCAATGTGGGGCTCAGACCCACTGACCCTGAGATTAAGAGTCTCATGCTCTACTGAATGAGTTATCCCAGAGCCCTGCTTATGAATATATATATATTTAAACCAGATGAACTAGACAGCTCTTTATAGGAGGTCTCCTGTAAAGTAGGTCACAGGGACACCCTGCACACTACAGTTCTCTCCCCTCACCTCTGTTTTTAATTTTTCAAAAGGCACTGCAGTGGTTTGCAGTGTTGAATTTGATGTCACATCTAGTTTGGCCCTAAAACAGATCTTATTTATTTCATTTAACAAAATTTACACACTGCTTGATTGTAAGAAAACCTCCGGGTGGGTTACAAAAATATAAAATAAAACATTTACATTCTTGATTTTAAAAAAAAGCCAATTAAAAGCAGGTGTTTTAAAACATTCAAAAGATGAATAAAATCATAGCTAACACACACACAGAGAGAGAGAGAGAGAGAGACTTACTTCTGTATGTCTGGATAGGCTTGCCTAAACAAATATGTCTTATGCAGGCACTGTAAATAATGTGGTGAAGGTGCATAACTGAATGTCAATAGGCAGGGAGTTCCAAAGTCTAGCTGCTGCCACACTAAAAGATTGATTTGCTACAATTGCAAGGCAAGTATTACTGTATGTGGCATTTGTAACAGTGCCAGTTCCGCAGATTAAAATAGTTGAGGGTGCATATATGAATAGTAACACCTTGAACTTGACCCAGTAGCAATTGAGCAACGTGTGCAAATCTCTGAGCAGAGGTGTTACAACCTTAAGGGGTCTCACTCCTGTCAGCAATTGTGCTGCAGCATTCTGCACTAACTGAGGCCTGCAAATCAAGTGCAACTGAAGGCAAACATAAAGCACATTGTGATGTCATAGCAGCTAGCCAAGAGATGCCCATGGTACTTGCAGAATGGGTTTTTGTTTTTGACAATATTGTGAACAATTTCATTCCTGGTTTGCAAGGTAAGAACTAACAGAGCTAGGAGAGTGCAAAGGAACCATTTGCAAATGCTGCCACCCTCTGGAGAAAAAAATAATTTCCCAACACAGAAACTGTCGTTCAATCTAGAAGTGCCACAGAATTGGATGTACAGGAAGAAAAGGGGTTTTCACCAGTAATGTTAAGATTGAAATCCTAGAAGCACTTCCATGTACATAGATGGCACTGAATTTGATTGGGCTACCTTCTGAAAAAGCATCCATACAGTAAGGTTACAAGCCTCTTGAACCCACTTGCACAGAAGTAAAAAAAGGTAAAGGTAAAGGACCCCTGGCAGTTAAGTCCAGTTACGAATGACTCTGGGGTTGCAGCGCTCATGTCACTTTACAGGCCGAGGGAGCCGCCGTTTGTCCACAGAGTTTTTCTGGGTCATGTGGCCAGCATGACTAAGCCGCTTCTGGCAAAACCAGAGCAGCACACGGAAACACCGTTTACCTTCCTGCCGGACAACGGGAGCTCACCCCGTCGCAGGGATTCAAATCGCCAACCTTCCAATCGGCAAGCCCTAGGCTCAGTGGTTTAGACCACAGCGCCACCTGCGTCCCTCTTTGCACAGAAGTACTGTATATTCCACTAAATCTAGTGGGGCGGGATTTTAAATAAATTCATTCAGACCCAGGCTAGAAGAGTGTTTTGTGGTGATACGGGGGGGGGGGGGCATGTCTTCTTCACCTTCTTCTTCGCTACAGTATATCCATTTATTTCCAATTGTCAATGTCAAAAGGGACTAAAATCTATAAAATTCATAGAAAATCAACGTGCCAATTTGCTCAATTTCTCTAGGACTCCATGACACCTCCCCTGTCCTCCATAATCCCTCAAGCAAGGTGTCAAGACCCTAATCCTGTCAAGTCGCTCTGCCAAGCCTTTCCTCCGGGCAATGCCAGGTGGCAGACTATGCATACATGGACCATTGTCTTCCCATCACCGGTACTCAGGATGTGCTTATCTGCGCATATCTCCAGCTCTGCATATTCCCCCCTCCCTCCTCCATATGTTAATCCGGTGTAACCCAACCTCTTCCTAATGTATTCGTGATGTAATCTGTGTAACCCAACCTCTTCTTAATGTATTCATGATGTAACTGGGATGTATTTTGCACTGTATTCTGGGACATGGAGGGAAGTTTCAAAAGTTCATGTCACCCCTTTCTCGCTGTTCAATCTCACCTTGAACCTGTTGCGCAATAAACTTGGATCTTCTGCAGCTTGCTCCTATCTCCGGCTGAGCTCATTTTCCTCCGCAGGGACCCGCGGACTTAGTCCGACGAGCTGGGTGGCAGAGCAGCCTCCCACCCAGATTTTACCGTAACAGTGGGAGTGGGGTATCACTTGAATACGTATGTTAATGCAGGATAAGTGGTGATAAAACACTATTATTAAACCAAACATATCCTAGTTTTATGGACTTGAGTCCACCTCATTCTAGACCTGACTAGTGTCCATCTGATCAGACTAATGGTAGATCCACACCATACATTTAAAGCACATGGTTTTCCCCCCAAAGAATTCTGGGAGCTGTAATTTAAGGGTGCTGGCAACTGGAGCTCTATAAGGATGAAATTACAGTTCATAGGCTTCTTTGTAGAAGTCACATATTTTAAATGTTCAATGTGCTTTGAATCAGGGCCATAGCTAGGGGGTGGTGAGGTGGGCCTCACCAGGGATGCAGGTGAGGGGGGCGGGCGCAAAATTGGCTAATAATATGTCCATAAATATGTCTATAAATAAAAATATTGATTATTGCCACATAAGAAAAGGTTTTTAATAGAGAGTGAATTGAATGCGGGGGGGGGGGGGAGGGAGGGTTGGAGGAGAGGCAGAAAGAAGAGCTAATTTGTCCGTGGCTAGGGGGCGCAATCTGGACAGTTCTGCCAGGGGCAAAATATCACCTAGCTACGGCTCTGCTTTGAAGGTATGTTGTGGATCTGCCCTATATTTCTGACGTACAAAACATCAGAGGGGTAATTGTGATAGCCTGTTGCAGCTTGAATAGGGATTCTTGAGAAAACTTAAATGCTAACAAATATATGGCATAAGCAGTCATGGACTAGAGAGTCCACTTATTTAGATGCATGTGATGCAGTGGATTGCCCACATAAACTTATGCTGCAATACATTTCTTAATCTTTCAGATGCTTTGATTCTATTTCTGACTTATTTGGTGTGCTGCAGTCTTACACATCAATCCTATGCATGTTTACTCAGAAGTAAGCTCTATTGAAGTCAAGGGGCTTTGCTGCGAGGACAGTAAGATAAGTCAAACCTTTGCTTAGTGCAAACATGATACTTCGAAAAGCACTGGGGAGGAGCCAAGTGGCTGCACACTTCTTTCTGGGAGGCCATAGTTTTATAAGGTCCTGGTAAGCCATAGTTTGGTTTACCATGTCATGAGAATGAGGCCTAAATCTACAGCAGAAAGCAGTAAGGGTTCAAAGGCTAAAAATGTCTTATGAGGCTCAAAGTAAACATCTTGAGCTCTTTTGTTTGCTTTCTTCTAGTTCTTGAGCTGGAGGGAGAGGCAAATCTTTCATCTTCTCCGCTAGATCAATTTAAAAGCCAGATACTGTCAGTGTCAACCTTGGGTATTTTCACACCTGATGTTTTTCTTCTTTTGAACTGTTTTATAACCTGCTTTTCAGCTTCAAAACAAGCTCCTCAATGTGAGAAACAAAAAAAGTTAATAATTACTTATACAAAAAGAAATCATGATAGCAGCAAAATATAAAAGACAGAAACAAATTTAGAGAAGCAAATCTATACAAGCACTGGTCGTCGTAAAGTACCACAAGACTGTTTAGTGTTTGTTATAAAATGCATGCAGAGCAGTCCTATGCAAGTGTATTCAGAAGTAAATACCATCAGGTTCAATGGGCCGTACTTCCAAATACAAAGGATTACAGCTGTGCAGTCCAATTCTATGCAAAAAC